GAATTGTTCGGATTAATCCCAGCCGCCAAATTTCGTGAACGCACTACACGGCAAACGTCCCGATACCATCCACACCATCTGGATGCTTGGCGGTCCACCACTGTACGTTTCAAAAGGAGTTTTCTTCCGCGTACAACCTCTCTGTGGAATAATTTACCACCGGTGATTTTTCCGGACCGATACGACCTGGGGACCTTCAAGAAAAGAGCTTACTCCTTTCTAAAGGGCCGGCAACGCACCTGCAATTCCCCTGGTGTTGCGGTTGATCATGGGCGGCGGTAGTCACTTAACATCAGGTGAGCCACATGCTCGTTTGCCCCCTCTTCTATAAAAAAAAAAAAAAAAAAAAAAAATATAGTTTTAAATAGTTACTTAAATTTTACAATTATCAGCCAAAACGTAACTCAAACCACATTTCTTTTTGGATATCATCATCATCATTACAGCCCTTAACAAGTCCTCTGCTGAACTTCCCTCAAGGAACGCCATAATGATATACAATATAAGCACGGTACTGAGGCACCTACATCTATTGATTTCTTGCATATCTCACCAGGATTTAACTTACCGGTACGAGGTTGTCACTCGAGAAGCTTTCTTCCCCATTGGCTGTATAGAGCTATATGGCCGGCCCATTGCCACTTCCGCTTACTTATCTAACAGGTTATGTCGGTTATTCTGTTATGTCAGTTACTCTGATACTACTGCGTATATCCTCATCTGTAAGTTTATTACGCAGAGAAAGCCCTAAAATAGCCCTTTCCATAGCTCGCTGAACGCCCTTGAGCTTCCTCAAACGGCCAGCAGTGAAGGACCACGTCTCAGATCCGTAAGTCAACACAATAACACTCACTTTTGTCCGAAAGAAATTCGATTAGACTTTCACTGTAGCATATTATTTTATTCAAAAACGTTACACCCGAGGGAGGGGGGGGAGTAATTTAGACTTTTCTTATGTATAGTGAAGGCATTTTATATACATAACTTTACTTACATTCACACTTGGCATATAATTTGTAGGCCCTACTTATGTATATGCACTTGTTCCGTGCGGGCTTAGAAGCCGCAGACACGCGGCGTCGCATCATATTTTTCATTTAGGTATTTCTATATTAAAGATACTGTAAAATGTTAGTAAATTTAATAACACTTAGTATTTTCAACATTACGTTTGATAATTTATCAGTAAAACGTAGAAATAAAAGCTACGTACCCCAGCTTTGATAGCTAGGGTACAGGGTAATACTTATTGATAGATAAATTTCATAACGTTTAATGTAAAATTTAAAAAAAAATGGTAAAATATCAGTGCCATGGGCATCTATTCCGCTCACCCGTTACACTCTATTTTTTCGAGACCTAAACAAAATCTTCCAGTATAGAAAGATCAGTCTCAAAAGAAAAATCCTTTGCATGAACCTTTTCTTAGTATAAATTAATTGAGTTGTTATAATATTGCAAATCAATGCATCGATTATTCCTAAGAAAATATTTTGCAACAATAAAAAATATTGAGCAAAAGCCAAGAAGATGTTAATGTGGAAATGGAATTCTGATCATGTTTACAAAATTTCAGCGGATGTGGTCAGCCGTACATACTCAATATTAAAGTAAATCCTCATCAATACTTAATGTTAATCCCCATACTCTAAAACATGACAGACGTAATAGTATGTTTTTGCTAAATATTTTTTTATATTAGGATAAAGGTGACAAACGGATACACAATCCACCTGATGGTAAGTGGATGCTGTGGCACATAGACATCTACATCTATCATTGATAAATAATCAAAATAAGATGCGTTGCCACCCTCGAGGTTGCCTCGTTTCCAGTAACAAGGCTCTCCAATTATCTACACTCACCATACGAACCACAGCAGCATTTAATACTACAACCATAATGTAGCTACAGGATGGCTCTACTGTGTTTAAACTTATGAACCACGTATAAAGTTAGTTGAGATATATTAATTAATAATTAATATAATAAAAAATTAATATAATTTTTGCCGCCAAAAAGCAGTGTTCCGGTCTGAAGGCTAGAGTAGAGGGTAGAGCCAGTACATGGCAGTATATGTGAGGCATTCCATCTTAGTCCTTGGAGGTAACGACGCATTAGAAACCTTCTTTATTTTGAGTTGGCTACGGGTACCCATTGATTGCAGTACGAGTAACCATTTACCATTAAGTGGACTGTAAGTTCATTCGTCATTTCAGTTTTCTAAAAAAGTTTCAAGTTCAGTTTTATAGAAAAGTTTCATGTTTAGTTTTATAAACAAGTTTCAAGTTCAGTTTTCTAAAAAAGTTTCAAGTTCAGTTTTCTAAAAAATTTTCAAGTTCAGTTTTATAAAAAAGTTTCAAGTTCAGTTTTCTAAAAAATTTTCAAGTTCAGTTTTATAAAAAAGGTGATAAATTAATAGTAGGTACATACATATTTCGCCGTAAATTAGATTTAGTTTTATTATGAATATAATATGATTTGGCAACTTAACAACGAACTTAGAATTTTGAGACATTATATTTCTTTTATAAATCACTCGAAATCCAAGCATTGGAAATTTGCTTATTGCAGTTAACGAAAATAGAATCGCTTGCATTTTTCGTTAATAAATTATTGTCCTCTTTCGTCCTGTAGGTATCTTAGGGTGACTGTGGAACACCCAGAACGGCAGAAAGACCCTATGATAGATGACACACACATTTGGCGTTTTTTCCAAATTTGGAAAATACGCAAAAAGTATGTGTCACTTGGTACGAAGATTGCCTACGCAAAGGCAAACTTATTCCTTTGAATCTCATGCAAAGGCTGTTGTCTATCTGACTGTTTATCATTATGATTTCCTAGACATTACTTTTTAATTTATTTATCATATCAAAGCTGTATACAAAAGCATAATTAAAATAGCATCCATAAACCACAAAAGTAGAATATACGCAATATTACAAATAGTTTTAAAATCACATACAATGTGTTGCAAATAGTTTTAAAATCGGGATAAATTTAATTTTTTATTAACTAGATACTTGGTAAGTCAATTTCAAGTGTCAAGATCAGTGTTTCAAGTAGATTTCAAGTAGGAAGTATGAATTTAATTCTGTTTTAATATTTTCTCGTGTAATGTTATCGTAAATAAGAGGGTAAGTTGTTTATCAATCGGTGAACCAAATAAGTAGCTGGGCATTCGCCGTAGATGTTAACACAGATAGTATAATACTGACTTTGTGCGGCTGCTCGCGTGTAATGTTTAATTTTTACAGTAAGTTTTTATTATTATATTTTTAAATTGTATATATTTAAATTGTGTGTTAGTGGATAAAATAATTTAAATAACTTAATAATACAATAATATAATAGTTTAATTTTAAATTTTTAACGATAAATAAGATTTTTTGAATTTTTTGAATTTTAGTTGATGCTTACAAATTTGATTGAGATTTAAATTATATATGCGCCCATAACTACTGAGTCCGTACTGTATAAAAGATTCAGCTAATGAGTTATAAAGAATCAACTTAGCTTCGAAGGGTAGGTATGCGATTCTTAAGAATTATATTATTCGGTAATAATTGCTTCAGCTTATTACAAACGTTAAAAATTGTTTCATAATGTGATTTTAAATAAGTTAATTTATCGTACGCTCTTAATATTAAATATCAAAGGTATAAGAAAAATAATACTTTCTTTCCCATTGCTGTAAGTAAAATATAATTAATGTATATAACGCGCAAGATACCAAATAAGTTTTAAATAAGAAATAACACTCTGTAACTCAATGAATGTGAAAAAGTAAAAAATGTACTTTATTAATTTCTAATAAATAATAATTGGTGATGAAAGTCATTGCATGTTTGATTAATATAGTACGTGAGGGTAATATGGTTATCTGGTTTATAATAATAATAATAAAATAAGGTCACTTTCTTATAGCTCAGAAACTGCAGCCTTGTTTGCATTGTTGGCTTTGTGATACGATAGCTCTTCATCGGTCGATGGAATAATAACGGACGCGATGTTTTATTGACGCCATTTTGATAGTTGATGTTATAGTAAATATTTTAGTCGATTTTAGTATGGCGTAGTGTAGTTAGTTTTCTTAAGTAGATTTTCGAAGTGTTGTTAATTATTGTCAAAGCTTGTTTGGAATTTTTTTCTTAATATATTAGTTATAGTATACGACTTTGTATTTTTGTCTCTGACCTCTGCCTAGTTTTGGTTTTATAGGGCGGCAAAGTTTAAGGTGACCGTATTACTGTATCACCCTCACATAACCTTATAAGAAGCTGTATTACTAGTCTTCAAGAGTGATAAAAATAAGAAAAATGTAACATTCTATTAGAAGTTCCGCTAACTAGTATGTTAAGCAGAGGTCACAGGTCCATTGCGATTTAATAATGCGTATGTGGGTATGTAGTGGACTTCGTATGTCCGCGAAATATCATAATTTATTAGACACGTGGGTTTTCTGATGCAATAAACATGGTAAATTTACAATTTACGGGCACTATCAACAACTTTAGTGGCAGAAATTAAGCTTGAGTTGCTGATGTTCAACAATATATAACGCGAACGTAGTACAGTCCCTGAGCTACAAGAGCATACTGAGGTTTATTTTTATTCAATCAATCAATAGCAACAAATATGTAACATTATATTTTTATAGTTAATCTAGCTTGCCAGGCAGACAAGCTAGATTAACTATAAAATATAATGTTATGTTTGCCCTTTTCGACGACCCTTTGTCATGTCCTATTAAAAATTTTTAAATTCGCAAAAAAAAAGTGGATCACTTATAATAGGAAAGGAACTATCCTATCTCTCAAGTTGGACTAAAAACGCACATGGTGTGCAAATTTGATTAAAATCGGTTAAGCACTTAATTTATATATATTAAGATTACGAAGTTAAATTATTATTTTTTGTCTTCAGGTGGGAGAGCTCGTGATCTTCGACAGGAGACTGACTATTCTTCCCGGCAGTAATGACCCAAAGCTAGTAATATGGGGGTGTCAGATGATTTAGCCCCAAGCTTCACTCAGAAGCCGCAGCTGCGCCAGGAGGATGACGGAAACAAGCTCATCTTTGAGTGCCAGCTCTTGGCATCACCCAAACCTGAAATTAGCTGGTACCGCAGCGATGAACTGCTCAAAGAAGATAATAGGACTAAGTTTAAGTGAGTATTCTCCTTTACTGGCTTTTTTTCTTTTTTTACACGTCTACTCTAGAAAGCGGGGAATCTTTTTTGAGTGTATGTATGTACATGGTACCTCCGAAATTTCTGTCTTTGATATACTCTTTAGCCTAAACGGCTTGATATATTTTAAGATAAAGGATGTAGTTAGATTCTTTGCAGTTGTGGAAGTTATGTGAAAAGAACTTATAATATTTGATTTTTTTCTTTTCAGTAGAGTTTTTATGCAGTTAGATTTTTAATTACTGTTTGAAAATATTCTTTTATTTTAGTTCTGAAATCAGCTTTTAATTTTTATAAAAAAATAATAATTTTTTTGCCATTTTGAATGGAATAAGGAATACCACGATCTCAAATTTATCTACATATATACAATATGTAACGTAATTAACGCACACCCTCGGACTCCCCAATTATTATATTATGTTATAATCATAATACATACACTGAATTTTTAGTTAAACATTTTTATGCACTGATTATTTATCTAATTAGTTATACTAATTCCGGAAGAATGTTGTGGTCACAGTACAAATCCACGAACGCAAAGACTTTAACATGCTTGAAATAAAGTTCATTTTTCTTTTTTTTTATTGAATTATAGAATTAGTAATAATACAAATAAAACTGCACTCTTAAAAGTCTTACTGCCCTAAGTTACGGTCCATTTCAGTTTGTTTTGACTGTAAAGATTTAGTGTGACTGTAATTTACGTAGTTTTAATTATTTTTGGGATAAAAAATTACCTATATTAAAAATGATAGGAACGGATTCAGTAAATGATTCTGAACAAACTACTTTCTCAAAGTGCGTTAATTATGTTACGTGTTGAAGTTACACTTGGGTTGGGTTTGCAACTAAGTCACCTGAATTTGAGAATTCTGTCACTGTGGGGGGGGGGGGAGGCTCAAGGGGGACTATCTGAAATTTTTTCTGCCGGAGCAGCGTCGAAGTATTTTTAATAATTTTTGTAAAATATTGGTAACTCACTAACTAAACGTGAAATGGAACCTACATTTAACTAAATTCTATCGTTTTTGACGTTGCATCTGTCAAAATCATCTCAAAATGCGTAAAATGAATCACTACGCCAGCTATTTTGTTGACAGTGACAGATATACTTTACGTCATTCCATTCTTTCCGAGTTTACGTGAACGTGCTCCCTAACGTTTTTATCCGCCTCCACCTGTTTTTCGACGACTTCGCTAGCTCTTTGGATCTTTTTTTACAAATATCTGTAGCTATAAATTATATTTGTAATTTAAAGTAATTATAAAAGTTAATATTTTTGTATTTTACTGAGTGTAATTTGCGAGCAAAGTGAGCTCGGGACTTAGGGCACCCCGACTCGGACAGTTTAGGTTAGAAGGACAAGCAAGGTCAAGTGAGCGAACGAATAGACACTGCCCTTCCTTTCGTGGTTATTTTTTATGAACCACTCTGAAATAGTAGCCCCGAAGCGGGACTCCGTCGACTAGGCTTTCCTCGACTGCGCCGCGTTATGTGGCGTGGGGCTTCACTCCCCCAACTCTCTACCCCCATAAATCAGGTTTATAGTCAAAAACATTACGAAAACATAACCTCAAAATAGGATTTTTAAAAATTTATAAAAAAAGAACTAAGCACGTCCGGCAGGGGAGGGAAAATGGGAAGGCGACCCATGCCTCCCTCCCCACCACCCCCATCCCCTAACTCAGGTGACTTAATTTCAAACCTTACCCCCTCTGAAGTATGATCTATTTAATGGAAAGTAAAATTTAAACTGGTTCACAATTGACAAAGATATTACCTTACACACATAGATACAAACATATAGTCGAATTGTCAACCTTCTTTTATGAATTCCAGTTAAAAATCCTTTCAAATCTGCTATTTGTCTTTATTCGCTGCTGTACGTTTTTATTTGATTTATTTTAACAACAATAAATTAAATAGTGAACGCACGCTTTCCCTCGATTGCAGCGCTCATTATTCATTATTCAGTTTTCTTATCGACGCTTATCAAACTTATTATATTACAAGTAAGACAAAAGCACGCGTATCAAGCGTAGCAACTATGGCAAAATCTATGGGGGGGGGGGGGGGCATGAGAATGGATTTTTGATTGGCTGTAATAAACTATTTAAAACAACACTTCATCTAATTTTAAATTGACATGTCTGCATGTGCAAGTGTGAATGTACTTACACCTAAAATTGATATCGATTATAAATTCTGAACTCGATTTATCGATACTAGGCCCATTTATTTCCCTCACTTCCGGATAACTTCTATGAGATATTTGATGTGTTGTGTTGAGAAATAATGACTGTATATTTCATGACTACCACCTATTATCATTGCGATTATCACAGCTCATTATAAATGCAGTTATTTTTTTTCAACTCCTAATATAAATTTCCTTCAATCAATTACTTTTTATTACTTATGTGTATTTTAAATGAATCGCGTCATATTTTTGTATAACCTTTTTTTTTTGTTAAAAGTTTTAACAGACCACAGACTTACCACAGGACTTAGTTAAAAACTATATTGGTCAATTGTTAAAGTCTATTTCGAAAAACGAACAAAATCAATTAACTAACCTAGGAGATACTATGAAAAATACAGTTCAATTAATAGCCTTATTATAAAACAACGCAACTTTCGTTAAAAATAGAAGGCTGCTCTGGGTAAATAAGAACTTGAACATAAATTAAGAAAAATAAATCATAAGTAACTTGAATATGCATATTTCCAGACAGAGACAACGTCAGTAAATTAGGTCAACGATCGAAATGGCCATCCATTGGAGTACTTTAGAGTCCGTTCGCCTTGATACTTCTTTGATGTAGATGGTTGGTGGCAAATATTGGCACACTTGGCACCGATATCTATCCTATCACTACAACAATCATCATGCGTTACGATTAGTTTTCGTGAATGTATATGAAAATAATCTACTTTGATATTTGACTTTACTAAACGATCGTTTAAAGGTTTTTCGGCTGAATTGCTATTTTTATTTTTTGCTATAACTGGAACAAAGGAGAATAAATTATTTATTTTTACAATCCTGAAATAATAAATAATAGTAATAAATAAATAATTTTTATTTCATTTCCAATTACACGTTTACATACATGAACAAATATGATTACAATTAAATAAAGTAACAATAATTCTAATAAAAATAATAAGCAATAATAAAAATTAAAACTATGTGTGGCTTAATAATATAGAATCTACAAAAGAAAAATTGAAAAGTCACGTTTATAATATTATCTACCTGCCTCAACTAGGTTGAGTACCTGTGTTTCAGACCATCACTTACACTATGAGCTTAATAACGTAGGACAATAGATAATTTAATTTAATAATTATTAAGTATTAAATTTAATATTAAACTATATTATATACAATAAATAAAAAAAAACTAAGTAATAATTATTTGTTACCTACAATTAATACAAACTATTTTAAAATTTCTAACAACTCTGTGTCTTCGTAATTTAATTTATTCAGATATTCCCTTATAATAATTAAACATTTCTTATAACTTACACTATATATTTTAGGAACTTGTTGAGCTTGTTATATAGAAATGGTCCTAAAATATGTAAAATGTGTTCACAAATGCGTGTTTGGTTTGAGGGTTTACACAAACTAAGTCCATCCTTCTCCTGTCTATGGATTTTATGTAAAATGGAAATTCAGTATGCTGTTTTAATATGATGTTCAGGATAAACAACTGACGGACAGTCAGTACACTACATGTCAAGTAAAGTTGACGTGAAGGAAACATGATTGGACGGAAAGTGGCTACCTTTAGAACTGCTAAAATTAAAGTATTTGTACTATACAGATAACGTTAGTAAATTTTGAATAGTACAAGTGTCTGTAAAAATCTAGAGTAATCTGTAAGAATCTAGAAATCTGCATTCGTTATAAAAAGCACTATAACGTGTCACACGATTTTACTGTTCGTTTTTTTTTTACTGATTTCTCGTATTGGATGTCGTATCTTAACCAAGTAACTGGAATTAACTGATCCATACAACTTATATAGATTGGAACATTCACTGTGTTTTTATATATGTTCCTGTTGTATTTCTATGTTTTATTTCTCTATTTTGATATGTAATAAGTTGTAATTTTGGTATCGATCTCATGGATCCATCCATTTATTACAGCCTATAAAAGTCCACTGCTGAACATAAGCCTCCTCCATGGACTGTATGATGGGGGGGATTTTGTAATAGCTGCTATGCTAGGCAGGCGGGTAGGCCACCGCAGTTTTAGTTCTTATCGGGAAGATCCACATAACGATATGAGAGACTCGAATGCGGGTTAAGACAAGGAGGGTTGAGTTCACCTACGCTTTTCAACCTTATAGCACGTGAGGGTAATAAGGTCATCCGGTTAATATGGTCACTTTCTTGTAACTCAAAACCTACAGTCTTGTTTGCATAGATGGCTTTGTAATACGATAGCTCTTCATAGGTCAATCAAATAATAAAGGGTCAAAAGGGAGCTGCTTCATCGACGCCATTTTAACAGTTGATAACATAATAAATATTTTACTCAATTTCGCATTATGTAGTGTAGTTAGTCTTATTTAGGTTGATTTTTCGAAGTGTTCCTAATTATTGCCAGAGTTTGTTTGTTATTTTTTCTCAATATATTAGTTATAGTGTACGAATTTGTGTTTTTGTCTTTGCCCTCCTCCTAGTTTTGGTTTTATAGGCCGGCAAAGCTTAAGGTGACCATATTACCCGCACGTACATTATAGATAAACCTACGAGTCAAGTATATGCAATAAATAATCCAAATATTGCCACGGTTTAGTGCCCCGTCCAAACTCGCTGAGCACACGAGAATAGTTTTTATGTCAATACACCGATAAGATGTGCTTTACAACAACATCCCAAACACGCTTGCAGATGGGAGGGATTCTACAATTACGAGGCATTGGTAACTGGTGTTCAGAGCGAGCTCCTGTGGTAGAATCTTGGCTACTAAATTATGAATTAGAAAGCTCCAAAGTTGAAGTAGTAAAGCAGTGAAGGTATAAAAAAGTCGAGGAAAGTTAAAATAAGGTCTACCCATAGTGTAATTGTAAGAGGTTTCCCATATAGCTATTTCCAGAACCAACTTTGTACATAATACACATCAACAAATTGTCAAATTACATGAATCATGCAACGATGTTGTTTGCAGATAGTTAAAATAATATGAAAATAAATATAGTCAAAACACAATTGATGCAGGTCCTTTCTGTAAGCAGTAGCTAAAAACTGTGTATTAAAATACAACGATGTACCAATAGTAGAAGTAAACGCTGTAAAGTATATGGATATGTTAAAGAAATTGGTGATAAATTAAACAAATTTGCGTTTGCTTTACGTCATCTGAGAAAATTTTCATAACTACTAACAGCATTAAAAGCTTATTATGATTATGTTGCATCTGCCTTAATATGGTAATTATATGGTGTAAATAAGTTAACGCGGATTGTATTTTTTTTTCTACAAAAGAAATGTGTAAGAACATGTATGATAAATCATTTACTACGGATCATAATTTTTTTGACAAAAGAAATGTATGAGCGCAACGTGTGGAGTGAAATATTTAGAATTTTATAAACCAACATTCATAGAATGTAAAATATTGAGGCTTACTGTTTTATACGTCTTTGAAAATATTACAAGAAAATAAATGTACGAGGAATAGATCACGGAAGTAAAGTAAAAGATAATTTACATATACGATTGTAAACTAGTACTGATCAAATATAACGTATTTCATATGGCAATGAAAGTTTACCTGGGAACATTTTTAAAGAAGCACTGTTTGAATAAGTATTAGTAAGAGTAAGAGCTGTTTATGCACTGCTTCCGATCCGAATGCGTTTAAATTCTAGTAAACATAAATTCAGAAAATTCGACTTGAATTTGAAAGTCGAATGCACACTTCGCATTGTAAATTCGATAAAATACGGTTGCCGTTTGTACACTTGAAATTCGAAAGTTTTGGCAATTCACATACCGCGCTAACGTCTTTCATTATGGTTCCTCTCGATCACCTTCAAATTTTGGCCACCACCACCCGCTTAATGGGTCGGATTCGATGCGGAAGAAGTGCGCAAGCGAAAATACAAGTAATACTGTGGTGTTCCGTGAATATTATATTCCGAACTATATAGTAATTCTTGACTTCGTAAACCGGAATTCGGATGTAGTGCACAACCCCTCATAGAAATAATACTACAGCTATTTCGGATCAACATTTCTCGGATTCAGAACGGATGCAGTACGCAAACGCTGAAAGGAAACCGCGCGTGCCGCCATCTTGAATTAAGACTGCTAGCGCATGCAAAATTATTCCAAAAAACTTGTGCACAAAACTGATATTAAAATATGTAACCTAGGGGTATATCAAAGCATTCTGTCTGAACCATTGTCTAATGCTGCTCAAATGGTAATTTAGGATTAAACCCTATTTTTTTTAAAAAACCCAAAAAAAAAAAAGTGTTAAATATAAGAAATAATTTAAGAAATTGTAGTGTGTTATTTAGTTATAAGGTATAATGGGACTGACATGTTAAAAATAACGTAAGTCCGTAAATTAAAAAAAAAAAGAATTTAAAAAAAGTTGTCACGACAACGGCTACACTTTTACTAAGTTTTCTTCATAACCAGGTGGTATGGGTGATAGTAGTCAAGCACTGCTTAATAATACGGTAAAAAATGTGCACAAAGTTGATGTTGATAAAATTTCTCAATAAGAATAAATGATTAAAAATTATGACGCACACTACAGCACTTAAACTTCAGTATATATTGAAAATAACCCTTATGATAATCTTTACTACATAATTGGGCACTTTTATTTAGTTGACAGTTTAAAAAAAGTATTTTTTAAAGCTTTAAAGCTTTACACAAGCAACCGAAGCTCGCGACGGGGACTAGTAGAAGGAAGAGTATGTCCGGTAACGTAATCACCAATTCGCCTGTCAAGCTTGGCGATTTCCCTCCTTACACGGGAGAATCCTACGTTTAGTAGTGAACTTTAACCGGATGGTATAAAAGAACCTTCGATGCCGACATTCTTGGATCACTTTGGACGATAAGATAAAACACTAAAAAAACTAGGAGAAAGATTCTAATAAGTGCAAGTTTGCATAGTATTTTGTACCGGTCTGTGGGCTGTGTTTCGGCATTTTTGGGATACATTTTCCACTTTCAGTTGAAGAAAGTTAAGCCTTTAGAGAAAACTGTATATTTCTATTTATTGAATTTTTGGATAAATAAAATAAGTAAAAATAAAAAACCTTTAATTTCTTGCATATCCAAAAGAGAGACGAAAACAATTAGATTGTGGCTTTACATTATGGGCAAAATTTAAAGTTAAGTATACAGTCAAGATGCCTAATTCTAGTGTTATTATAGTATTAACTTAATAATAATATTTATTTAATTATTTAAATTCTAATCTGGAAGAAACCCTTAGCAGGTGGAAACCTCCTCCAAAGAAGTCCATTTATCACGCTCTAGGGCTCCCTGAATTTAGCGAGGGCCAGCCGTCTTAGTTACGTCGTTTTCTTTTGTGACGTGCTCCTTTTGAGTCTTCTTGGGTACAAAGTTATCTTTTCAGTCCATCTTTCATCTCGTAACCACATTTTACGTCTTGACCAATGCCGTTTTAGTATTAGGGTATAACTTAGTGTCTTGTGTCATACTTCTTATTTTGTGTATCGTACTTTTTGCATTTTCTTTATACTGATGCTTGCATGCTTATATACATGCTTAGCTCCATTCTTTGGTAGATAATGATTTTTGCTTAGTTTAGGAAATGTATTTCTACGTCTGACAATATATGTTATGAACCGTAGGAGTGATCAAACTACGTATGGTATTAATCTAAGGAGTCATGGCAGCATTGACATTAGTTTTTATGAATTTGAATGTCTTTTATTTTTATGTTCATTGACTTTAAATATATCTCTCAAACTCTAATATTTGTTTCAAGCGGTTTGATCTTCTCCATTCTGTCTAGTTCGTTGCTTTTCCAGTTGAAGCCTATTTGCGAACCTAGAACCTATTAGAGACCTAAATGTATAGGAATATATGTGCAAATATTTCCTTAGCTTCCTTAAAATATATAGTTTAGAACACAATAAACAAAATAACTTTTATTTACATTTAACTTTTTATTTACACATTTAGCGGAGAAGGTAAGTGTCTATTGTAATAATTTTTATTTATATTCCTTACAGGATCCAAAGCATTGCCAACAACAAGTTCCTGGTGATACTGGAGTTGGATGACGTGATCGAGACCGATGCGGGACTCTACAAGGTTAAAGCTAAGAATAAGATGGGCGAGGTGGCCGCCTCCATCAATCTTAACTTTAGCCGTAAGTTTTTTTTTTCAGTTTTTACATCCAGTGATTTCGTTCCCCTAACACTTCATATGAGCTCGAAATATTTTATTTTCTTAGACAAGCAGTTTACCTCACGACTTTTTTAACATCTGAGCATTTGATAAATCAACACTTAAAATTCAAAGTAATAAATTCAGAGGTAATGGGTGAGGATTGAACTTTAGTAGCTCGCATACAATTAATTTGCGGCGTGCGCCTAACCCCAGAGCCACAACAGCTCCTAAGCCAAAATAACACGAAATGTCAATAGTCTAAAAATCATCAATATTGGTTCAAACATTTGTTACAATGTTTGTTCGTAATTCAATATGTGTGCCAATAAAAATTCCTTCACAAATAACAGCATTAGTCATAGACGAAAATAAGTGACAACAAAAATGACTTCGGAGCACTAACCCACGCTTGACGCGGTGCGCCAAAAGACGAAAATTGGCAAAATAGCTGTTGGTAAGGCGTATTGCTTAATATTAATCGATGACGATCGACTGCTGAAAGCTCAGTTGTAAACAAAATGACGAATAGAGTGATGTAGAGAACAGATTATTTGTATCAATTCTAAGAATACATCTATATCGTATTCAATTTTGCCCGAATGTGTTCACGTTGACTAAATGTTTAACGCGGTACGTGGATCACGTGCAGCTATATTATGGTTGCACCACATTTAGGTCGACTCAACCGAGATGGCCCTCGCTCACACAGAAATCCAACGTAAAGTAGCAACTCAATCCCGCTGTGTTTCGTATTATGAGTATAGAGAACCGGAGATCCTTTTTACTGTTAACGGGGCTTTCTGGCTTACACAATGTATCTATACATTGATTCTTAGTTAAAGACACCATCAAGTAGACTGTAGGTCCGTTACCCTTCATCTATAAAAAAACCATTCCTCCAAACTGAATTCAATTATTAATCAAATAACAAACAGTTAATAATGGATATGCAATTAAATTAAAAAGTAAATGTTGTTGTTTTTTTTTAATTATTCAAATACGTGAGCATATAAATAATATTTGAACATATTAATGGTATTGAAATAAAACTATATTTACGGATTTTATCGTGTGTAATTAACTATTATAAATTATTTTTAATTCTCGACGTTTTGGGTTTACTATCTATCAAGTGTAATATTTCTAAATAAGATGCAGGAGTGTACAAGCTAGATAGTGAATGTGATCTCTCTTACATAGGTCAAACAATATCGATAAAAATCCGCGTGAAAGAACATATAGCTGACGTGAAGCACTGACAATCCGGGAAGTTTGCAATCTGTGAACATGTTCAAGATCGTTGTTATTTATTATTTGTTTCTATTATATGATATTAAACAATTTCTCATCCTACTATTTAGAGTTAGGCCTAATATACTTCTTAGTGACCGTATTTCTATTCTAACCTCTAATACACATTTCAACAATGGCAACAATGACCTATTATGTGAACCATTACATCAGATTTGATAAACTACAAATCCTCGCAAAAGAACACCGATTCCTACCAAGGATGATACGCGAGGCTATTGAAATTAAAAAACATCCTAATTTTAATAGACAAGAGGGATGGGACTCCAAATTAATTAAATTAAACCCAATTAAACTAAATTCAACCCAAACTCAATCATAACGCTGCAAGACTTACTATAAGCTCGTTCTGCGTAGTTTGGACCAAAAATTAATATTCAAAAACTGAGGTGTTTGACATTGTGACGTCATAATCTCAGTTCTCCACGTGACCATGGGTGCTTTACAGAAAAAGTTGGAAATTAAAAATAAGTAAGTTTTATTCAATGTGTAGTGCTTGCGTAAATTTAAGAAATCATCATATTAATGATAACTGCGTTGCATATATTATTTTTAAAAGAAAGGAGGAAGATTCTTGATCTTAAACTTATTGGGGAAGCACAGCGGACGTATTATTTGCCTTAAAACCCTCTCAAAAATTAGAGAAGGCCTGCACCAAGCGGTGGAACGAATATACGAGAAGTCTGTAACTTTATGTATGAAATTGATGCAGTATGAAACAATTAATTTGTTTTACAAGCAAATATCAACTCAGTCTAGGACATTGATAGCTTAGGTGTTGGGCGCCCGTCATGAATTTTATAGCAGGCAAGTAACCCGAATTCAATCCCCATCACAATCAATGAAATTATTTATCGCAAATTTTATTACCAGCCACTCAGTCTCAAAAGATTAGGAATTTGAAAAAAAAATCGGAACTAAATATTATGACGTCACTCTTTACAAAAGCACGCTGTCACGGATCATCTACATGAATTTTGAATATAATTCTAACTGCGCTCTTTATTGTATGATTAATGAAAATATTAAAACTTGGTAGAAATATAATGGAAGAATGTGATTTCTTTCACTATCTTTAAGCTGAAAATAAAAGTAGAATCTAGAACAAATCTTAAACACCTGGGTTTATTTCAAGAATTAGCACCAAGATACATGTTATGTCTGCTTGATGTTACTCAAATATATAAACATTTAACTCCCGATAATCTATTAAAATTGTGTTCAACATTCGCATTTTATAGCTTTTGTATAGTTTTTGATTTACACGAATGGCTTTTCTACTAAATCACGTTTATATTGACTCTGTTTTTTGTGTTTCAGCCGCTGACGAAGAAAAACAGAAGTAAGTATTTATTCCAACATTTTAATAAAATCTAAATCTCCATGAGTTATTCCTAGGCGTTAGTATAAACAGTCTCCCATTAAAAGTGGTTAATTTTGTTAAATAATGTCAAAAATTTAGGTTAGGCACCTTTCGATAGTTCGCCTTGACCAGTTTTCTGTACGGTCCGTCAGATTTAGATTATATTTCTAATTAGAATGGTTATGACTACAGTCAAATTCTCCATTTCCTGCTAGCAAACAAAAACAAGATGAAGTGGGTAATAGAAATACAATTAGTGTTCATATCATTCCCATATTCTTAAAAATATCGTACATAGTCGTAATATTTTCATAACAAAATTGTAATGACAAAATAAATATTTTAGCAAACATTACAAATACTTTTTCTTGTGGAAGGTGGTTTGGTATTTTTAGTACAAAAGACGGTTGTATCATTTTATTTTCTTGCATTGTTGCTAATAAAATACTGATTTTTAAACATATTTGTATGCTAAGAATAATTCAATCAGAGTGTAGAAAAATTTTACTTGAGATCTCGTTTTAAAACAAATGTTTAAGAAAACTGGCTTATTATTACCTATTATTTTCGTCAATTTCTTTTAGTTTATCCTCGTTAATCTTTAATCACAGACAAATAGACGGTAAAGCGCCCACGTTCGCGCGAAAGCCCGCTATAAGACAGGAGGATGACGGGAAACGGCTGATCTTCGAGTGCCGCATAGAGGCCGAGCCTGTACCCAGCGTTGTCTGGTTTCACAACACAATGGAAGTCAAACCAGGCTCAAGACATAAGGTGAGACACTTTACGCTTATGAGAAAAATCAGTAAATGCAAACATTCATAAAATTTGTGTTAAACTATGTCATTTAAAAATACAGAGTGAGTTTCGCTATAATTTAATAAACTTTATTAAATAAAAAAGTTATTTAAAATAAGCCTAGTTATTTAATATAATATTATAGGCATTGCTAGAGCCATCATTCGAGTTAGTCATTACATTAACTCTATGTTAACACGGTACTATATTACTGCATTATTGTCGAAATTAAATAAGTATGCCAAAAGAAAAGGGAAAGAAAAAGGACGTCTACTCACTACCTAAAAAAAACTACTTACGTATGCTTGAGGCATCGAATGTCAGAAAGTGCTTCAAAAATTAATTTCAATTAAAAAAATAATTAGAAAGCCAGTAAATAAAAAAAAAACTTTGATAATATTTATTAATTTTAAGTTTTATTCTATTTATTTATTTTATATATTATGGGTGGATATTTATAAATGTATTTATTTACATATATGTGTGCAGATAAATATATTAATTTTATGATTTTATGTTTTATATATTATATTATAACAAAATGCACGCCATATTATGTTTTATTTTTTATATAAGTATCTTTCTTTATAACTAGCCTACTGGAAGAAAATTTATTGTGAAAAAAGTATAGCCCTTGTATAATACAATTTTTTATCAGGATGTATGCTTTCATTAGTATTTTTATTAATAAATTAATGAATTCAAATAAAAATATTATAAACTAAGGTATGTGATGGTTATATGGTCACATTAAGCTTTACCCCCTATAAAACCAAAACTATCAGAAGGGCAGAGACAAAAACACTAAGTCGTATACTATAAGTTATATATAAAGGAAAAAAAACCCAAACAAGCTTTGGCAATAAATAGAAACACTTCAAAAAACTTCAACTTAAATAAATTATAACTACACTAAAATCGACTAAAATATTTACTATAGTGTCAACTGTCAAAAAGGTGTGTATAAAGCAGAGCCCTTTTGACCTTTTATTATTTTATTGACTGATGAAGAGCTATCGTAAAAGAGAGTCATCTATACAAACAAGGTATAGGTTTTGAGGTATAAGAAAGTGACCATTATATGGTCAAACGGATGACCATATTACCCTTACATACTATATAGTACTAGCTGGTACCGGCGCATTGCCGCCACAGAAGAAATATCGTTTTAAAGTTGGAAGAGTTATATTGTTTAATTAGAAATGATAATACATTCATTGAACTTGAATGATGTGTATGTAACTTTCAAATATATTTGTTAGTACGATACGCGCGCCACCTACAGAAAGTTAATTGTACTATGCTCATTACCTTCACGCAAGTGAAAGTAATAAGTAGACAAAGTTTAGCACAATTTGATATAAAATACGAAACATACAAACATAGTTTTTATATATTAAATAAAAATATTTTACACTTAGTGTATGCTCTCAGATTTCGCTACACATTACCGATAGACTAAAAAGCGAAAACACGTAAAAAAAATATACACATACTGTCTTTATATTTCGTTTTCTGGAACCGTTTTTTCTAGTACAAAATGCCGCCGTCACTGACAGAAGAACTGAGCGAGAGTGAGAACATGCCTATCCAGATCCAGATCATTTCTTGTCTGGTTTTAGAATAATTCTACGAGAGTGTAGAGAGTAGAGCGTGCATACATTCAGAGTGCAAGAGTATAGAAGACAAACCAACCAAGTGATTTTTTTTTAAAAATTACGTATTTAAATAAAAATATATATCAGTTTGTTCATATTTTTACACAATATAAACATCCATACTATCCAATTTCAAACTCTTTTTCAAATTTTTTATTCTCTTACTCATTAGGAAGATGGTTTAAAATCAATTAGTAAATTTGACCCTAACAGACATACATACTCGAAAGCGACTTAATGAAAACGTGGTAAAATAATACGTTTATCGAACATTCCAACCACGGGATGCCGTAGGTCTTTGTTGGGGTATAAAATATAAAATTTAAAATAATTATAAAGACGCATGACATAGAGCCTAGTTTTAAAAGTATTAAAAGATGGCCTTGACCTCAATAAACTTGGCTATAAACATAGACACTCGTATACAGTATCTCGCAATATCTACACCTACCTACTTTGGTCTAACCATTAATAATTAAATTCTTTTTCGTAACAATCAGGACACACAATGTTTTAGTTTTTTTTTTTAATATAGCCATTATTCGGCAATCATCAGTCATCAGTCAGCCATAAATATACAAATATAATGTATTTTCTAGTTGAAACCTAAACAGATCTGCCTGTGCAATACTTTATTTACTCTCTTTTTGACATATCTAGGCATTTTTTTCTATTAACCTAATACGTAATCGATTTAATGTAACGTTAGATCAGAAATTCGTTGAAATTATTCCATTCAGATTATTTGAATGCACTAAATTCAAAACAATATTATTTATTATGCAACTTATATATATGTGGCAGATAGACATCTACATATACATAGATCGATTGAGGATAGCCTCGACTACGAATCAAAATGAGGACTAAGATGGAATGCCTGGTTTCCAGTAAAAGGGGTCTTCTCATTTTTGAAAGATTGATGGAACAATTAGTCGCGCTACTCCAGTACGTGTTCTTCAGACATGCAGGGTTCCACAGAATTTTTTCTATCATGAAGCGCATCGTGAATCAGTACTTAAAATAAAAATTTCATGGTTGGCCCAGTACCATCAAATATTCTTTTGATGATACCGGCGGGGATCGAAGCCGGATAATAGCTCGCTGTTTACATCTACCAGAGCTAAATTTAAACGTATATATCAAAAGTATGTCGTGCCAGTAAGTATGATAGCACTTTTAAAGAGAACAATTTATTTCACTATTTTTTAAAGTAACTAGAAATTATAACACGTTATTTTTCTTTTCAATATCGATACAGCTATATGTTTAATGCATAATAGCTCGTTGCTTTTACACTGAAGTCTAAACCAACTATTTGGTTCACATTTTCGTCTAAATCTGATGAATCTTGTATACGTTATGATATTAATGTAGTACTAATTGAACAGTTAACAGTTAAGCAAAGACGGAAAGTCTTACTACGCTTCGTTGGAGATCAACAACGTGACGGTGGAAGACGCTGGTAAATACCGGGTGACTGCCAAGAACGAACTGGGTGAAAGCAACGCAACAATCAGCTTGAACTTCGACAGTAAGACATTTTTTATTGCAATTATATCATTTTGCTACTCATTATAAAATATAAAATATGAACATTTTTAACACAATTAAAAACATGTTTTGACAGTTAAAGAACTTATTATTTGTCATTATATACTGAAATGTCGTATTTAAGATTTTTTTAAACTACCTATGCAGGTTGTCTTCCTATATATATTTTATTCGTATATGGAAGAATACATTTAGGAATAAAATCATAATGCATTTAGGAAGTGACTTTAATATTTGGTGTCACAATTTAAGATTTCACAATTTACTGTAATTTTTAGCATCTTACATAATACATAAAATAATTCTAGGTCGACATTATAAGTCTATTTGTTGTAACTACTGAATGCCTATTAAAATGTGATCAACCTGTTTCAATTCGTCCACTTATTTCCAAGTATTAAGTATAAATTACAGAAATAATAATGCTCATTACGTTTAACATACATTTTACAGATTGTGTGAATCTAATCCATTACTAGTTTTAAATATAATTATGTAGTTCCATAATTGTTCACGTAGAATTTGCAGCTAATCTTAAAATATCATCAAACTAATATACGAGTAACTACAAAATGTCAATTACTCAACAAGTCACACGACACATGCATCTACCTTCAGTAACAGTTGTCATAGATCATAAATTAAGATGTTTTCTTACATGATATTTTTTATTTGAAAGTGCAACACAGTTTAATACACTTCACATATAATTTATTTTAGCTATCTTTTTTACAACACTCTCGCTTTTCACCTATGAATATCCTTGCATGATAATGGTATCTGTTTTACTTACATCTTCACTTTCACGTCTATTTCTATTAGATTTCACGCTTTTATGCTTTAATTAATTATAAAACATCCTTTAATAATCATAGTAAAACTGCTAATTATTTGCTTGGGCATATGCACAATACTATAGAATTAGCAAAGCAACTGTTATGCGTACTGTTTGTGAGATATATCGTAGATCGATGATAATCAAATTTTAATACAAATTTTACAAATTTATGTATTTATATTACTACAATGACTCTTTTCTTTACACCCTTGATTAACTCTTTAATAATCCGTACCTGACTGCGCAAAATAATTAATCAATACACGTATCTGAAAGAAAACATCTTAAATAAGATTAAGAAAGCTGCAAATCTTAGTGATAATGGGACTTAATAATAATAATAATAATAAAAGGCTAATGAAAGAACTGACATATAATAGGCGACGAAGCTCCGGTGCCTGAAGACTTTATCAAACCAACGTTTACGGAGAGACCAGTCATCAGGCAATCGGATGATGGTACCAAAATCACGTTCGAATGTCGATGTGTTGGCAAACCGAAACCAACCATCACTTGGTAAGGAACATAGTAATATCTGGAAATGTACATCCATATTGAAGTAATTCAAAACCTAACAAAAATTTACGTAAAACAGGTACCATGGTAAAAAGATAATAAAAGAAAGTAATCGATATAAAATTACGCTTGAAGAGGACCAAACTTTATATCACATGGCGCGACTTGACATAATAGGTGTAGAAAATACTGATAAGGGAGAATACAGAGCTGTGGCAAGAAACAAACATGGTGAAGGCGTAGCAAAAATTAATTTAAATTTTGAAGGTGGAGACAAAGCAAAGTAAGCTGTTTAAGAATTTTGTTATATTGTAAAGGAGCATCTGTAGGGTAGTAAATTAAATTTTTTATCTTTTGAACAGAATTCCTGCAGGTAAAGCACCAAGATTTCCAAAAAAACCAACTATTGGACAGGAAGGTGATATATTAATTATGGAATGTATATTAGAAGCGCATCCAATGCCAGATATAACGTGGTTTCATGAAGATAAAGAAATTAGAGATGGCGCAAAAATGAAGATGTCACGAAAAGCTATAGGAAAAGATACTTTTAATTTAACATTAGAGATTTTAAACCCGACTAGGGAAGACGGAGGAAATTATCGTTGTAACGCCTTTAACGTGTTTGGTGAAAGCAATGCCAATATTGCTCTCAATTTCCAAGGTAAAAGAGAAATCAAATCCCGATTATCAATCAATGGAAAATAAATACGTACGCATACAGTAGCAATCGCATGTTGAGCCTTTAAGCTTTTTGAGCTGCACTAGTATCGTAACTGTTAGTAGATAGGTATAAATAATTATGAAATATTTTTGCATTTTAGGTGGGGATGATGAAAATGGTTTCGCACCATCATTTGTGGAGAAACCTCGAATCATTCCCAATGAAGACGGCACTCTCATAACAATGAGGTGTGTTTGCAAAGCCAAGCCGGCGGCTGAAGTAACGTGGTACAGAGGCACAACCGTTATCAAGGCTAGCAGCAAAATTGAAATTAAATCATCTATAATTAGCGAAGACGTATATGAATTAGTATTGCTCTTATCTAATCCAACAGCAGCGGATGGTGGTTCTTACCGCTGTCATGTAAGAAATGAGTTTGGAGAGAGTAACGCTAATCTAAACCTAAATATTGAGGCTGAGCCAGAACCTGAAGGAGAAGGACCCACATTTGTTGAGAAGCCTACCATTCAGTCTAAGGATAACGGTAAATTAGTCATAATGGGTTGCAAAGTAAAAGCTAGTCCCAGACCGACGATTGTGTGGTACCACGAGGGTAAAGAAATAAGAGACTCGTCGAAAATCAAAACCAGGGTTGAAGTTAAAGAAGATATTTATACGATTGTTTTGGAACTTCTCGACCCTGGTATTGATGACTCCGGATTGTATAAATGCAATATCAAGAATGAACTTGGAGAGCTTAATGCTAATCTAACGCTCAATATTGAAAGTAAGTGTGTCAAGTAATTATGATTACTTTATTATAAAATATTTTCAAATATATAACAAATGATAATGTATTCCTTTGCAGTCATTCCAGTTATCAAAGAGAAGCCAAAGATCATTAAAATAGTTAAGAAGAAGACTGTAATCGTTGAATGTAAAGTATTAAGTAAATTTGCACCTTCCTGTACGTGGTACAAAGAATCTAGTGCAGTTAGAGAAGATTCTAGACATACTGTTCTTATTGAACCACTCAGAGAAGTTAGTATAGCCTATAATCTAAACTTTTGATCTAAAAAAAGCAAACATATTAATTTCTAAATAATCTTTTTTAGGGTGAATTCGCAGTTAAATTAGAAATATCAAACATTTCCCAACAAGATAAAGGTTCATATAAATTAGTTGCTAAAAACGAAAAGGGTGAGGCGACATCGCAACAAGTTGAAATCACTGATATTCCAGAGGAAAAGGGCGAGAAACCACAAATTATTAAACATCTCAGAAGTCTAGTAAGTATTTTTTTTAATTCTAGTCAACAAATCCTTAATTCGGCTCTATTTTGAAAATTTGCTTGAAGTTAAATGAAAGTATTACGTTTAAATTTTTGTAAAAGTGACTGTTTCTACGATATTGAATTCAACCTTAGCATGAACGGAAAAGAGTTTCAGAAACTGGCCATTCAAAAATGTTATTCGACATTAAACAAAGAAAGATTGAGCAAATTCATTTGTATTATACAATATGTAACGTAATTAACGCACACCCTCAGCACCCCATATTATGTTATAATCATAATACATACACTGAATTTTTAGTTAAACATTTTTATGCACCGATTATTTATCAAATTAGTTACACTAATTCCGGAAGAATGTTGTGGTCACAGTACAAATCCACGAACGAATACTTTAACGTGCTTGAAATAAAGTTCATTTTTTTTTATTGATTGACAGAATTAGTATAATACAAATAAAACGGCACTCTTAAAAGTCTTATTGCCTTAAGTTACGGTCCATTTGAGTTTGTTTTGACTGTACAGATTTAGTGTGACTGTAATTTACGTAGTTTTAATTATTTTTGAAATAAAAAATTACCTATATTAAAAATGATAGTAATCGATTCAGTAAACGATTCTGAACAAACTACTTTCTCAAAGTGCGTTAATTATGTTACGTGTTGTTTATAAACAACGTAATTGATAACTTTTAGAATAAATAAAAAAATTCGTTGCATTTAAAATTGACTAGAATTTCATTGTTATAATTAATTACTTTGGCAATGATAATAATCAAAGGGATCCTAATATTTTAATAACTTTTTTCGTTCACAAAATAACACTTGCTCTGTCGGTGACGGAATTGAAAAATAACCTAACAAATAATTTAAAAGTGTAGTGCTATACTTGCTGATCACATCACAACTAATAAACAAAACGACTATCTGTGAAATAAATATTTAACTAAAAAGGACAAGCTCTAACTATATCCTATAGGATTTTGTTGGAGTAGTAAAATGCACAATGCAATGTTTTTGTTCGAAAATTACTTAAACAAATAATAAAATTTACTGTAATATACATATTACCTAATGTAATATAATAACGTATTGCAGAACGAAAATGAGAGTAAAAATTTAAATAGATTTCCACTTAGAGACCACCACGAATCATAATATTTTGGTTATTCGTTTAATGTCACTCATACTCTAACGGAGATACCCCTAAGATAAATCACATGTTAATTTTAAATTAAAACAAATAAGTACAAGCAATTTTAAATTACATTATAATTCAAAATATAAGAATGCTCGTACATAATGAGTTGTCAGCTCCAGGTTTCAGGTTTAAAGCCGCGTAAATGTAAATAGTACAAAAATTTGGCATAAAGGGATGTAGATTTTATTTAAAAAATTGCCACTATCAGCGCTCCTAGCGATAAATAATGAGGTTATTATACAATATCATCACAAATATTTGAATATACCAAAAATAGTCGTATGTTTAGTTGTTTATATCATCAAACGATATCTATTCAGTGATTCGGTCTAATGCCACCATTTCAGGAAATAATCGACTGAGCATAAAACAAATTCTACGAAGATAGTAGAATTCAGAAGCGTTTACTTCATACCTGTTGAACAAATATACTTTAGTAGTAAGCTACATACTTCCTCTTATAGGCTCTTTCACAATAGAGATTTGTTGAAGCGATGGCGTTGCTTTTTGACTTTCAAAAAGTGTTCAGTAAAGGGCAAAAATAAAAATATTTTAAATTTAACATTGACGTTAACGAACAAGGGTATATTCAAGTTTATTTTCAAGATCGATTTTGATAGACTCGTCATAGGAATGGGATTCTCAGATTCGAAAATGAAAGAAAGACTGCACTAGGCCAGTGAAATCCCTATCGATGACTCAATCTCCAAGTGCCAACGATTTACTGTACATGCGTCGTAATCGTTGTCACTGAGATGCTAGAATGTTTTGATCGCTACATTATATATTCCTGTATGTATTTATTTATTACTTTTTGTAGATGTGAATCTTTCATATAGTCAATTGTTTTACAAATAAATGTAATTAAAGAACCAATAATATCACTTAAATTTTTGTAGGCAAGAAAAGAAAATGAGGAGGCCGAATTTATAGCGGTGCTCAAAACATCCGACCAATCATGCAGATGTACTTGGTATAAAAATTCTACAGTAATAAGAGAGTCATCTGAAGTGAATACCTCTTTCGATGGAACCACTTCCCGCCTGATTATCAGAAAAATGTCTTCTAAATATGTTGCAAACTACAGAGTGGTAATTAGAAACGAATTTGGTGAAGATGAATCCAGTGCCGATTTAACGCTTGTCGAAGAAAAGGTAATCTATTATAAACTTTTTACTTTTCTTGAAAAAAAAATTATTTCTTTTATTTTTTAATGATTAAGAATCTGGATTGAATATTCCTTGATTGAATAAAAGTAATGAAATTTTAATACAAAATAGCAAATAAAATTTTATCAATAAAAGTATTATTATTAATAAAAATATTGTTATTAATTAAAAACATTATTGTTAATTAAAAATATTATTAATAAAACCAATCATTTTAATTTTATTATTGTTTATTAAAGTTATTATATTAAAAAGTAAAATTTAGTTCAATTAGGTTATCCTATGTTGAACGTAGACACGCACTGTCAAAGAGTTTAAAACACGCTGACTAGTCGGAGTGCACAAGCCTTATACAGCGTTTTATCATGTAACATCAAAATGGGGATTTTCGCAATTTACCCCAATCAAAATATAGTATTTTTGAAATAGTTATATATCTATTCAAAGCTATAACATTTGTTCTAGAACATTCTCATAATTGACGTTCTCTTCACAGTTACAATTTTTACTTCTTTTCACCCTGTTAAACAACTTAACTGTTAGACAGGTTTTTATACGGGGAAATGTCTACGCATACCCATTTCGCAGGGAGCATAGGCACAGGCCGCCGTGTAGTGGCGGTTGAGAATATCCACTACCCCATATCTTCCCGTGGGTGTCGTAAGAGGCGACAGAGGGAGACAGGCAGGAGATGGGCAGCAGCATCTTCCTGATAACAACAAGAACATAATAAAAAACTGCGGTTGCCAACCCGCTCGCCAAGCGTGGCAACTATGGCAAATATCCCCCCATGAGCAGCGATGCAAATAAACTGCCCCTAGTCCCCGGTGGCCCCGCTATTCCTGGCTACGATGGCGACCATGGTAACGGCGGGGCAGGGGGTGCTAAGAATCTCCGGTGGAGGTTCGGTTTCCACCTACGACGACTCGACCTGGCAACGTATAACACACGCACCCTGAGGACTGACGAGAAGATACTGAGCAAGACAATACCGGCATATTATTGGATTATCTGAGGTCCGAAGAGAGGCGGAGGACACGCTAATCCTCGAGTCCGGCAATTTGTTCTATCACCGGGAGGGCGACCATCTGCCCCAAGGAGGTGTCGGATTTATCGTCCACAATCATTCTTCAAGAAGTTCTTATTCTTTAAGAAAGGCGAAAACGCTCTCTTGAAGAACTACAGACCGATTTCCCTTCTGAGCCGCGTCTACGTGCTGTTTTCGAGAGTCATTACGAATCGTCTCGCACGCAGACTCGACGACTTCCAGCCTCCCGAACAAGCCGGTTTCCGAAAAGGCTTCAGTACCATAGACCACATACATACCCTGCGGCAGATTGTACAGAAGACTGAAGAGTACAATCTGCCACTTTGCCTGGCGTATGTGGACTATGAGAAAGCCTTTGATTCTTTGAAAGTTGGTCGCTGCTACAGTCCCTTCAGCGGTGCCAAGTTGACTGTCGGTATATCGAGGTGCTGAAGTGTTTGTATAGTAGGGCTACGATGGCTATCCGAGTACAGAACCAGAGTTCGAAACCTATCCAACTGCAGAGAGGTGTAAGACAGGGTGACGTTATATCCCCGAAACTCTTCACCGCTGCATTGGAAGACGTTTTCAAGCTACTGGACTGGAAAGGATACGGTATTAACGTCAATGGCGAGTACATCACTCACCTTCGATTTGCCGACGATATAGTCCTTATGGCAGAATCGCTGGAGAACCTTAGCACTATGCTCAATGACTTCAATGGTGTCTCCCAACGGATAGGTTTTAAGATGAACATGGACAAAACAAAGATCATGTTTAACGTCCATGTCACACCTATGCCGGTAGTTGTTGGGAGCACTAAGCTCGAAGTTGTTGACGAGTACGTTTACCTGGGACAAACAGTCCGACTAGGTAAATCCAACTTCGACCGAGAGGTCAATCGACGGATTCAACTCGGTTGGGCAGCGTTCGGGAAATTACGACACATCTTCTCGTCAGGTATACCTCAATCTATGAAAACTAGATTGTACAACCAGTGCGTGTTGCCAGTGATGACTTACGGATCAGAGACGTGGTCCTTCACTGCTGGCCGTATGAGGACGCTCAAGGTCGCTCAGCGAGCTATGGAGAGGGCTATACTTGGAGTTTCTCTGCGTGATAGACTCAGAAACGAGGATATCCGAAGTAAAACTAGAGTGACCGACATAGCCCAACGGATTAGTAAGCTGAAATGGCAATGGGCCGGCCATATAGCTCGAAAAACCGATAACCTATGGGGAAGAAAGGTTCTCGAGTGGCAGCCTCGTACCGGTAGGCGTAGTGTAGGGCGACCCCCCACTAGATGGTGTGACGACCTGGTAAGACATGCAGGAAGTCGATGGATGCAGGTGGCTCAGGACCGTGCTTTGTGGCGTTACTTGGGGGAGGCCTATGTTCAGCAGTGGACTTGTGAAGGGCTGTAAGATGATGATGATGATGATAGGCCCCTGACGCGAAATGTCAGATGGTTATGTCAGACTCGCATCGACTAAAACCTCATGGTCTTCCACTTTCGATGCATATTGGAAGGGCCATGGGAATGCTTCCGCAAACATCCGCGGCCCTACCAGCGTCGTCTACCTCGTGCCAGCCATGGACGACCAAGATACGGCTACTAAGCCACGCCCACGTCACGACTAGGCGGTAACCCGTTTGGGGAGGGGGACACTGTTAGACATGGTTACATCAGATAGTCGAAAGATAATCCGTTTCAGATATGTCACGTTTTTTATTCTGCTTTTTGTTGATGGTCTGCATCTTTTCATTAAATCATATGTATAGCGAAATAAAGAGAAAAACTCCACACGTCGAACGTAGCAAGATATTTTTGATTTATCCTAAAATTAAAACTCCCGATTCCAACTCTACGATCTACCTTCAATACACTAGTAATAAAATTATTTTTATCCCAGAAAAAGAAAAAAGAGGAAGAGGAAGAAGAAACGACAGTAATAGAAGAGTCGGAAGAAGAAATGTCAATTGTTGAAGAAAAATCAATTATTGAAGAAAACCATATCGATGAAAGGAAAGAGGTAAGTTAAAACTAGATAATTATTAGAATGAATGGCACATCTTCAAGTTATATTTTTTAACTTTTAATTCTTTAAATAAGGAACAAATTAAAAAGAAGGAAGATGAAGAAAAGAAAACAGTTGAAGAAAAGAAATCAGCTGTTAAAAAAGTTACAAATAAACAAGAAATGAAAATGGAGGAGAGCAATGAGGAAATTACATTTGAAGCTAAAAAATCCGAAGCACAAATGGAGGCGAAGAAGGTTGAATCTAAAACAACAGAAAGGAAAAAATCTGAAGCTGAAGCTCAAGAAGTTAAGAAAATCCTTGAAAAGAAGACCGCTAAAACAGAAGAAGAAAAGAAGGCTCTTTTGGAACAAATCGAAAAGAAAAAGTCTGAACCTGAACCAGAAGCCAAAATTGAAGGTATTCCAAAACTCAAGCCAGTTAAACCTAAAGAAGAACCAAAAACTGCAGAAGAAAAGAAACAGACTACTAAAAAGACTGAACAGAAAAAGAAAGTTGTTAAAAAGAAGGTTGTCGCTAAAAAAGAGGCGGATGTAAGTATAGCACACAAAAAGTAAATATGGTTTTTGTACAAAGCTTATCATTATGGTTTTAGTAGTTATAAAACCATAACCAAAAACATATAAAATGTTTACAATTTCATGTCGTAAAAGAACACTAGAAAAAAATATTTCATTACAAAATTCCCTAAATGACAAAATATATCGTGCGACTGTCACATGATTGTAACTAATGTCTTTTAGAAAATTTGAATAACTTACATTATGTACTTAGTGTAATGTCTTGTGTTAACACGTACTTGTAGCTATGCTAAACTATTTTTGAATGTAGGATGAATTCGACTTCGTTGACGATTACGAGCGTCCAGTATTGGAGAAATATGAAAGAATTACACCAACGCCCCTACCTAAAAAACCTAAAAAAGATGACATTCCGAAGGTAATCATCACATATTTTACTTTACACTTACATAAAAAATTACATAAAACTATTCATTTATTCGTCTACAAATCAGGGCAAACGGCCATCAATGTCAGATTATACTGAAAGTGAAGAAATAGAAGAAAGTGAAGAAGAGACGTCGATTGCTACTCACACGCTGGATAAAAAACCAAAAACTTTGTCTAACGATCAGGTACATTTTAACACAAATATATCAAAATAAACTTAATAAATTAAAAAAAAGTTGTATGTCTAATAAAATACACATTATTTAACGCTTGACTTAACGTTCATATTAATGTAGGTTGAAGATGAAAGAAGACGACTTAGTATTAAAAAAGGCATTCCCAAACCAGAGGAACCAGTTGATGAGTTATCGAAAGTTAAGTTATTAAAGACTCCAACCAAACCAGGCGAAGATAATCTTCAAGAGCCGCAGGTTGCTCAGACCAAAAAGTTGGTTAAAAAGGTAAAAGCACAAGGATATAGAATACTAAAATACGCTTCAGGACCTATGCACACTCAATATTTTTAACATCGGCCGTAAACTATTTGTGATTGCATTTATACGTCTTACATTTTGTTACATAGCATTAAAGACTTAATTTTCTATCGGGTTAACAAAACCTTTATTTTTGCGACTTGTTTCATAATACCCAAGTTTTGAATATGTTCTGCATTCTATTCAATCTCGATCAAGCATTTGATAAGAGAAACTGAAAAACTGTAAAAAAACACTCACTGCCATTTGGGTAATCAACAAAAGTTGACTTTGTGTAAAAAACACTAACGTAACTACACGTTACACGAAAAGTCTATTATCTTCCATTTACAAGACAGTAATACAAATGCTATTTAAATTTACCTTGTTTTTAAACTAAAGTAAAATTACCATGCATGTCAGTTTTATTTTAAAACTGCAACATTTACTTTATAACTAAGCATTTACATTATTACTTTATTATGAAAGGTAAAGCCAAAATAATTAAAAATTAGAGTTAAAAAAAACAACACGTATTAATCATGAGCTGTGATAATCTTTATATGATAATCCTATCCGTAAGGATATTAGATCGTAGTTATAAAAATTTTGCATTATCATTAGTTCACAATACGTCTGCAAATTTTCAGATTATTCAGAGACCGAGTGGGTGAAAATTAATTATATAATTCCATTACTTTTATACACACATACACATTCGAATAAGAGCGTGTAAATTATCAACAAGTATTCTTAAAATAGTACATTCAAATTGAATTTTTTGCATAAATTATTACTTTCTTATAATTATAATATAATGAATACCCTGTTAAATTATATATTATTATAATATATTATTATATTGGAAATAGGTGCTGGTCTTGAAATGTGTCAGTAATAAATTATATATTTTTGCTCTAAGTGTAGATTAGAAATAAATTAGATTAGAAATGATCACGTCACACGAAGCATAAGTAAACAATTAAATTGCTTTTTTCTTGTTATTTTTTAATTACAATTAAAACATTTAATTTATTAATTGCTTAAATTAAATTTAACTTATTGGTAAGTGATGATGATAAAGTACACTGTCTTAGTTTAAACAAATAAGTTATTTATAGTACATTCAGCCATGCCATTAGTTTATTATTTTATTGTTCAGTTGGCATCTCAACAGCCATGACACATTAACAGTGTGTAAAGTCCTTATATAACATATTTTATGAGATGATTTAATATTTAACCAAAACACCTTTGATACGAATGTGGAAAAATTGAGAAAATTCATAAAAGTTCAGGGTTTGTTTGTTGCCTTCTGTTGCGTGTAGAGTACAGTATATTATTTTAATTCAAATCAGTATGAACGATTTCCCCGAAAAAAAAAAACAATAGTTAAACGGTCATGTATTACCCACGAGACAATAAAAGGTTAAGGGCGTTTAATAGAGTTCAGTAAATAGATCGTTCTTGATCGCCAATGCTAAAAGTATAGAGTGTGCCTTGGCTCCAAAACAAACCACGTAAAGAAGAGCAATTTTAAGAATTTTTCTTATATATTTAAAGCCGGAAGAAGAAAGAGAATTCGTCGATGATTACGAAAGGCCTGATCTAGAGAAATATGAAAAAATATCACCAACCGCTACAGATAGGACCAAAAAACAGAATGGAGTAGAAGAGGTATACTTTTTTATCTTCGTTTAAATCTAAAAGACATTCGATTTAAATTCTATACTTATATAGTATTGTATTAAGAACAATACAAAATTTACTAACGATAATATTTATTAGGAAGCAATGATTGTCGACGATTACGAAAAACCTGAGTTAGAAAAATATGAGAAAGTTAGTAGCACACCTAAAGGCAAACGCGGCTCTAAAGAAATACAGGTAAATATTAGTTAGTATAACAGAAAAATGAAAAATATATTAATGATTACTAAAAAAATTAAAGAAATAATAAAAGAGATTTAAAGATTCAATATGGTTGACTTTAGGATGAGGCTGATATTATGAAAGGGAAAATTAAACCTAAAGAGAAAGAAGAGGAACCACAAATGCCTACGCTTCGTAAACGTCCTGTAACCAAGGACAAGGTACACAATATATTATTTACTGCACATTCAATACTTTACGACTATTTCCAAAAAAAGTTAAATGCAATAACTAATTATTATTGTTAGGAGGATGACAAAAAACCTGAAGAAAAACCAAAGAAAAAATCGCTTAAAAAAGATGAGCCGGGAGCCAAAAAACGACCTTCACTCAAAGAAAAGGAGGTATTCAAGTTAACACTCTACATTACATTTAACACCATAACATGTGGACTGGTACTTTCGGAATAATAATTACTTTTTAAACCTCTTCTTATCTTTATTACTGCTTTTAACAGTGAGCTTAAACGGTGGTTACTTCAGCCTACTGCGGTATAATGTCTCAATTTAATTTTCAATTTCAATATTAAAACATAGGGGTGTTTACTTTATTTGCTTGCATGAACTATGCTTTAAACATTGTTTTTATTATGTGTTCCCTTTAAAAATATTTCAGGCGATCATATCAAAATTGCAGCGCGAAATCTTCACTTCCAAGAACAATGTTGACTTTGGTCTTTTTACTTTGAAATATCGCAATTAAAAAAAAATTTAATCTTTTTCTTCAAGTTCGTCTTTTAGATGTTCTCTACTTACTCGTTGGTGACAACTAAACAAACAAGATATAAAAAGTATATAATAAAAGTTTTTAAATCGTTGCAACACTTAATTCGAATCGATCAGTACATACATTCCAAACATTTTACTATTCCTAAAATTTAAGGTCGTGGACGAGGAATTTATCGACGATTATGAGAGGCCGGTTCTTGAAAAATACGAGAAAATCTCTCCAACCCCTATCGCGAAAAAGAAGAAGGTACTTTAAACTTCATCATACCTTATACGCGTTTATTTAAGTACTTCGTTAAAATATATTCACACATAATTGTTATTAGGACGATAAAAAGCCAGATGACGAAGTATCAAATGCAGTTACAGCCAAGAGGCCATCTGTTAAAGATAAAGATAAACCTGAGGTATGACTGGCTTAAAAACATTATTTTAATTTTGTTTTTAAGTATTATCTCACTTAGTATTTCAATAATTCCTCAGTCTATGGATATCGATGAAGAAGTTCAACTGACTAAACCGAAAGCTCCTGCTAAACCCGGTCCTGAGGATGTTTCTTTGACACATAAGACACCTGCTGAAATTACACCAACGGTTCGTAAACACGTTCTCATTCACACTATTATTAAGATCTTTCAATACATTTAGTAATAAATACACAATCTCGTAGGAAGGCGAGGCTGAGGCAAAACTAAACGTAAAAAAACCAGAAATCATCGAAGAAAAAACACTTAAGCGACCATCAGTTAGAGACAAGGACACAAAGGTAATAATACCTATGAAAAAGTAAAACTTTAATGTATTTTATTACTAGTCTCTGAATATAACAGCCAATAACAAACATTGTTTTATATTTTAATTCTTAAGAACATTAAACGACTATCCACAGAAAGAAATGAAGCCTAATGGCAATAAGTTTCAACCACTCTCGCCGTCAGATATTTTAAGGAGAATAGCTATTATTGCTAAGGTATATTTCAATAAAAAGGTCCAAATAAAATTATTACATGTGACGGCACAAAAGCATAATTAGCCCTATGCACAACGCATCAGCACTACATGTTAGCTAAAATCACTGGCGCTAAAATTATTAGTATCACTATACTTATGACACAAATTAATTTGTACAGAATTTCTATCATTATGTACATTTCTATTACTACTATTACTTTTTTCTGTAAAAATCATTATGAAAATGCTCTTTTCATTTTTCTTGATGCGTTCTTTATACTTCAATTTAATCACCTTTTTTGACAGATTATTTCTTATTATATTTGTATATTACTGAAATAAATAATATGCAGCACTGTCTAACATTTGTATATACTTATGGGGTCAGGGAGAGGACACAGAGGAGTCTGTCAATCTTACCAAGCCACGTACTAAAACAAGCACAACTGCTCCTGAAGATGCATCTCTCACGCACAAGACACCAGCTAAGAAAGAGCCAACGGTACTGCCTCCTTTTTATTTTTAACTATCTCAGCTTTCTTAAACGAAAACATTAAATTAACAATATTATACACCATAGTAAAGTTGTTACGAAAAAAGTTATATAAAACGTACATCTGAAATGAAGTTAAACTGAAAGTAAAACGTTTTAATTCGTTTAGGAGGGATCAGAAGCAGCTCAACTTAAAGTTAAAAAACCAGCTGTTGCAAAAAAAGGACATAAAGATGAGGTAAAATATATTTGTAAAGTTGGAATATGTTGATAGAAAAAAGTAAATAGTATTTTATTAGTAGACAGTTGAGATAATTAAAAATTAGACTAACATATTATCGAAAAAATATGTTTTCTGCATGATTTCTAATATCACTATTTTCAACACAGCACAACCAACCTAACTTAATAGAATCAGCATTAAAAAAAATGCTTAAAATAATGTAGAAATCCATTTTAAAACGTATATTGCTTCCTTAGGAGCCACTTACAACCCAGGGTGGCAAATTCGAAATACCTCAACTAAAGAAATCTGTTAAGAAAACTACAGAAAAACCTAAACACGCAACACCGGGTACCGATTCTGCTACACATGATGGGGTAAACACACCTTTCTATCTGTGAAAATGATTTTTCTCCTAAGTTCGTTTGCCTGGAAACTACTTTTCTTGACATTCTATCAAAGTATACATTTTCTTTATTACTTACATACAAACACTCACACTTTTTTTCTCTTAAATGCACTTCTACTGCACATAACTTACATTTGTCGCAATAAAAAAGTCTCCACGTCGTTAAAAAATTGTCATTCTTTTGCTTCAATTTGGTCGTCGCAAGTCGCATGTTTTGTTTCCTTTTGTGTTTTTTTTTTCAGCAATGGTACGTATTTTATTTTATTTTTACTATAAAATAGTTGAGCAAAACAGCTTTTAGTTAAACCGAATTAATTATTGTTAGAATATTTCAAAGTTTTAGTCAAATTGAGGTAATAGCTGTTAGTTCTCAGTAGTAGTAGTAATTACTAGCATACGTGCATATTACTCTGGCTGTTAGTTATTTTGACATTCATTTTACCATATTCCTTTCAAAAAAGTTACTTACTATGTTAAATAAAAAAACACTTAAATTATTTCGTTATAGAAAATACATATATACATATCATTTGCTATTTTAGTACGAACTTGACTTCGTTGATGACTACGAGCGACCAGTGCTTGAGAAGTATGAAAAGATTTCTCCTACACCTATAGTTAGGGAGAAGAAGGAAAAAGAGCAAACTACGGTAAGAAATTTATCAAAAGTATAAACAATAAAAAACCTTAGCACAATACGATACAAGTTAAATTACCATATTGAAATATTACATTAAAAATTTGAGTTTTTACAGAATAAGGGTGACAACGAGCACACAATCCACCTGATGGTAAGTGGATGCTGTGTTTCATAGACCTATTCTCCTATTAATAATCAAAATTTAGATGCGTCGTCACCCCTGATGACTAGGATGAAATGCCTCGTTGCCAGTAAAAAGAGGCTCCAGTTCTTTACACTTACCATACGAAATACAGCAGCATTAAGCTGCTATTTTACGCTGGTGTTCTGTAAACAGCATGGTCCTTCCTCGGTCGGTAATAAAGCTGCAGCGTGGCTCTTCCACGTTTTGGTAACAGATATAAGTGACCTTGAATGAAATTACATGTGAATTTAAGAATTATCGGCGATTAACTACATAAGAAAATCCTTTTGTTTCTTATGGTGGACTTAGAATTTTTAAGTAAGTAACAAAATCACAAAATTTTCGACTTTTGTCTTTGAGCCTATTAGAACTTCACTGTACATAGGCCTATCCCAAGGGTTTTTCCACAACAACCAAACTTGGTAGGCAGTTAACAGTTTCAGTTTTTTTATTACTTTGAGCTGTTAACAGGAAGATGCTGCTGCCCATACTGTTTCAATTCCTTTTGTCGTCTCTAACGACACTCACGGTATTACAGGAAATCAAGATCCTTACGTTGCCACTACACGGTTTAAAATTAACAATTGCCTTCAATTGTTCAATTAAAATTAAATTTCACGAACAACATAGGTATTTAAATACGTAATAACGTTAACTTCTTTTAGGCCATATTTTCGATTCCCTGCTTTGTGTAAATTAGTCAATAAACTTTCCCATATATTCGATATTAGATCCCAACATACTCCGAAAAGAGTTACTGAAACATAAAACAAATTGAACAGATTAACCTTCTTTATTATTTTATAGCGTTATAGTTTACTTCTTTTAAATATTTTTCCCGTGCTTGTTGAAAACTTCATTCTTTATTTTAATACGAGTACCTTTAAAAATGATATTTTGTCTCCAAATTTATATGGAACCACTCCTGAAGTGTTTACCTATTTTATAAAAAAGGATCATCAAAATCGGTTTACCAGTGACGATGATCTCGCGTAACATTAATTTAAAAAACACATTCGAATTGAGAACATCCTATTTTTTTTAATTTGCCAAAAACTGTAGATTAATGTTTATTATGACAAACGAATCTTTAGAAATAAATAAAATAAAACTATTTTAATGTTATAATTTAATTTTCTTTGTTCTTTTACTTCTCTTAAACAAAAATAACGGATTTATTATTTAGTCGTAAAAATTGTGTGTATACTATGTCGAAACAAACATAATATGTTGTATGAATTTAACACAAAATATTGAAACAGGTGAAAATGGTAGTCCATCATGAACAACATCTCGCAGTAAAGGTAGAGAAAGCACAAAACTGATACATTTTGTGCCACGAAAAAGTTGCTTTAGTGTGACCCTGATATGCAGAAGTTCATCGCAAATGTATTTAATCAAGTGCATGAAAATTTTAAATCGTCTAGTATATATATATATATATATATATATATATATATATATATATATATATATATATATATATATATACCAGTGTACTTTTTGTTCAGTTCCTTTACCTAAATGTCTTTTTTAACTATTATAATCCAGTACTTGGCTACTTTCCCAACTGATGGCATTTAGTGCAGTAGCCAAAAATAATAGAACGCACTGAATTAACAAAAGCCCATTCTTGCTTAGAAAACATCCACATTGTTATCAAATGGAAAGACAGATGCTGACAAATTACTTCACTCCTTTTTGTGTAGCATGTAAATATAAATTTATTTCTCAATAAACATTTTGATGTCACTCACTTTCATCAATTCACAATTTCATAGTCAAAGTCTCCACAATTTGTATTACTTGATTTGAATGTAAATTAAAATAATTCCTGCGTAGATTCATGCTCCATGTAAATATGCATATACTCGTTATTTCCCTCACAATACGTTATAGTTTAAAAAAATGGTTATGTTGTTATTTTGTTCCATACAATATAAATAATAACGATTTATTTTTAAAAAGGTGGTAACAATTTTTGACTGCACGATTTATATGTTTTTTTTTCTACAGACAACACCAATTAGGCATTAACATTATTCTATTTTTCTTTCAGACTGAAAGTCGAAGAACCTCATTTCAATCAGAGGTAAGTATTTCAATAAGTCATATGAAAGTTTGACTAACATAATCCTGCCTGTTAGGATATATCGACTGCTGAATTACAGCACATGACATACCCTAACGGATTAGTAAACGGAGCCTTTTTTCATAATGATTTCTTAAATTTACGTGAACACTACACATTAAATAAAACTAAATTTACGGATTCTATCGCGTTTAATTAGTTACTTTTATTTATTTTTAATTCCCGACGTTTCGGTGTCAACGTTCCCAATGTCATTGTTAGCCCGTCTACCTTCAGTTTTTGAATACTAATTTTTGGCCCGATTTACGCAAAACGAGCTTACAGTATCTTGAAGATATTGTTGTATATCTTGAAGATACTGTTGGTGACATTGGGACGTCAAACATCTCAGTCCCCCGTGATCATGGGTGCTGTAAAGCACCCGAAACGTCGGGAATTAAAAATAAGTAAAAGTAATTAATTAAACGCGATAGAATCCGTAAATTTAGTTTTATTCAAGGAGCCTTTTTTCTTTATACATGTAAGGGTCATTCTTTATACATGTATATAAACGAACACACAGTTCACTAGATGGTGTGTGGGCGCTGTAATTCATAAGCATCTAAATCTACCCTCAGCTACGAATCAGAATGTAGATGCTTTGTCGAACCCGATAAGCAGTATGAAATTCGTCATTCTCTCGATACCAGTAAAAAGCGATTTTTTTAGCCACCTTAAATATTAAGTCTTCATTAAGAACTACTTGTGTTATACAAATATTATTTTTTATAGACGAACGAAGAAACCAAAACAGAAAGCCGCAGAAGTTCTATTATTGAAAACAAAGCTCTTAAGGTAAGTAAGTTTATATATTATCTACTTTATAATTTAGGTTGTCTAGCAGAAGTTCTGCCCTTTTTGATGACCCTACCTATAAAGAGTTCTTAAATTCGAATTTGAAAAATATTGAAGGTCTCTTATTGGGATAAAACATGCACATAGAGTGCAAAATTTAATTCAAATCAATTTAGTAGTTTAAGAGTTCATCTTGGACAAACAATGTGGCACATAATTTTTGTACATAAATATAAAGAATATATCACTTAGAATGAGTTTAAAAAATTACAAAAAAATATAACAATTTTCAGTATCACCTATTCGTGTCGAATTCATTATCTTACTGCCTAATTATTTGTTAACGTTTCTTTAAATGTGTATTTTAAATAGTTAAAAGATAGTTACCTATTGCATTTTTTTTTGTTTGAAATAGCTGACTAAGGAAACTGCCGAAAGTAGGAAGTCTTCGATTTCTTCTATATCTGAGCAACAAGAGGTGTCCTCTGTAAGAAAAGCTTCTTTAAAGGTAATACAGAAAATTCGATATTTATATTTCAATGATAAATATACCTCCACTCATTTTTTCAAGAGTAATTGAAATTTTTGCTAAATTCACTACTACTAGCTAGACTAGCGATCCGCTTCGGCTTCTCACGGGGAGTTCTGGATCTCGACAACAGCGCAATCTACCGGGTCTAACAACCCACTCAAATTTACACAAAAAATTTTCGTCAAAATCAGTCGAGCCAGTTTCGAGTTCCGCGTTATAATTTCATTCCCACTCAGAACACCATAAATTGATACTTTATGATGCAAATGAAAACTTTCATTTGGAAATAGGTATTTTGCATATTATGATATGAATATAAAATATTTTGCTCCATTCGAATAATTGAATGGCCCAGTTTAAAAAATCCTTAAATTCACTTAGGGATTTTAGGCACTAGCCAGCCAGTTGAGCTCTTCATTTTCTATGGTTTAGTCTATTTGTTTAATTTCTGATATATTCCTATGTACTATTTTTTACAAGCATAAAATCTTAGTCCAATGATTTGATTTTAAAAAATATCTATGTCAAAAAATTTCCCCTATATGTAGTGATCTATAGAATAAAAATAGGTTTTAAAGTTAAGTTAAATTTTTATATTATAGTTTATATATATATATATATATATATATATTTATATATATTACAGTTCGTAAGTAAGGAATATGCCAACCACAGAAATAGTTACGATTTCTGTGGTAACAACCGATAAGAATAAAAGTTTTGTGTTGTGTCTTAGACCTATTTTACTAATAAAACTAAAAATCCCTAAGTCCAAGAGATTTTGTTCTAAATCCAACGATATTTTAGTACTTTAGTTCCATTAACAATAAATATTTGAGAATATCAAACGTTAATTTTAAAGAAATCCCTAAACGTTATTCTTTGACAACTATTCATATTTTAAACTTTTTACTATATCGTTTAAAGGACCAAAATAAAAGTTTATGTGCAAAATTTTTATTACTTTATATTTAGTGCGAAATTGTTTATGTGTATAATTTAATAAAACAGAAAGAAGTACTTAATTTACTTAGTAATTCTTGAACTAGACCATTCAATTGTTTCATGCGGAATTCGAACAGGAACGCGCTACCGACTCGATTAAGCAACTTAATATCAAAATATAATTTAAGTTTATCAACAACATAGATGTCGCTATAGCCGATAAGCATCTAAGATTCATCACTAGTTTAGCTTTTGCAGTAAGCATACAAAATCCCATGTTTTTGATTTAGAAAAGAAGTTGTAAGACCTCTTTTGCTTATAATTAGATAGTCAAGGGCCTTATGCTTTTGCTTTTTGTAGATATTCATTTTAGGCCAATTCTCCTGCAAATCCTGACTAGTTATAGTTGCAAGTTTAAGATTTTGTTACCCTTAATATTTAATGAAACGAATATTTAATTTCCATTTACATTGTGCTTTTAGACAACAGTTAAGGAACCCGAAGTAAATGAATTAGAGCAAATAAAACTTAAGGTAAGATTGCTTATTAGATATATCAAGCATGTTTGTGAAAATAGACTTTTTTTATTTTTTTTAAATTCACAATTTTTTTACGATTTGCTTCTGTAAATACATTTTTTCCCTGTTTTACAATTAAAGTATTGCGATTTTTTGCTCCATAAATAACGCTAGCAATTGTAAATAGTTACAATAAGTAAATAATGTATACATGTGTGTGCTTAGATTAAGTACTTTTATTTTCGTAAATAGGACGACACTGCTAAACGGACGGTAGAAGAAAATGTAATAGGGAATATTATTGATAATAGTTCAGAAAATACATATCCTTGGCGACCTACGAATACAGAACCTGAGGTATATAAACTTATACATTTACACAACATTACATAATTACTTTAACAGTATACAACATAATATACTTCCCTAGGTAATTTTATACTATCGCGGTCAAAATCTAAAAAATCATCCGATTTCGACGAATTTTTTCTTAAATCTTCATTAATACGGCAAATTTATGAAAAAAATTACGAGAATAAAAAAATTATATTGGTTTCAAGGCTTGAAATGTTCATGAAAATGCACTCATTCACGTATTATATACTGTTGATAAATTTTTTTAACATAATCGAATGAAGTTGTTATATTTTTTTCATAATCTACACAAAAAATATTTTTAGGCGGAGCCTGATGACGAGAAGAAGCGACACCGCTTCGCTTTAATAAGTGAACATTATTATGTAGTTTACTTTTAAAAAAAAATAAGATTTCTCATCGATATCAGATATTTTTTGATTTTTATAGCCCGAGGTGACTGCGATCGTATTACAAGAACAAAAAAATAAAAAAATATTTGTTTATTATTTTTATGTTGGTTTTTATTGAGTGTAAGATTGAGTGATGCGAACTCGGGACTTAAGGCATCCAGACTCGGACGGGTGAGGTTAGAAGGAGATGGCGGAGTCTAGTGAGCGAGAGAAGCGAGCAAATAGACCGCTTCGCTAAAAAATTAGTAAATGAACATTATTACGTAGTTTACTTTTCAAAAAAAAATTCCATTTTTTTTAAATGTGCATTATTTGAATTAAGATATAGCAATCACTGTCAAAGATAGCATGATTTTTTTATTTTGTTACAAGAGTTTTTCGAGGATAATATAAGTTATTAGTTTATTTTTGAATATTATTTTTTTTTTATTTTGGTCTTCTCCGTGAAAACGAAGATTTAAAAAACTCATCGATATCAGATGATTTTTTGATTTTTATAGCCAAAAAACGAGGTGACTGCGATCGTATAAAATTACCCTTCCCTGTACTGCAGTTTATTTATCATATATTATATTATTAGGAATTTCCTGACAATATGACCCCACAGCGCAGCGTTAGCTTAGACGAACCTAAAAAGACATTGTTCCTTTGGCGTCAGTCAAGTCAAGCAGAGGTAATATAAAAGTTTGTGTTAGTAAAGCTATCACAGTAAAATATTTTGACAGTGATATTTTTTTTAATTAAAAATACTTTAAGCAGGATCATGAAGAATTAGAAATAGAAACAAATGACATAACACAAGAGATACGAGATAGACAAATAGATAATCCACTGGGCACCACACCCACACAGCATCACACTAAACGTAAAGAGGTATATTACATCTTTTTGAATTACATAACGTAGTTATTAGTAAAAAGTTATGATATTAATTTATTTAAATACAAAAATAAATAGGTTCTTATTATTGTAACTAATATATGATACAAAAAATAATAAACAAGAACAAACTTTGGAAAACAATACATCACACAAAAAATATTACATAAAGGCAAAATACCAGTCAGAATCAGAATCAGAATACTTATTGCCAATAAACTGTGTAAACGGTTTACCCATATCGGGTATGCAATAATTAAGAAACAAAACTTAATATAAATTATTTGGTATTAAAATATTCATTTAAATTATAAAAAACCATTATGTATTTACCATTTTTTGAGTTGTATTTTAAATTTTGGCAAGTCCATGGCTTTTATATCAGATGGCAGATGATTAAATATTTTAATACCTGTGCAAAAGGTGCTCTTATAATACATATAATTATTTATTGTAGGTTTATATAAATTATGCTTATATTTACTGCTACTATATTTATCGTCACTGTCGACCCGGCATCGTCATTATCTAAAAAGAGAGGTATATCAAAATACCTACTTATAAATTCAGTATACCATCTAGTCAGTAATAAAGGTCTCAAAAAAAGAAAATCGTAAGGAATTTATTCATTATTGTTATTATATAATGTTAACGACTATATAGTTATACATCAATAGGTAAGATGCTGATATGAGTACTTAAGAGGTGATTATAATGGTTTAATATTTATAAGATAAAATCCTCAATACACAGACCCTACGCTTCACATTGAGAAAATGTAGATAAATAATTACGAAAATAGAAGGAAAACATTTTCTTCCTTAAAAAAATCTTTACACATTTATACTACATTAAATTAACTTTAAAGAAACTAAAATTTTAAAAATGTGTACAGGAAAGTAAAAAATATGTACAGGAAATAAATAAAACAGAGGAGAAAGATACACCTGTACATAAATATAGTGACGGTCTACATGACCCTGTTACCAAAAAAAAAATGTTTATTCATGCCTCCTGAGTGAAACAAAAGAGGTAGTTAAATTAAAATTATAAATTATTTTTGTTATAAAACTAAAATATAATTAAAAAAATTGTTAGAAACAATAAAATGATAATTACTTTATCTAGTAGCTTGGCATCCTCAAACACCCAAATATAGAAGTATATTAATAAATGTATTCTTGAACTTAAATAATAATATCTTATCATAATCAGACTCCATAAGATAATATTAGTTATAATCTTAAAAATTACGAGTCATTTTACTCTTAAAAGAAAACAATCAAATATATTCAAAACAAACATTTTATAAAATTTGTAACGATTTTTTTTAAATATTTAATTTACATAACTTAATTCTTTCTTACCAATTTAAAAACGCACCTTATGTACTAGGTTCCAATTTTGGTAACGCCTGAACCAGATACCATATGTAACGAAGTAGCATTTTCATGGGATGTCATTCCTGAAATTCCTCAGGTACATAACTATTTTCCTTGTAAATATACACGCTACAAATATACTATGTATTTTTGAGTCTAATAATAATATGATCATTGGCATTAGGTGGCACAGACACCAGAATCGGAAGGCATATTTACACCAACACTACTCGAAACACTTAACACTGTACCATGGAGACGGCCACTGCTTCCTCAGGTACATTTATAATATGCACTTCAATGAATAAAACACACAAAGTAATATACACACTTAAAACCACTGTACAAAAATAATCTTTTATGTTGTTCATATTGGACACATGACACTCGTATGGTCGCCATTAATCATATTTATTCCATAGGATGAATCAAATGAAGACAAAGAACAGAATAAGCCAGCTTCGTTAGAAATATCACAACCCGCTTTTAGCAGCAGACCTCATACTACTGACGAGGTATAATCACGACGAAGAAAATTATTAGCGCTAAAATTACAGCACCTTGCCTTTCACAAATTTAATTGTGACACGAGCACCATATTTTATTGATATTCATATGGCACATTATTTGTAGTATTTGGTCAGAAATTAGAAAAGCACAAAGTAGTTTTAGATAACATTGAAGTACACGTAGATAGTTTAACGTACTTTGCGGATTATCCAAATTTAAAAAGTTACTATACGTAATTAATATATTAAATAGTATCTTCACAAAACATAATGTATTATTAAGTATATTTATAGATATGATTAAACTAAACAATAACATAGCAGTAACTGCTGTTTATTTATCTATTAAATTTGTGTGATTTTTAAATTTCCTGCTTCGGCTTTCGCTATTAACTACAAATTACACAATTGAATTTGGTTACGAATTTTATTAATGTCATACTTTTGAATGTATATACTCGTAGCTATAATACTCATATTTTAGTAAACAGGGTTGTGGTAAGTACAGAGTTTGTAAAACTTTTCATACTAATTTAACGATTATATAATGTAAATAATACACTTATTAATAGACAGGTAGGAAATCGATAAATGCAAGTGGCTCAATGCCGTTTCTTACGGCGGTCTTATGGGAAGCCTATGTTTAGCAATAAGCTTGTGATGGACTCCAATGAGCACATCACACGTTTACTACTTAACTAACTATATTATAAATGATAATAGCTTTACACAAGTACCTATATATATAACGCCTACAAGAACAGATCAAGTTTATTAAAAAGCTATTTACCATTATGTTAACACGTAATAGGTACTGTATAATGTGTTCCCGTAATACCCATGAAATACAGTTGTTGGTGTCAAGTCAGTCTTCTCAACTAAAATAACTTACAGAAAGTGGCCATGAAAGAAGAGAAATTAGAAGCAGAAGTTAAAAAAGCCAAGGCCACAACTGTTAAAAAGAAAGCAGAAGAACTACCAGAAATTCCTGACTACGACAGGCCCGATCTAGAAAAATATGAAAAAATTTCACCTACACCTACTACTAGAGAAAAGCCTGAAAAGGACAAGGTAAGTCAACAATAATTATTTAATTAATAGCATAATGAGTTTAGTGTATTCAAAAATTCATTGAAATTAACTTTTGATAGCCGGCTGATAAACCAAAAATTGCCGAAGTGAAAGCTCCTGAAGAACCGCAAGCTCCTACAGCTCCTAAAATAAAAGAGCCCGCAGAAAAGCCAGCAGCGCCCAAAATTGAGGTCATACGTGAGAAATCGCCTAAACCAGAAATGCCCAGAAAACCCTCTTTATCTCCTGCGCCAGCCGCAAGACGTGGCTCACTCATACCTCCTCCGGAGGAAATGGGAAGACGTCCTTCTCTCATTATTAGCGACGAGGTATGTTATTAAATTAATTTAACTACATATAAAGTGAAATATTTAAAGTAACTTTTTTTAATTTTTAAGCAAATGTAGCTATTTTTAAAAATGACATCTATACCATGAAGGTAAAAAGTAATTGTGTCATTAAAATTTACTTTCGAAATGTTACGTTTGGTGCAAATATCAAAGTAAAAAAAAATATAGAGTGCTTTAAATCATAATTATTTTTAGCGTCACAAAATAACCACTACGTTAAAATACTAAGATAAATATTTTTATTTAATTTTGATTTTTGCACTAAACTACAAAACTTTGAACCCTTTTGTAGTGTAGTTACCCTACTCTCTCAAGCCGAACCCGTAATCATAGACACCTTTGGTTTACTTCCTTTGAATTACGCCAATAATCAGCAGTTTCCACAACAAAGCTTTGAGTTAAACTTCTTACGCTTGACTAGTGTCGAAAATGGTTAGTTGATTTACATGGATTTATAATTGTAGCCTCCTACACTCCCTGCTTCTAGTTGATTAGATTTTAGCATTCACACAAAGTTTTTGTCAAACACACACCTAGTGTAGATATTAAGACCATACAAAACGTAATCCACAGGAGAATAGAAAACTAAGACCTGGTGAGGTGATCGAAGAGAAGAAGGTAAAAGCAAATCTGCTACGAATATTACGTGAATGCTATCCGTTAATATAACGCCGTGATAAGGATTTAACTACTATAAATGAAATCATGTTAATGCATTTGCATCCGCCGCGGTTTAAAAAATCATACGTGGGTAATTTTGGATATTCACATATTCAATATATTACATACATAGGTACTTCACATGAAACCTATAATAACACCGGGATTCATTACATTACAAATACTATTTAAACATATGTGACTATCCAATTACTTTTAAGTTACGAAAAGTTCTCGTACAAGGCACAAAGCTAAATTGCACACACACACATTTGCGATTCAGAGCACAGAAATAAACAGCACAGCTTGTAAGCACGTATGCACACAAAATAACGGTTACGAAGGTTGAATATTACTTTCTAAGCAGGATCTATAGCAGATTAACTTGAGCGCAAGGTGTGTTAAAGAAAGCTTTTCCTTACACATCGAGCTCTAGAAACGGTAACTAACAAAGATTAACACGATGATGATGCAACACATAACGTAATAACTTATGCACTTGCTGTTCAGGTCACGCACCATATAATGATCTAGAGGTGTTAGTCTAGGCAGGTGGCTCAGGTTCGGCATCAGAGATTTAGGTAGGAGTAATCATTTGTAAGGGGTTATTATCAATATTTTTTAACAACAGGTCACGAAATTACGTCCTGGAGAAGTTTTAGACGAGAAAAAGGTGAGATCGTTTGGGTCTGATCAATTTTAGGTGGACGCTGCTCGCTTTGCAAAGCATTTTGTTTAGTTTTATTTTTACTCAATTTCATATATGATTGCGGTCTATTTCTAATTGTTATGCTGTTATCGTACAATACAATACACACAGTTTTACATTTAATTCATAATTTCTCACAATATATATATATATATATATATATATATATATATATATATATATATATATATTATGATAAATATCCCAAATAAAAAATACATCTAAAACTTGTCTATGTTCACTTAAATATTATTCTTTTTCTGTCTTAGATACATTTCTGTTCCGTTCTTTTTCATAGACAGTTCATTTAGTTTTTTCTTTCTATCTATCGACTTTACAAGATATCTACTAGTAATCTGTCTCATAGTAAATGATTTCTAAATAAGCCGCTTTGCCGACCAGCGGAACTCTCTCTTATAACGTTAGTTGATGGCTGATGCAAATAATATATCTTACTGTTTATGAGAGAATTATATAACGTATAAAATATTTAGTTCCCTTATAAACAAAGCTTTTTAGTTTTATTACTAAGTACTAGTTGATTTCGTTTCCGAGTTTCCAATAACGATCGAATTAAGATTTATTTTTTTCGCTAGACTAATAAATATTTCCAATAATAAAATAAATGCATTCTCTTAAAGTAAAGAAATAAAAAATATGCGTATGACACTAAAAATTATATCACTCATTTATAACTTACTTACACACATACATAGCATTAGCTGGTCAAAAAAAATTGGCATTTTTAACGTGTAAATATAATCAGTACATCCTCAATACAGAAAAACAATTTTTTTACAAACATTTGTAACAATTCACATCAATTTAAAACCAACATAAAACACATGTGTATAGAACATAATATAATATATTAATAAGTGCACAAAATTAACAGAGAATGCCTTACTAAAACATTTATTTTTTTCCCAAAAAGAAACGCGGAAGGCCGGGTCAACTCACGGAAGAGGTATTAAATGTGTGAAAAATATATGTTTAGAAATTATATGTCATAGAAAAAACTGTTAGATACGTGGCTAACATAGAAATTTTTTAAAAGTTATTAATTTTTGTTTCAAAAGTAATACAGGCCAATTTTTCGCCAATTGTAATTCAGAAAGTGGAGAGAAATACAGAGTACAATTGGTTTTGCTAAAATCGCTAATTAATTGATATTACATAAATATGTTTAATTATACTTTACATTTGTACGTAAATAATAAAAATAGATAGTTACAATTTAGCGCAGCTAACACCTGGTCATTCTAATTTCTCAAAGATCATTAACATTTTAACTCTATAAATTTAAGTCAATTACTAAAACCTAATGTAAATATTCAAATTGATAATGGCATGCTAAACATGAGCAATATTGTACTTCACGAAAATTTAAAATGCTAATTATAAATGTCAAAAACCAATCGATTTTATATGCTGAGGATGCTGAGGGATAATTTGTCTTAATATTATAAAATTTTATGGCGCTTGATCCACTTTTAATGTTTTGCTTATGCTTCCTAACCTATAATACGAGTAACTAAAAATCCGTAATTATCCGTACTTATTTAATATCGTAGTATTGCATGTTCCAGACATTTATTATGTCTGTTATATTAATAATATCAATTCAATGTTAGTTATAAAAGCTTTCAAACAAAGATGCCACAAAACGCTTGTATATACGTACTAGTTTAAACTTACATTATAATTTGAAATGCATCAGATACAATTATGATTTAACAACTAATTAGAAAGGGGTAGAATATAGAAGTGTTAGATAAAACGAGATTCTAATTATAACAGAAGAATTTAAACTGAAGCCAAACTGTTCGTATCTACGACTAAATAAACAATCACAAAAATAATCATGAAGATGTATGTCGCAAATATAAATACGATACTAAATGAGTGATGTCAGAGTTGTACGTCACCCTTAGAACCTAAATTCACTCATCCCATCAAAGTCCCCTGCTTATCACAAGCCTTACGCATAGGGTGCGTTTGGCAGAAAAAAGCGCTAGCAAGCGCTTGTAAGCAAAATGGCGATCGTAAGCGGTAAACGCTGTCAAATCGTAAGTAGCTATTTTCCTCCAGGACACGATTTTAGTTTTAACCGAGGAACCTAACCTAATTTAAATATATGTTTGTAAAGTATTCATATTAAAAACTTACCAATCATGAATTTTTAATAACATGTATATGTTTATTCACGTTATTATATTACTTAAAACTAATATTGCACAAAACAACTTATAAACTCTATTTCAAAACAAACAAATTAAATAAGCAAAATGGCGGATTGTGTCAGCGCTACTGAAGTAGTAATCGTGTCCTGGCCGAAAACTATTTCAGCGCTTGTAAGCGCTTGCTAGCGCTTTTTTCTGCCAAACGCACCCATAGATTGTCTAAAGAGGGATATTTGTCGTAGTTATTATTATTATTATTCTTAGAAAAAGGGCTTTATCGCTGATGCGATTATGACGCCCTGGTAGTTACAACAAAATTCTTAAAAATAATAACTAAAAAATAAACTTATTAGTTATTTTATCCTATTTAAGAATTTTGTTCTAACTACCAGGGCGACATAATCTCATCAGCGACAAAGCCCTTTTTGTAAGAATATTTGCCGTAGATTCTACGCACTAGTTATACGCTTTACTTGGTTGTATCTGCAGTTTTAATCAAAAACATGCTGCTGCTCATCTTCTTTTTTCACTTCCCTCTGTAGTCTCTTACGACACCCACAGGATGATATGGGAAGTGAATACTTGTAAGCTGCCACTTATCGAAAAGTTTATCTTACGGGCCGGGACGTTATTTAGAAAATACCCACACCTGCTTTATAAGTTATTGTTTCTGACAGTGAGAATCTAAATGATGATATACAATCCCGTCGATCACTGCGTCAGAACTATACTGAAAGCAATCTGATGATTGATAATTATTGTTATAGATACAGCTGTAAAGATAGGCCAAGAACGTCTCCAAGGTGAACTTAAAATGTATCCTAAACCATCCCGATTTGGCAGCTAGGTTGACTTATAGCCAATGCGTTGCATTGTTAAAAAGATATTAATCTTTCATAACTCAGACATCGCAAAAAATCTTTTAGAAATTATTCTATTAAATATCAATCTCATATATAATAATGAATGTTTGATTGTTTGTATTTTATGCTCAGCCATACATTTCATCAGATTGCGGTAAAATTTTGTCAACTTATTGCTTGCACTTGCGTGAAGGTTTTAGGCGTAATACAATTAACTTGCAGTAGATAGCGCGTTTATCGGACCGACAAATTTATTTGAAAGTTATAATATATCTATCTATAATTCAATAAATGTATTGTCATTCCTGATTAAACAATAGAGCTCTTCCAAATTTTAAACTATATCTTCACAATTATTTCTTTTGCGACAGTAACCAATAGCAGCTAGTATAATATGCAAAATGAAATTTATAAAGCCTTAAAATACAAACTCGTTACAATACGTTTTAATAATTTTATTAGCATTTGAAAAATCTTACAAAAAATTTATTAAAACGCAATTGAATCAAGTGATTACGTTTGGAATTAAAATAAGCGTTAAAACTATAGCTCTTATATTATATTGGCATACCAATCAATACAATTAAAGGTCGATAAAAATACAAGACAGCTATGCAGACAAATATAGACACAGCTATTTCAATGACAACGGCCAAATTTAACTCGTTATTTTTAAAAACATGGCACGCCAAACAAATGTAACGACATGGGAGAGTGATTGATGGACACATTTTAAGTATGAAATGCAAGAACTATGAGACGCGCGAGGGGCAACAGTAGGCCAAAGTATGGCAAGGGTTACCCACAATATTCAAAAAATATTATTTGGCATGATTAACCCTGTAGCCACGGTCTGTAAATGAAGATCGATAATTAAATATAGCAAATAGGTATTAGAAATAAATACATCAAACATTTTGCCAACAAGATTGAATTTTGATTGAATTGAATTGAAACATTGAAGAAAAGTTGGAACAAGACTCTATATTTTAGAAACTTGATATTAAATTTAAAATGGAAAAATGTAAGGTTAAAATGTCTTAGTTAAAAAGTGAAAATATACCAAAATTTGTGGTGATAAAAGAATACCGTTTTTTTTTTAATTTTAAAGCTAATGTTTTTAAAGATAAGCGATGTAAATTTTTATCACTAATAAAACATGATTATTAAGTAACTGATATTGGCTTTACGTATAGTTTGAATTACCAAATGAAATTTCACACATTCCTAAATGTTATTTTGATTAAGATGTCCACCATAGGAATGACATTTGCAGATATTGAGAACAGTTCTGTCATCAATGTAGAAATGCTTCCTTGTCGACCAATATATCACCAATAGTACATACGTCTACTGGCCACAACACTTCACACATATGTTAACACTGACGTTCAAGTACGCAAAACACGGATAGCTCACCTTAATCTGATAATTAATTGAATTGGTCCACTGATTTGTGTTGAGCATAAATAGAATCCCGCGCCCCCCGCAATCCGCGTACCTAGCGGACTATAATCTGTCCACGGCATCCCTCTTCAGTCTTTTGACATTCGCGCCCATTTTTACATGGAACGATACTAATCGAACTATCGAAACTTAAGCAACTTTCATTGAAACAATTTAAAATAAACTTAAATGGGGTGTAACACTTATATATTTTTATTATTGTAACTTAATAAGCATTTAATATTAATAATTATCTCGTCGGTATGCGTAGTCAAATCTTTTTAAAAAACAGTTAAGATACGAAATGTTGACTACACAATTTTCTGATCTCGTGAATGACTTTTATGTTATTTCAACTGTGATAGGTGACTGTGATTTATCAAATATTTTTCGTTCGTTTTGTGGCATCTTGACCGTAAATAATTCATAAAATGACAACGATAGTAAAAAAACTTTCAATAACTTCACTTACTGTGGAAAGAACACTTGATGTGGTAAGTATTATTTCACTTTAAACATTTATTGTAATGTTCGGCGATGCAGTATTAAAAGTTCAAGTAGTTGATCACATTCTCTACTTATAAAGTAGCAAAGCATGTAGTGTATAATTAAATAAATGTTTTATTTTTTATTTTTTATTCCCACCGTAAATTTTGGAAAAGTATATCATTAAATTAGAACATTGAAATAATCCAGGAAGTTTTTTTATAAAATTATTTTGCTTAAGCTTTTAATTTTTGATTGAAAATTTATGTGGTAAGTACGATATTAAAAAAAATATGCATAACATGAGCAGTTGTGCGGCATTTATCAGGAAGCCCATATCTTCACTGTCAGGTCATTTGGCGAGCGTTCATGACGCACTCCAACTGTCATAACATCACGAGTGCTTATGTCCCTTGTATTCAGTTACGGGATAATTTTTCAATCTAAATTTAATCTGGGACGAAGTTACCACTCACTAAATCTGACTTGATGGCTTTTAATTTCGCATCGCTATTAAGTTTACAGTCCTTACATATCAGTTTTTACTTTAATTATTACTTAGATCATGACTGTATGCTTAGATCATTATTTTTTACTTAAATATTATGTGTCTAACTTGTGGAACATATCTAAGAGCATAATTTATGATTAATGGCATTTTTGGTAGTTGCTTTTGGTAATTTATATTTTAAAAATTAAAGTCAACCTAAAGGCAGAAATTCGAAATCCAAGTCCTAATTTTTTAATGATTCCTTAAATTTACGCGAATACGACATATGAAACTAATTTCACGGGATTCGGAACGTCAGAAATTAAAAAGTTAATATTATTCCTCCGTTTCACTTGCGCAGAGTGATTTTCCTCTGACTGAAACGATACATAGCAAATACAAATAGCTCAAAAGTGCCATTTATCTAATTTCTATGTTTTAATGTGATTAACTCTTGAGTATGCGAATGCATTTTAAAATGTTGATTATGGATTAGCGACGAAAATCCGGTGATGCTAGAAGACCTTCGGTACAAGATTTGGAAGGCCTAATTAACAAACCTTCAGTTCCTCTGAAACCCATCGGAAATGAAGGCCCACCAGTTATCGTCGACGCGCCGGAAAGCAACTCTGCTATTGAAGGTGAGATTCGATTCCATGCTGTAAAAGTTTTTGTTGATATTATTTAAGTATAATATTTGATACCTTTCTAGAAATATAAAGTGCAATAGTAATATCAAATCAAATCTAAATCTGAACTGAATTGAAATATTCTGTCGTAAAATATGTAAATAATAACTTAAATCTTTTAAAATATCAAAGTATACCATAACTTTTGTTTTAAAAAAATACAATCGTGGAGATTAAATTTGATAAAGTCGGCAGCTAAAGTCGTAAAATTCATTTTTATGAAGAAGAAACATCTTTTATTGCTTAGTTATAACGGAGCATAAATACGAGTATCATCTACGTTTTTGCTAACTCAAACATCAATGAATTTATTTTCTGTGAAACATGCAATTTTTTAGGAGTTTTAATCAAAAAGGTTTAAATTAATTTTTATATTTTTGACCGTAATTTGCACTAATTGTTTTTATTCTTAGAAATTTTATCCAAAGTTTTATATAAATAGTCCTACAGGTTATTACAAAACACTCAAAAATGTCTATTTTTTTAAAGTAAGTTATGCCATTATAGCGATGTAAGAGAATCCTTTACGCCATATCATCCCGTGAGTGTCATTAGAGGCGACAGAGAGAAAAGATTTTATCACATGATAAAGCCATACAGCAGCTATATTATCCTCGACCAGAAAAAGGGCCTTACTTACATAAAACACCAGCGTAAAATAGCAGCTAAATTCTGCTGTGTTCCGCGTGTTGAGCGCAAAGAATCGGAGACACTTTTTTACTAGAAATGAGGCATTCCAACTTTGCCCTCTGGTGTGGCAACGCATTTGCATTTGGATTCTAAATCGAGAATAGAATAAGAAGGTCTATGGGTTACAGTTTCCACTTACTATGTCAGGAAGACTGTGTGCTTGTTTATCACACTTACTTTATAAAAATAAAAAGGAGGCAGCAGCATTTTTCAGTTAACAGTTCAAAATAATAAAAAAACAATATGTATTTGCTTACTCATCTGCCGAGCGTAGCAAATATGGCAAATATCCCCATCCACGACGAAATCTGTGTTCAATACTGGTCTCTTGATAATTTGTGATGACAATGATGAAGATGATACAATAAAAAGGGAAAGGTATAAAAGCAGCACACAGTTCATCTGAATGTAAGTAGATACTATTGTACATGGAAACCTGCATATCATCCATGTGGTATCAAAATCCAGATGCGTTGTTATACTAGAGGAATAAGATGGAGTGCCTCGTTACTAGTAAAAAGTAATGAGGTTCTCTACACTCACCATACGGTATCGTAGAAAGTTGAAGGTAGGACAGCCCCATCATTATAATATTTATGGGTATAAAACCCTATCGGGATGTATCGTATGGTGTATCAATATGCCGTATCATTATGCTGCTATTTTACCACCACTTGTATTCTGTAAGTACGTAAGCTTTCTCCGATCAAACCGACTTATTTGTGCCGCAGCCATAATACAGCTGGAGCGTGACACAATTAAGAATTAACCATTCATGAAATTCTACTGTTTACTGCTAATATTATGTAATCGATCTAAAAAGATGTTCATACCTTAACGTATCTATCTATGAGTAAACTTTCGACCTTCACATCTGAAAACGCAACGTTTCGCAGCTTATTATTTAAACTTATTAATACCTATATGAATGCCAAGGAAAGTTTTTTATAAAAAGAACTTAATAATATGATGTAAGCTAGCACTTTTGATACCGTGTAGTGGCGGTGTAAGAATATCCACTACGCCTTATCATCCCGTAGGTTTCGTAAGAGGCGACAGAGGGAAACAAATCTGGAGATGGGCAGCGTCTTCCTGATAACTATTAAAAATATGCGACTGGTAACTCACTCGCCAATGCGGCATTATGTGGGGGAGGCCTATGTTCACCAGTAGACTTCATAAGGCTATAACAGTTACAGTAAACGTCTTTGAGAAGGTTATTTAATTGGAAATCTATTAGTAAATCTTTCTGCTTGTATTTCCTGCGTTTGTAAAAACATATGTGCTCGTAAAAATCACACAGAAGCACTCTAGAAAAAAGTTGAGTAGAAAAAAAGTTCCTTCGTTCGCTTCGATCGCCAAAATTAGTCTATTAAAATAAAATTATTTATGTGGTAACTTGAAGGAGGTATATCTTCAGCAGTGGATTTGTGATGGACTGTAATGTTGATGATGATAATGTGTTAATATATCATAACACACATTAGTATGAACACGATTGAGCTTTTTTACAGGTAAGAAAAACAAATATGTTGATATTTTACGCTGTAAAATTGGATAATTTGTCAATTTGTCAGACAAAAATTGAACGCAAGTAAGACGAAAGTTATAGTTTTTGAAAGAGAAGAAAGTAAAACGATATGCGAAATAGGGATAGCAGGGTAGTTGGTCGACCAAGTAGATGAGCTTGTGAATTTAGAATGTATATTTAGAGATGGTAGATATGATAAGGATATAGAACGACGAGTGAATGCAGGAAATAGAGGAAATAGAGGAAATAGAGTAAATAGAGTAAACACTCTATTGTGGAAAGTGCACAATGTGTCAAAAAAGGCATGTATGGCAATTCACAATGCTGTGTTAGTACCTACTTTAATGTATGATAGTGAAAGTTGGGTGTGGCAGAAGAAGCACGAGTGCAGAATAAATGCTGTAGAAATGCGGTAATTAAGGAGTATGTAAGGGTTGATCTGAATGATAGGGTGAGAGTGACAAAGCAAATTTATGTTGCAAAAATGAACGGCAGAGTTGGGAAGGGACGCTCTAGGCGAAAGTTTATAGACCAAATTGGCGATATATTGAAAATGGGCCAAATCAAGAGTAGCCAATTGACAGACATGTATGCGTAGGTATATGGATGTCGAGGAGGCGAGAGAGATGTGTCAGGATCGTGCCAAAATTCCGTAGTCTCTGCTTACCCCTTTGGGTGACAGGCGTGAATGCTTTTGTAAGCATTATATATGTATTCAAATTTTCAAATCAAATCAAATCAAATCATTTATTTGCAATCTAAGTGTACATAATTGGTATTAAATTAAAAATGTGCTTACAACTTAGACGCCCTTCTTGTACAATAAGAGCCTGGTCTTCGCGTTGAAATGTAGCAATGGGTTTTACGACAACTGCCGACATTTTATATATTCAGAGAGTTCTTACACATTATTATTACTATTTAAATTAATAATAACATAAATTTTTACTCTTTAACATTATCTTATGCTATATCTTTATCTATATTGTTTACATAATTTTCTACTTGAATATAAATAAACATTAAGTATAACTTGTCAATATCTATTACTCTATTTTACCAACAGATCAAGTGGGTTACCTTACTGTTCAAGTCGAGGGTAATCCGGCGCCGACATTCAAGTTCTACAAGGGCGTTACGGAAATCATCGAGGGAGGTCGTTTCAAATATATAACAGATGGAGAAACAGGCCTCATCACACTTTGCATGAGAAAAGTGAAGCCCAACGATGAGGGCAAATACAAAGTTGTCGTTAGCAACATCCATGGCGAGGACTCGGCTGAAATGCAACTTTACGTGTCCGGTAAGAGCTTATAAGTTTGCTGTAAATTAAAAAATAAAATATTACTTTTAGAACAGCTTTTCCAATCGTCAGATAAAAGTTAATAAATAAATTATAACCTGACTAAATATAAATGTGAAACAATTAAATATTTTTATTAATACAATAGTAACTTCAATTTATGTTTCATTTTATTCCATAATTTTTTACTAAACATTAAAAATCGCCCCTTAAACACTTTTATAATTCAATGTCAAACAATTGTTTTAAAGAAACATGATGATGTATGGCCGGATGAGATGAAAACCCTCCCATCACGTTCCACCAACATGCATTCGGATTAGGCTTTCCAAGCCCACTTAAAACGGCCTCCTTTTGACAATGTTGTGATTTCAAACGTAGTTATGGCATTTCTTATGAAAAAACGATTTGTCATTAATTTGATATCACTGAACGTCATTTCCTTCAATAAATTTTTTAAATAAATTTGCCGCCAATGCCATAACGATAATGACAATCGCAATTGACCGTTTTTTGGACTCCTAAGGAAACATAACGACGTAAGCTCGAATTACATTCATTGAAAGACATTGATTACCAATATTTATCCTTATAACATTTCAGTTATAAATTTATATAAAAAATATAGTTCTACATTATATGGGCGTGAATATCTATTTTCTATTTAACACAGTTTTAGCGATAATAGTATAATAAAACATATAATAGTATAATAAATTAATAAAAATATATCGGCCTTTTACGACACGGAACGCACTTTAAATAAAGATGATATTTCTATCTTGCTGTGTTTTTCTCAAAATACTAAACTATGGTTTTTTAATAGATGCTAGTGGCATGGACTTCCGAGCTATGCTCAAAAAGAGAAAGTACGAAAAATGGGGTGGAAAGAAAGAAGACCCCGATTGGGGAGACCTCAAAGAAACTGAAAAACCAATTCCACCTCTAAAAAAAGTTGAGAAGGTAAGGATAATATACAAAAATCTATTTTTAGTATTAGATATTGGTCATCCGAATTTATTAATAGTTTTAAAGTTAAGAAATAAACATTCATACCTTTATGGAACGAGCAAAGATGATGATATATATATAATTATAAAATAAATAAAAATAAGTAAGTAAAATGTAATGAGATTTCATGTTTAAATATATATATAAATATTCTCATTTCATTTTACTTAGTTTTTAGTTGTAACTATTGCTCAGTTAGGGCATCCACGTGAGGTGTCTAGGGGGTGTAGAGAAGGTAGCCGAATCACACTCAATCTCCCTTCGTGCAGAGGTAGAGTTTCGGCAAATATCTCGTTATTTTTTTCCGCAAGAAACAGATCAAAATTTCTTGAAAATTAAAAATGTAAAATAAATTCTACACAATAACACTTATTTATCGTGATTATGCGAACTCTACAAATTATATAAAAATAATTAAGCATATTATATTTTTTCCATATAAACCCAACGCAAACAAGCACAGATTAACGTATTTACACTAAATATACGCATTTTGAAAAATCTCATGAGAGATGTGCAGGGGGATAAGGGGGTTGACCTATCTCGACATCTCCCCAGGAGGGAGGGAGAGTAAAACTCGCCAAAATCACTTCATGTAATTAATGAACGCCCCTTTCATAGCTAAATAACAAATGATTGCGAAAGAATCTTAGACAAGAAGACAAATATCAAGTTAAGCTAAGTAACTTCTCTAAATATAAACTATACGAGTAGCAATGTTCGTAGCAGTACTCGTAGCAGTGTTCGTAGCGGCGCTCACAGCAACGATACATTAGATCATACTTATTGCCGTGATATTGGTCTTGACATAAAATGGTCTTGATCAACAAAACTTGCATAACAAAACACTACATGTATTTCAAATATTAAATAAAAAACTACAACTATATCATTAACTATAATAAAATAAATTAAGAAGTAATTTTAATTCTGTTTAAATAAAATGTAAATTTCAAAATTATTAGCTATATTAATATAAAAATATTTCTTTATAATACAACTATTTAAAACAATTCTAGTGTTACATATAGTGCCGTATTCATTATTTCGCAAAAGTGAGCGCGTAGCGCACGATAATATGTTAGTGCGGAACCTACATCTTAAATATCAAGAAAATTTCTTTTGATGGGATTATTGTAAAATCCGTTCTTAGTGAGCTTCTCCATTGCGAAATAAGTAACTACACTAAATATCAAGTCAAGGGTGTATAGTTTTAGAGATCTCGTGACGAGTCAGTCAGACAGTGGTATTTCGCTTATATATTATATACTGGATGAACTTTTTTACGGTTTGGAAAAAAATAGGGTGTAACATGTGAATGGAGTAAAAACCTATGACACTGATATTTTACAAAAAAATAAAAACAAAACTTTTGAATTAAATAAATAAATTAATTAAAATCTGTCGAAATTCAAATCATGTCCACCCCAGCCTGTGACCCTGCGAAGTGATAAGGTCAAAAAAAGTAAAGTGAGGTAGGGTGGAGATATATATATATATATATATATATATATATATATATATATATATATATATATATATATATAATCACGAGTACGAATATCTAATACGAATAACAGTTATTTTACAGGATAGAAACCATTGAAGAATTTAATGTCTATATAATTTACGATTATTTTTGCATCACCACATTCACAAGCAATTTTTTATTTTGTTATTTTCCATTACATATCTTTTTTAAACTAAAGTGAAAACTCATCATTTTTCTTTTAAATAAAAACAACTGAAAATTTATAAATATCTAAAATAAGATAATGACTTTTTAACAATTTAAATTAGTTATCACCGAATGCATGAAGTCACATGTTTAATCCTTAGGGATTAGAGACTGGGTATTTCGAAGATGACGGCTTCATAGTGGTCGTGTCAGAAGGTCTCGAGATATATAGATTTCCAGCGGACAGACGCAGAAACTCTTCAAACTGGTCATGGTTCAAGGTCCTCAATATTTCAGAATATCATCGTTCATTCCATCTTACAATGCTGTTCACACTTACGAATCTACTTATAACAAATTTTGAAACCTTTTTCAATAAAAGTATGTTATTTAAAACCTCAACTCCTCCGTTTAAAAACAATACGATTCCGTTTCCATGACAATGTCAATTTCCACATTATAAGTGTAAGTTGATTTCCCGATTTTAAGCTAACTGTGAATAAATATTTAAAAGAGAGAAATGGCTGGATGGATATATAAAAAGATAGTTCATCACTTTCATGTTAGTATTTCCTCTAAGTAACTTTCATTAAATGTGTTCAGTGAGTAAATAGGCTCGCGTCTTTAGTACTCTTATTTTCGCTTTTCTTCTTCTACCTTTCAATTCAGCTTACTGACAATGTGGCTATGCACCATTTTTAAAGAATTATTTGAATTGAAAATGTTAGATATGCATCTTCATAATATGTTGTCGATTCTAGGGTATATATCAAATAAGGAGACGTATGTCTCTTCCTGAAATAATACCCGATTGGCCCGCTTTGATGGAGGCTGTGAAAATAAAGGTTCGATAAAATGGAAGAATAAAAGTAAAATTTAAAAGATAATAGACTTTTGCTCTTTTGAATTTCATCACCAAAATTTGTTTTAGTGATTTTTTTTTTGCTTTTGAGAAAATCAAGTAGAATCGGTTTTTACTTTACCTAAAATAAATTCAAAAGGGCAAACGATCTATTTTAAATCATGGAATGAAATAAAATGATAAACCATACAATAATAAACTAAGCTAAACTTGTCCTCTGAAATTGATTTCGTTGATGATATTGATTAAGCCAATTGATGTAATAGAATTACATCAATTGGCTGATTTATAGGAACTAAAAAAATATAAAAGTGAAATGCATTATACATTAACAAAATCAGTTTAGAGCGATTTAAATAAACAATGCTTAAATGATGAATTTTAAATAATTTGCACAAAGTTTTGTACCATTCACGTTTCTTTAACTCCATCTTCAGTGAGTGTAAGTGGAATGAATGTGGTGGTTACTGTCTCTTTGGATTGTTGGCAGTTTTATTTGTTTACAGGTTTATCTGTGACGTCGGATTGAGGAGCTTCTGTCACGTCATTATATTAAAAAATCTTTATTTCTCTTTTCATTTACATCATTATTAATTTTAGCCGGTTCATCCGGTGTTTGCAGATTTTGGAATTTTTCATATTTTACAAATGTACTAATTACAAATAGATAATTAATATAAAATGTTTGCATCTTATATAGCAACTAGTTTATACAAATTACAAGGTTTTGTGTAGATAGCACAAAATATAATAAAATTGCTTATAATGAAGTCTTGTGTACAGTTTGTTTGATAAAAGTTAGATATCTGCAAGTTAAAAAATATGTTCATTATAAAGAATACAATCTAACACAGGCAAGGGATCTACTAAGAATTATGAAAATTTTGTAGAAATCGCAAAGTAGAAAGACGTCTCTGGCAGAACTGATTCCGGATTGGCCAAAACTGCACTCGTTCAAAAGAAACGAGGTTTGACAACGAGCGTTACTACGTCTAAGACGACACAATGCATTTCGTGTTGTATGCAAATTATTGTGGCACAAAGAAATATTTCACGGAACACGTAAACGTTTTATCTAGAAAAAGTAGAAAATGCTTTATGAAACATTATAGTACCTCAGTTATCGACTTATTTCCTACAAAATTTAAGTAGTAACATATTATTATTGGTAGTATGTTATCATAAATTAATAGCAGCCAGTGATAATTTCACTATTAGGCTTTTTCTGGCTTAAAAAATAATTTTCACATATATGCGATGTATTGGTGACCGAGCAGGAGAATTTTCGTATTAAGGATGCTGTTGATTTGGATATTAAGCTTCTAATAAATCTTGTAAATAATATTTTTGTCATTCATTTTCGACTTATGCAATATTCATTAGAAAAAATGTATACGCTATCACTTACAACTCTAGACTTATTAAGAATTACATTATTCCGTTTAAATAAAACTAGTTTTTACGGGTTGTGTCGCGTATATTAACTTATTTTATATTCCTGACTTTTCTAAATCTACTATCTAATCTAAATCTAAATGTGTAGTGTTCGCGTAAATATAAGAAATCGTTGTGCATTATTTCGTATTATGGTATGAAAATTGAATAAAAATTTTATAACCATTTCTATGGCAAGGAATATGTCAATAACCAAAGGTATATTTTCTACTTTCGCTGGATTTCTTTAATAAGACACCTGTATTGTTTCGTTGTATAAAATAGCACAAAATTGTTCTATCTATTTCTCTATTGTTTCTGTAATTTTTTTCTTCTGCAAAAATTTTTGAGCACAATATTGAAGGTATTCACATTAGTAGCACATCACATCGCACCGGTCACAGAGATGCACAGAGATATCGATGTTAAAGATTTCTGCATCCTTTTTTACCAAAAACGATGGATTTTAACAAAATTATTTTCAGATATAGCATTTAATATATAAAAATAATATTCATCGTTTTTGGTCGATATTTATTCTTCATTATGTAGTACTTGCAAATCGCCCGAAATTGAGCACATCTTCGATTAAAAGGAGGAAATTCCAATTTCTGTACAGAAGCATGAACTTTGAAGTGACGGGTGATCGTGACAAACAATTGGCTGATATATCTAACGCCTCGATTACTTCATATCGACTGATTTCATTTATTGCCATGCGTTTGAATGACCGTTGAGAGCGTTAAGATCGGATATTTTAATGGTCGGCACGGACAGCTTTTGGTCTGGAAAGCACATTTTGTTTATTGCACCTCTCACTTTTTTGTTGACCACAGATGAATTAATTGGTCACTGGGTGTACTTTCAGAAACCTGAATCTTTCTTGAAGCCACTTGTAGATCAAAATGCAAAAGAGGGTAAAGATAAGAAAGTGACATTTGAAGCTATCTTCACAAAGCCTAACGCCAAGCCAAAATGGCTCTTCCGCAAGGACGTAAGTAAAAGCATATTTAATAAAATATATTATTAAATTTATTGATTTATGAGCTTCATGCCAATTTGATTGTAATGTAAAATTAATAATTTCTATATTTTACACTTTTACAGGAACTTTTCCCTGGTTCCAAGTATAAGATGACTAATGAGGGAGACTCATACAAGTTAATAATTATGAATCCTAAGGTAGAAGATACAGGCAAAATCACAATAGAAATTGGTGGTATTTCCAGCACTGCCTTTTTGCAAGTTGATGAACCTGACCCCACATATACCTTCGTAAAGCCTCTAAAGAAGTCTCTTAGTGGATATACTAAGCATGAAGTAATATTAGAATGCGCTGTATCGAACAGCTTAGCTATCGTATCTTGGTGGAAAGGTGACCAGAAATTAGAAGATAATGATGAATTCCAAACATCGAAAGATTTATCTGGTGTATGCAAATTAACAATTAAGAATGCCAAGTTTGAAGACGCTGGTAAATATATATGCAGAATAGAGAAACAACCCGACAAGACTGAATGTGACGTTAAAATTATCGGTAAGTATAAATACGTCATGTTTTTGAAAATTGTCAAAGACTTTATTAATAAAGCCTCAATGTTTAATTATTTATGATTACACAAATTATAGTTTTCAATACCTATTTAATATTATTAATTTCAGAATACCCGTATAAATTTACCAAGGTACTTAAATCCCAACAAGCGATTGAGAAAGACACCGTAACGCTTCTTTGTGAACTTGACGATGCTACTGGTGACGTCAAATGGTATGTTTAAAAAAGTTAATTTAGCTATTTAAGGTGATTACAAGTTTTGGGTTAAAAATGTGAAAATTTGCTTTTGAAAGAATATTATGAGTACTTGATAGACTCCATCCGAAAGAAATGCAATTATAACACACATTATTTACTGATTAATACTAATAAACGCTATGGTAAGAGAACCTGTAAATTCCTAACTACATAGCTATTAAATTCTTTACCTACAGAATTAAGAAGATAGCTAACATCATTTTGATTCATAATCGGGTAAAAATGTAGATATCTATGGGCCACAACGTCCACTTACCATCAGGTGGACTGTGTACACGTTTGTCACCTTTATTCTACAAAAAAACATAAAAGCAAAACTTTAATATTTTTTCATATAATAATTTATAATAACTAAAGTCATCGTCACACGTAAGTGTGAGTAACGATCCAAGAGCAAGTCTTATTCCATACTATTCCTATGATATTAATTGTGAGTGGATGCTGTGGCCCATAGACATTCACCTAAATCCTCGATTAATTAAAGCAGCTATTTTATGCTGATATTCTGTGCTACTGGTGTTCTGTGGTCTATTGTCTAGTTATGTATTTTGTGTTGATATTTTGGGGGAGAGCTACCTTCAGCATTCGACTTGTGAAGAACTGTAACGATAATGATGATGATGATGTTATTAATAATTTAAGGATTGTTAAAATATTTTCATAATAATCATCATAAATAATTTTTATTTATCTATGCAAATATATTGCTAGTAAATTATGTACAAATAAAAAAATGTAAATAAAAAATACATACATTTAAAATAATATGAAAACATTCGGTGTGTACGCGTGCAAATATATTACAATATAATGGTCCTATAGGCGAGGAACCGAAGATAACACAATTACATATATCGTCAACATTTTTAGGGTACATTATTCTGGAATAATATTAAAACTACCCTCATACATCATACATGGGAAATATTAAAAACTTGAGATAAAGTAGTACTTTCAGTTACGTTACAAAAAAATAATAGTATTCTGTTACACAATTTTGACACGATGTATTATATTTAGTTTAAGTAAAATAATTTATAAGAGCAAACTTTTCAATGTCAATACAAACATAATACTATTAATTGGTACGAAATAATGAAAATTGTAATTAATAAATTATATTACATAATATTATAGACGCCATATAGACCTCACAGCACTACTATTATCATTTCTTGTAATAATTTGTTATATCTTATGTATTTTATAAATCTTATCGTTCCAGGTTTAAGAACGACCAGCCACTTAAGGCTGACAAGCGCATCACTATCGTTAAGGAGGGTCGCAAACGGAAAGTCGTTATTAAGGACGCAAAGGTCACCGACGCTGGCAACTTCAAGTGTGTCAGCAATGCAGACGAGACTTCTTGTGAATTGATTGTCAAATGTGAGCTGGTGTTATTTTCCTTTCATTTATTTTATTTATCAACCCTCAACAGCCCTTGCTGGATATGAGCCCCTTGCCATGTTGAGAGAGATTTACCGTTATTACTCGACAAGCGATTTGACGATCACAGTACCCTTTACTGTCACCAGACTAGATGATTCATCATACGCTTCAATCAGGAGATGGTTATTCTGATATTTGTCTAAAGCCATGGAATCTTTCTGACTATTATAAGTCCTCTAAACACACGAAAAAGCTGTTCAGTTTTATATTTTTTTTAAACATTAACTTCGCGATAGGTGGCAGAAGAAAAATCCGCCAGTGGTACAATAATATAGGAAAGAAATAAAAGAACGTCTGGCACTGGGCACAGGTGCTTTTAACGAAGTAGTTCAATGACACAATTTTCACGTTTTTTAATAATGATATTTAAATATTTATTACATATTTTATTACGTAGTTTTTATTAGGGTGATAAACGAGCTAACTGACCGCCGGATGGTAAATGTTTACTAAAAAGAAAAGAATAATTTTCTTGTCGCTCATAATTTTTCGAAGAGTTTATTACGATTATCGACTTATCGATTATCGACTGACATAATTTACAAAGATAATTCATCAATATATAACTTATACTTGAATTATAACAATATATTAAATTTCAGACTCAAATCGCTTCAACAAAAAATTGAAGGATACCGAAGCAGTTGAAAGAGAAAAGGTGGTACTAGAGGTTGAACTTCAGGATCAAACTGCCGAGGCCGTTTGGTCTTTCAACGGCACGCCAATTGTACCAAATGACAGGTAAATAAAAGTAATGATATCTATACAAATAAATAAAATTGAATTGCCTATTCGTAATGTCTAAATAACAGTTTTTTATTAAATGCATATAAATGTATATACGATACTTATAACAAAAAAAAAACTATTTGATAATTATGTTGTCAACATTTACACTGGTAGATAGCTAATGTTATAAGGGGTAACTTTAGTGTAGTAGAGCTACTTTTATATTAATAAAAGAATTAGGATTCTGTGAAAAAAAATTAAAACCCTTAAAATGTAATCGTAATAAATTTCACGGGGACAAAGACGCGAGGAACAGCTAGTCGTACATAAATTAAAGTCACTCATTTAAAAAAAATGATTGATTTGTGTATAACACAGCTGCCGTGATAAAACACAGAAAATTTTATTACTTAGAGTAAGTAATTTAATAATAAATCTAACTTAATTAAAAGTAGTAAAGTTACCTTTCTTCTAGAAGAGGTATCAGGGCCAGCTAAAATCCGCTTTCACTTTAAATTTTCGGGGTTCGAACACGGTGCTATGAAATTGTAATAGGAACGCTTACACCGTGACCTGCGATGGCGCATCGTTGTCAATAATGTAAAATAAGAACAAATAAAAGAAAAGAAAACTTAAAGTAATACTAGAATTATACGTATTACTACTAATAAGGTACGTGAGGGTAATACCTTTGCCGCCGTGTAAAACCTATATGAGAAGAATGACAGAGACAAAAACACAAAAGTCGTATACTATAACCAATATATTAAGAAAAAAAAAGAACAAACACTCTTGAGCAATGATTAAAAAACAATACTAAAATCGACTAAAATATTTACTATAATGTCAACTGCCAAAATGGCGTCGATGAAGCAGTGCTCTTTTGACTATTTATTACTGATAATAGCTCTAATATGCAATAAACTAAGTAAAGAAAGTCCAATAACATACATCCCCACTAATTGCTCTTTTTTGGGTTTGTTTATTGCGATTCAAGTTTTAGTGCCTTCATACAATTCACAGAAGGGGTATACATATATTTTAATATAATTTTGTTAATATAATAAATTCATATTATTAGGATCGAAATTAAAAATCTGGGAGGTGGTAAACACCAGTTGATCTTCAACAAATTAGAGATGGAAGATGAAGGTGAAATCCTTTGCGAGTCTGGAGAACTCAAGTCTTCTTGCAAACTTACTGTCAAGAAGGGAGAATCCAAACCTTCGATCGAATGCCCTGACGAGTTTAACGGGCCTGCTGGACATCCTTTCGTCGTTGAAGTGCCTTACAAAAGTAAGTAAAAAAATCCTTTCTTTTAAAATTCATTCACCGTGTGGTGGCGGTGTAAGAATATCCACTACCCCATATCATCCCGTGGGTGACGTAAGAGGCGACAAAGGGAAAAAATCAGGAGATGAGCAGTATCGTCTTCCTAATAACGACTAAAAATAAAAATAACTATAGCCGTTAGCCAAACCATAATTAAGGCAAATATCCCCCCTATGAGGCAATCTATGGGTAAGGCCTATATTTAGCGGTGGACTTTAATATGCTGTAATGGTAAGAGTCACGGTTGAAATTTTATTGTACTTTTGAATTTAATAGGTTATTTTTCTATAAATACAAAATATTACATGCTCTTATTACAGTTTCTGGCACTCGACAAACACCTATTGAGGCCAAACTGTTTAAAGACGGCAAGGCCTTACCCGCTAAAGAAGTTGAGGTTGTGGTACAACAGGAGAAAGTTCTTTTCAAAATGAAGAAACCAACCAGAGAAGGATCTGGTAAATACCATATTAGATTGTCTAACGCTCAGGGTGAAGATTCCAAAGACGTCACTATTACCATGCAGAGTGCACCAACACCACCACAAGATGTTGAAGTTTCAGAAATATTCCAAACTTCATGTGTCGTAACATGGAAAGTGCCACAAGATGATGGTGGTTCACCAATACTGAAATATATCATTGAGAGACAGGTAGGACGTCAACGAGAATATTATCTTTTCTTCTATTGAACTACTTTAAACTAATTGAGTATAAATTATAAAATTCTTTGCTTCTAGGATCTGTCTCTAAAAGCAGGGTGGGACAATGTTGCCGAAGTGGCACACGGTGAACCAACAAAATACAAGGTTGAAGATCTTATCGCAAAGAAGACTTATAAGTTCAGAATACGTGCCGTCAACAAAATCGGCTCAAGTGAACCTGGTCTTTTCGCCAAACCCGTGCTGGCTAAAGATCCTTGGGGTAGGCATCTAGGCATCTAATTATTGTCAAATCTAATTCAATCTCAATCGTCTGTATTAAAAATAAATTAGATTTTTTCAGTAACCAAGCGAGATATTTTAGAAACTCAAATATGTTTTTTAATGAAGTTCAACTCTTAATTTGTAATATTCATAGCATTGATTTCGTTATCTCCTATAAATTTCAGATGAACCGTCGAAACCTAAGAGCGTGGAATTAACGGACTGGGATAAAGATCATGCTGATCTTAAATGGCAAAAACCAGATAACGACGGTGGCGCTCCTATTACAGGCTATGTCATTGAGTATAAAGTATGTACTATTACCTATTAATATGCTCTTTAAACGATATATTTAAGCGCTAAGCATTTAGACTTGAAGCATCTTGTTTCTAATGAATTTGTGGTGTGTGTTTTTTTAAAGGAGAAATTCGGCAAAGACTGGGTACAAGGCAAGGAAGTCCCAGGAGATTGCCTTGAAGCAACTCAAGATGGACTTAAAGAAGGCTGCACTTATGAATTTCGAGTTCGTGCCATTAATAAAGCAGGCCCTGGCGAGCCCAGTGATAGTACTAAGCCAATCGTTGCTAAGTGCAGATTCGGTAATAATTTGTATTTTTATTAATACTTGTTTTAAACATGATAATTATGAAAATAACGTAGCGTGAACTATCACACAAAATTTATTCTTGCAGTTAAGCCTTTCATCATTGGAGAGGGACTTCAGAATATGATAATCAAAAAAGGACAAGTCATCTCGTACGATATTAAATACGGAGGAGAACCGGAACCCGAAGTCAGATGGATGCACGGAGAAGAGGTAAATAATAGGAAAGTTAAAATCATCGGAAACAGACCATTCAATATCTTAAATACGACATAAACACTTCTCACTATTCACTTATCATTTTGTTTATTCATTGATGATATTGTGTATCAATGTAATCGAATTTATTTTTATATTTATAACTAAAATTGTTTATTTGTTGCAAGTTTTGTACCCTTTAAATTAAATAGTTTAATTGAATTAATAAATATCTTATTTTTTCCAAAAAAGAAACGTGGAAAGGCGTACACAGAGAAGGTCAGCTGGGTGAAATCAATGTTGTATATCATTGTGTTCTAAAATTCTCTTACACATTTTACTCTTTACACTCAAATGTGGCTAACTTGATTACACATATTTTATGTAACGACGTGAGCCATGATATACCGATGAAAACAATTTGTTTCTGCGTGTTGCAGTTAGTGTTTGAATCAGTATATCATGGTTTCGAATAAAATCGCCGACGACGCGATGATTAACATTAATTACAATTTGAAAGCTTTCGATGTTGTATCAACACTGTTCTAAAAATCTCACTCATAACATCAGGTCACCACTACGCATTGAAAAATAGATGAGCACTTGGTGGTAGGTTACAGAAAATATTAAGAAAAACTATGACTCAATTGGTTTCATAATATATGTATTTTCTTTTAAATAACATCTGGACAGTACGAAATGATATTATACAGCAACTGTCGACACGTTCTAACTCTATCAATGAACTTATGTTTAACACACTTGATGTTTTTAACTTGTTGCTTTCGATCTTTCATGGTGCCACTTCTAAAAAAATATAAATACTTTTTAACAATAAAATCTACATTTTTTCTTTGACTCTACTTTTGCTTCTCCATCATAAAAGGCACATGCACCATGAAAAGTCAGAAGGTACGTATTTTTTTTAAATTACTTGCTAATTTTTATCATTACTATAGGAAATTCGTGATGATGGTGAGCGCATCACCATCGACAAATACGAAAGAAACACTGTATTAAATGTAAGGAAGACGACCAGACCTGACAGCGGTAAATATAAATTGGTTCTGACCAACTCGTCTGGCACCTGTGAAAGCATAGCAGATGTTGTTGTGCTAGGTAAGATATTCAAATTTTTTTATAATATATTATTTAAAAAAAATCTGGAATACAATGAATGTAAGTTAAAAGTGCTGCTGTGTTTGGAATAGTAAGTGTAGAAAACCGGAGATTCTATTTACTGGAAACGAGGCATTCCATCTTAGTCGTCGTGTGTAACAACGCATTTGCAATTTAGTTCTTAATCGTGTGCTCGTTTGTCCCCTTCATAATTAATATAATACATTAATTTTAAAATAGCCACCAATTGCTTCTTGTACGCCGACGACTTTTGCGTTGACGACGGACAAGTTGCAAATGGTGATTACTTATATGAACGTATTATTAAAATTAAAATTAACCTTTCAAGCGCCATAAAAATCCCATGCAGTCGCATGCGCCGGGCAAATCCCGAGCGGTCGCATGCGTCCGCACCCACCAACGGCACTTAAAACCATTAAAACTTATATTTAGAGACTACTTTTCTATGAAGAAGTTTAGCATTATAAAATCTATACAAAATTTTATATCCTGTAGTCTAAACGAAAGTCTGGTTTTACTTCATTAAAAAAAGATGTTATTGTATTTTGATAACAAAAAAAACATATCAAGCGAATGTCGTCAGCGTGAAAATCACAATTATTTCAATATATATACTCGAAATTATATACGTAAAAGATAAATTATATTCACACAAAAACTTTCATTACAATTTTATAATAAAACACTAAACTAAAACACCAATAAAACACTAGCACAATCCAAAAATCAACACAATAACATTCACGCGAAAATGGCGTACGAAATGAACGTAGATTATAAATAAATATTCATAGGATAACAGTTTTTTTATTGCACTAGAGGATAGAGTATTTCATATTGATTGTATAATGCCAAACTTTTTCGTAGAAAAGTAGTCTCTATACATACGTTTTTATAGGTTAAAGTGCTGTGGGTGAGCGCGACCTCGTGAGACTGCTAGGGATTTAAAGAAATATGGCCGCGGTCTCATGAGACCGCTAGGGGGTTGAGAGGTTAAAATTAAACAATTAAAATAGTCACAATTCTTTAAATGGAAGGAACGTATGTGAAATAAGAATAGAAAGGGAGTTTGTTGAGCAAGTTATTGAGTTTATGTATTTCGTATATGTTGTATTTAGCAAGGACGGTAGGGATGATTTTGTAAATACACAATGTACAAGTTATGTTTGAGCAAGGATATAGAACAAAGAATAATGAATGAATTCAGCAAGGGAAGTCAGAATGTGTCAAAAGGGCATGTATGGCAATTCACACTACTAGTTATTCCATACCGTAATGTAGGGTCACTACCCTATATTACTATTAGTAAGGTGTAACAAAAGAAGTATGAGACCAAAATTAATGCTGTAGAAATGTGGTTATTAAAACTATGTTAGATGTGGCACTGAATGGTAGGGTGAGAAATTTTGTAACAAGTAATTTCTAGGTATTATAAATTTAAAATAAATCGAGCGTTAAATAGATTTAAATTCAAAAATAAAATGTAATTTGAAACAATAACTTTGGATGGTCCAGTTGTGGATTAAAAAATTCGATGTATAAGTGATTTTTTTCAGTACCTACCATTAAAAAGGAGAACTCTATATACATCGAGCTATGTGCCAATTTCTCTACTCAGCTAACACAATATTTAAAAATATGTTTTGCCATTTCAGATAAACCTAACCGACCTAACGGTCCCATTGAAGTGGTTGACGTACGAGCTGAAAAGGCAACTGTCAAATGGCAGAAGCCTGATGATTGGCAAGGATCTGATATTACGGGATATACTCTCGAAAAGATGGACATGGTAAGATTCATCATTTTTTTTTTCATCTTTGACATTCTTTAAAATTATATTCTTCTAAGGCTAGCTCTAGGAAAGAAAAATATTAATCTTCTATTATAAATACGCAACTTGCCAGTGGTTGCTTATAAAAAAAAGTCCCACAATATCCCAATAAGGCTCTAAATTTCGTTGTCGCATGCGGTTCTTAATTTAACTAATTTTGAATAGTCATTACATAATTAAATTTGCTTAAATCATTAAAAATGAAATTATTATACTTTCTATAATGTTTAGCATGAATTTTACAATCAACCTAAAAGAGTCCTTAAAAACCTTTCTAGGTACATGTGAATTGACGATCGCTGTACCAGACGTCTTACACCTTTGACACTTTTGGCCCTCTCTGTCTTGGTATTTAAAGTCAGGTGTAAGCGAGATGGTCATCCATTCGACTAAAATATTTTTGGCATTTCCCATAGCCATAGTCGCCTGCTCTTACGACACACACGCGACAATGATGGATGTTCTCATGACAACGTTACGCGGTCCTCGTCATCATCATCATCATCATCATTACAGCCCTTCACAAGTCCACTGCTGAACATAGGCCTCCCCCAAATTAAGAAAAAAGATTCATTGTATTTCGCGGTCCTCGAAATATAATGAATCTTCATACATCTTCGGAATTTAATCAATACACTACGTCAATATACTTATTATAGCTACTCAGTGTCAATTAATTAGTAAGACTGTGTTTATACTGCATATTGCGGCGGCAAAATAATCACAGTCCAACATTATTTAATTAAGAAGTCAGTACAATAATAACATAGATGCCTATTATTTCCTTTTAGGATACAGGCAAATGGTTTCCCTGTGGTGAAACTGGCCCAGAGCCTACTGAATTCACAGTGAAGGGTCTGACACCAAACCACAAGTATAAGTTTAGGGTTCGTGCAGTGAATAAGGAAGGAGAATCTGAGCCGTTAGAAACTGACGGCTTTATCGTCGCGAAGAATCCTTATGGTTAGTTTAATATTTTTATTGTGCTTGCTCGTAAATAATATTTATATTATGTTTATGATAAAATTTAAAAACATTTGATATTTTAAAATATGCTTTAACTTTTATGTTTCTATTATTTCGGCCTTACTGTATCAAAAAGATATATTGAAAAAATAAATGGGCCACATTAACCGACGAGCATATCTGCGTAGGTATATGGATGTGGAGGAGGCGAGAGAGGAGAAAGGTGGGTCAGGATCGTGCTAAATGGAAGTCTGTAGTCTCTGTTTGCCTCTCTGGGTGACAGGCGTTTATAATATGATTATGTGGGAGTGTTCTGAAATAGAACCCAGTATACTGGCCAATGCAAATTACGTCATAAATCGACGCCGTACTGGTGATTCGTTTCAAAACGTTGGTCAGTATAATATGACATCATACATTAATTTGCGCCATATTGGCAAAGTGTTGGGGATTATTTAATGTCATTTAGTGCTCCAGTTTCAATTAATTTGTGAAGAATGGAGATATCAGCAATAATTCTATATTTTTTGTATTTAAATTAATAAAAACAAATGCTGGCATGCTTCATTCAGCGTACACACAATAAATTGTTTTAATATGGCGGGATATCCGACACAATATGGCGGTGGCATGTCAGTACAATATGGCGTCCATTAATGACGTCATTTGCATTCGCTAGTATAATGGGGTGCCCAAACGTTATCTAAATTTGACATATTTTGTTTCGAATATTTATTTTTCGACAACAAAAAATTCGTGATAATCATCGTTCGCGACTTTTAACATACGGAATTTTATACCTTCGAATAGTTGGTTATTTCGTAACCTTTGATGGCAAGCCAAAACCATCGTTCATAAAACATCGCTCATGAAGAACCATGTTTATGAACGATATATCGATGTTAGAAAAAATTGATGTATCGTTTACATCCCTAGTCACGCATCGAATAAGTGCTAGTGTTATTACACTGCATGGTGGCAAGGGCACTGCAGACCAGCCTAATTAGGGACCCTTATTCCCTTTTTCTTATTACACCTCCCTGAATCAGGGCGTAGGGACCCTGATTCGGGGTAGTGTTATAGGCGAATGCTACACGCGTGATATTTGGATCGCGATCCAGGATCGTGATATTTATTGAACGTGTAGTATCAATTATTGATGGATCGCGATACGGATCACAGAATTTCTAGATTTCTGAAAATCCATATCGCGATCCAAGGATCGTGATAAATATTTCGCGTGTAATATTGCTGCGATACGGATCGCGTCAGTCTGCTCTGGAGAAGCGATGGAAGAGGACGACTTTTGTAGCGATGCGGGCGAAATCGCAAACGAAAGCGAGAATCCTATTTCGACGGGACTATCTACAATCTATCAAAAATATTTACAGGCTTTTATATTATGATTTGAAACAACATCCATATTATGGGACACATCGTGTCATGATTTTAAAAACAATTGTAAGCGCATGAAAGCGCTTCAGAAGTTACTATCAATTTATAAAAAAAAAATAAAAAATGACGCTTCAATAGAAGATGTTAAAAAAATCGTTAAAATTGACACTCTCCTTTTTAATATTATTGCCATAATTATAGCTACACAAGCTTTTATATGTGGTAGAGCCATGCTGCAGTTATATTAGTATCATATTTGTAGCACGAGTGGGTCTGCTAGACCGACGAAGGACCACGCTCTCACAGAATACCAGCGTAAAATAGTAGCTTAATGCTGCTATATTGCGTATGGTAAGTATAAAGAACTGGAGACCCTTTTTACTGGAAACGAGGCATTTCATCTTAGTCCTCACGGGTGACAACGCATCTGCATTCTGATTCGTAATCGAGGATAGATGTAGATGTGTATAGGCTACAGCAACCACTTACTATCAGGTGGACTGTGTGCTCGTTTGTCACCCTATCCTATTAAAAAAAGCTTTTTCTACATTTCGGTCCATTTTAGATATGTCGGCACGTAACAGTTTTGTGCCCAATATTGACGTGATCCGTATTGAACGTGTAGGGTGTGTCGATATGGATCGCGATACGTCATTCCAGATCGCGTCCCAGATCGTGATAAATATCACGTGTGTAGCATTCGCCATAGGCTAAAACATGAATGTTAGAGAACAGGAGAACGATCACTGTAGTAAATAGTGTCCAGAAATATGGACACCATAAGTGAGGCACTGCGATCGCTCGAGGTTCGGTCAATAAAAATTATTTTGAGTCTATTTTTTCGATCAGATGCTAAACCACTTGCAAATCCACGCACAATTAAATATTTCTCCATTTTTTAATGTTTCATGAAAATTTTCTCATTAAAATGAAATGAAAATTTGTACGTTATTCAACTAACTTCATCTACTTGTACTCATAAACAGCTAATTTCGCAGTCACTACTCACCGACGTCAGCGCCGCAATACATTCTACAATTTTCAAGGACAGGCGGGCTATGTTTTAGTACGTAGTGATCGTTCTCCTGTTCTCTAACCTTCATGGGCTAAAACGTCTGAGCATGAAGGTTAGAGAACCTAACCTTCATGCTCAGACGTTTGACTCATGCATCTGACTGTCGAATTTGACATTGACATTTTGTCTAACAGCTGTCAACTGTCATTCATTTCAATTTCATTTTCTTTTGTTTACAAACAAAACGGTATATAGCTTGTTTGAGTTTGGAGCTGTTTATATTAGAGTGTGATATGTTTTATCAGATCCACCAAAAGCGCCAGGCAAGCCTAACATCATTGATTATGACAACATGTCGGCAACACTTCAATGGGAGCCGCCGACTGATAATGGTGGTAGACCAGTGTTGGGCTACGTGATTGAGATGAAAGATAAGTTTACTGCTGATTGGATAGAGGTTCGTATACTGTTACTTGGAACTAAGTAGTGTAAGTAGATGTAGTTGCGGCAGCTGTATATTTTAGAATTGTGATCACTCAAGATTTCTTTCATACCTATTTTTGTAATTTTTTGTTTCAAATATCTTTTTGTACTTAAAAAGCTATTTTACTTTTTCAATATTTATTTCCACAAAATTGGTAGATGTTTCTTGTATTCAAATCAATGCTATTGGACTACAATAAAAATATTTGCTTATACAAGTACCTAATATATTTATATTGCAAATTATTTTTTACTTAGCTTAAGTTCTTCATAATAATATGTACTTTTTGTTCTTTTAATACTAAATTAGAATATTTTTTGGAAATAATAATTATTAATTACCTTAAAATCACAATTTTCAGGTTGGAAAACTTACAGAACCTAAAACTGAATACAAAGTGGAAGGCCTGAAAGAGAAAATGATATACCAGTTCCGTGTAAAGGCCTACAATAAAGCTGGGGTTGGTGATGCTTCACAGCCAACAGAAAACCATCTTTGTAAACATAGGAACTGTAAGAAATAGTTTTTTATTTAATTAAATGCTTACTTCCAAGTAGAGGCACATTTGGCAGGTTATTAAATGCTTACTTCCAAGTAGAGGCACATTTGGCAAGTTATTATGTTTATTCACCCTAATAAATCCACCCCAGAGTGGATAGATACACCTTAGGGTGGATAGAGTCATATCATGGTAGAGCCACGCTGCAGTTATATTAGAAGTAGCATGAATGGGTCGGATCAAACTGGTTAGGATCATGCTCTCATAGAATATCAGTGTAAAATAACAGTTTAATGCTGCTGTGATCAGTATGGTGAATGTAGAGAAAGAGAACCACCCTTTTTACTGGAAACAAGGCATTTCATCTTAGTCCTCAGTGGTGAAAACGCATATGAATTTTGATTCCTAATTGAGGATAGATGAAGATGATTATGACCCACATCATCCACTTACTATCAGGTGCACTGTGTACTTGTTTGTCACCCTTCTATAAAACAAATAGTAATGTCTATTTTCTCTCAGCTAAGAGAACAGATTAATTGTCATTTTAATTGATTATAAGCATAATCATATTATCTGCATTCTTAATTTTAGCTGCCCAAGTTTAGGAATCACTTACCATTTCTATATGGGTGACCAAATTTTCCTAACCGAGAATTTAAAAGTCAACATGATTCACTTAAATTTGCATGTTTATCTTTACGCCAATGTATGTTGTGTTTTGTGTGGGAGTTGCTGTGTATTGGTGGTGTATGTAATACCACTAACCCATGTAAGCCCATGGGTGTCGTAAGGGGGACTCGGGAAATTTAATCAGAAATTGAACAGCAATATTTTCTTGATAACAACTAAAATAATGTAAAAACTGTGTGCCTAGTGTACTTAGAGACAATCTATGTGGAAGACCTATGTATAAAAGTGGACTTTTATAGGCTGTAAAGGACAATGGAATGAATATAATATGCGTGTGAAGTATTAATAACTATATTATAAAGGCCTGTAATATCATAATATTTATTTACAGTGAAACCTCGCATTGAAAGAAGTACATTCAAATCTGTCATAATAAAGGCAGGGCGAACACACAAATGGTCTGTGGATGTCATCGGTGAACCACCACCAGAGACCACATGGTATGTATGTAGGATTAGCCTATATAAATAAAAATTAAATGCTGTTTGTTGTGTAAACTTCTATTCTGCCCATCACAACACCTTTTTTTTTTGGGATTTTTCTACTCACAATTTAAATAATGGATGTTATAGCATAATTCTTTTTTGGTAATATTTGTTGTTTTAAAAATCATTTGGAAGATCAGGAGAAATATCTTAAAAGCAATTCAAATAAAATTAAATTTGTTTTTACTTTTGTGTTGTTTCATGATGAGTCCAACAAACTACTACTTATACGCTAAATATTACTATACGCTTCAAGATGTAGCCAATCTTGTCAGTGACTCCTCTAACATATGGCAGTACAAGCCACAGTCGAGCGTGTACCTGCTGTACTGCCATATGTTAGAGGAGTCACTGACAAGATTGGCTACATCTTGAAGCGTGCTTCCATCAAAACATACTTCAAGCCGCTGAAGAAGATTGGTCAGTTTTTACCATCAGTCAAGTGTAATGTCCCTCTGCAAGATGCAGGAGTGTACAAGCTTGATTGTGAATGTGTTCTCTCCTACATAGGACAAACTAAAAGATCAATAAAAACCCGCGTTAAAGAACATATAGCTGATGTGAAGAATCTACGCTCCGGGAAGTCTGCAGTCTGTGAACACGTACAGGATCGCCCCCGTCACTACATCAGATTCGATAGACCGCAAATCCTCGTTAAAGAACACCCATTCCTTCCAAGGATGATTCGCGAGGCTATTGAAATCAAAAAACATCCTAATTTCAATAGAGAAGATGGCTGGGTGCTACCATCTGCTTGGGATCCGATAATAAATAAAATTAAATCCCAACCCAAGCATACAACTGCAAGACTTCAAGATACCATAAGTTCATACTGTATAGATCGGAACAAAAGTTAAATTTTAATCTATGGTAACCACGGTTAACTATGACATATGGACGTTGAACATCTCAGTCCCGCCCGTGACCATGAGTGCTGTAAAGCGTTCGAAACGTCGGGTATTTAAAAAGTTAAATATACGCGATAAATTCCGTAAAAACTAGTATTATTTCAATGTGGAGTGTTCGCGTAAATATAAGAAATCATTAGGATAAGAGAATAATGTATTTGTAAATTTTAATCTACGTGTCGCATTAATTGAACGCGATGGACTCCCTAAACTATTGAACCAATTTTTAATCAAATTTGCACACCGTGAACAGTTTGGTCCAACTTGAGAGATAGGTTAATTTTTTTGCCCAATTTTCAAAATCCTTAAGTTCGCAAAAAAAATTGTGGGTCACTCACCACAATTTTTTTTACTAACTTAAGGATTTTTTATAGGACATGACAAAGGGTCGTCGAAAAGGGAAGAAAAACGTCTGCCTGGCAAGCTAGTAGAATATAAAATAATGAACATGTTGACTTCACCCTCACTCCTATTTCTTGTATTATGCTATTGCGCTTAGATTATGTAATTGTACAAGACATTTTTAGTTCATAAACGACCTTTTTTTCACATACTCTTGCACTTTCATCTTTTTCTACGCATATTGGATAGATCCCTTGAGACTGGGCGTCACTAGGACATTATTAATGAAAATCTAAATTTTTAGGTCATGGCGCGAGAACATAAAGCTGGTCAACACGGAACGCATCAAAATCGAGAACAAAGAGTACCATACGGACTTCACAATAGTGAACGCAGTGCGTAGGGATACCGGGAAGTACACTCTCCGCGCCGAGAACTGCAATGGATTTGATGAGGAGACCGTGGAGCTAACGGTGCTGAGCAAACCCAGCACGCCAAAGGGTAAGCAGTTTATTTGTCAGTGTTTGTTTTTTTAGATGGAAAATCTAAAATACATGTTTGAAGTACACAATTCGCCTTTGTTCTTTTTATATGTATGTTATACGATGTTTTTGCTACAACTACCGATTTTAATGATACCTATAATATAAAAAGAGCCGTGGGAGCTCAGATGGTTAGCGCTCGCTGTAAATTACACAGCATGCGAGCAAACCGGGTTTGAACCCCGTCGCCATTTACCTGAAGGAAAACATCGAGAGGAAACCTGCATGCGCGGCGAACACTTCCTTGCCTTAAAACCCTCTCTGAAATGAGGTGAGGCCTGTTCCCAGCAGTGGGAGGTATATAGGCTGTAATATTAAGCTATATAAATTTCGAGATAAAATTCCACATGCTGTGGGAAAATAGGGGTAGAAGTTTTTAGTGTAACTATTAACGCCATTCAAGGTTCTCATGAGACTAAAAACCGTCTTTAATAAACTAAAAATAATTAAAATAATTGCCACATAGTTTTTTTTAAATCTTCTGAAATCTGTGCTAAGAACTTATTGTACATCAAAAAGTTAAAACCTTAACTTTGGAAGCTATTAAACTATGTGAAAATTTTATTCTTTTAATATTATTGAAATTGGTTTGTATTTTTTTTAAATTCATTTTTTGAAAAGATACCTAATCATTACGTCTGGAACTTACTTTGCTCCTATCCCCTTTGGAAGCTATTAAACTATGTGAAAATTTTATTCTTTTAATATTATTGAAATTGGTTTGTATTTTTTTTAATTCATTTTTTGAAAAGATACCTAATCATTATGTCTGGAACTTACTTTGCTCCTATCCCCTTCATCTAAAATAAACATTTTTGCGTCTTGCTCAGGTCCACTTGAGGTGACAGACATTCACGCGGAAGGATGCAAGGTGAAATGGGAAAAGCCGGAGGACGATGGCGGTTCACCGATCAAGGAGTACGAACTCGAGAAAATGGACCTCGCTACCGGAAAATGGGTTCGTGTTGGAAGGTGAGCTTAAAGAACCATTTTCGCTCCTATTTATCTAATTTAAATTCGTTAAGTTAATTCTTGGTGGGTTTTTAATACGCCGCCAATTTGAAAATACTGTAGGGCGAAATTAACAATAAACTTTTTTAAACTTCTTTTGCTTACTTCTTTTATCATGTACAGAACAGAAACGCGTTTTCTGTGGAATTTTTTATTTTCCTCACTTTAAAAAGTATCTCACGTTATGTAAATAATAATTTTGGTGTAAATAAATAATTGAAGTTTAAACTAATAAATGACTAAACGTCAATTGATAAAAAAGTGCTAGACGATTCTAGTACTCTGACCATTAAATCATGAGTCGATTGACATCATAAATAGTTTTTTTTATATAACATTGGGTGACAAACGAGCACACAGAAAATACAAATGCTTTGTCACTCATGAGGACTAAGATGGAATGCAGTTCAAGTAAAATGGGTCTCCGGTTCTCTACACTCACTATACGAAACAGCAGCATTACGCTACTATTTTTCGCTGGTATTTTGTGAGAGCGTTGTGTTGCCCCAATTGAGGCGACCTATTCGTGCTACAATTACAATATAGCTACAGCGTGGCTCTACCACGTAAACTTTGTGTAAATTGCAATTATCGTACATAACGTCAAGTTTTTGTGTAAATTGCAATTTTCATGCTGACTACACATTTCTTCCGAAAACTAAATGCTAATCAAAGTATGTCCAAAAGTTATAGTAAGTTCTCTAAAAACTTTTTTCTGTAGTTGTAACGGTTAAGTTACCTGTCTGTCTCATCTCAAAACTCTACCCTGTATTGATAAATTAATTATTCTTTTATAATTTTACAATATCTAGGACATGGTTTATCTATTATTGAGTTACCAAAAATACCAAACATCTTCATAATTTATATTATACCAGTATAGATTGCCCACTACTGTACTCTTCCACATAAATGAATAAATTTAAAAACATTTCTTATTACATTTAATAATATTGTTTTTTTTTTAAATACTAATTATCCAGGGTTGCTGGTGATAAGAAGCCCTTGGAAATGGATGTGACTGGCTTGGAGCCCGGACATCAGTACAAGTTCAGAGTGACAGCCGTCAATGATGAGGGCGACTCGGAACCTCTCGAGACAGAAAGACCCATTCTGGCCAAGAACCCGTATGGTGAGTAACGAGTGAAAGTGAAGTAGTAAAGTAGCAACCGATATATGGCCCACAGCTACGCACAAGCTTTTTCTCATTTCTGAGAGGATTCTTGGAGCAAGAATTAGTTCGTCATATTGTCGGCGGACCCATAACATGCCATCAAAATAGTTTTTTTTATCATACCTTGATCGAAAGTTCGTTTTTCGACCCTATTTTCAGGGACAAAAGTGCTACATTATCTCCCGATTCAATGACTTATTAATTTAATACGCATGCGTCAAATTTCTAGCTCTATAGTTTATAAACGTGAAAATTATATGTCATGATACATTTTAACCTCACAATGATTTCTTTATATAGTACGCATGCGTCAAATTTCTAGCTCTATAGTTTATAAACGTGAAAATTATATGTCATGATGCTTTGAGAATAAATTATATTACTTGAATTTAAATAGAACTTTCGATCCAGATCCAATAGTATATTTTCCTCCCTAGTGGCATAATATACTATTAATTCGTCAGTTACTCAGGCGAAAATGTTTTCAGCGCTTAAAATTGCAATCAGCAACTTTATGGGTGCCGGTTTGGAACGAATTCAGATTGCAGGTGTGTTGTCAAATCCCTGAGCTACGACGGATCCTACATTAACTCACTAACGTGTTTATCATCATCATCATCACCATAATTACAGCGCATGCCCATTACAAGGTCACTGCTGAACATAACCCAAACAAAACACAATTATAACATAATATGTTATGTATTGTTATATTGTTTATAACATAATATGTTATGTACTGTTATATCGTTTATTTATAATGGGTAATGGAAACACTAGCTTAATATATCAAATAAAATTTATTACACTAGTAGCCGCGTTTTTAAAAATCGAATTTTCATTTATAAAAATGCTCATAGAGAAAAAAACTGAAAAAAGAAGATAATTGTGTCTGTAGGTTAGCTATCGTATTTCGTGTGTTAGATTTTGACTGTCTTAAATCTTTTTTTATATATTTTTAATCACTCAAATGTATTTTAATCGAATACGAATAAAATACTAAGTTGTAACACACACTAAGATGAGTTAAAATATTTATAACTATATATTATGGTACTCGACAATTTAATTCCCGTTAATACATTTTATTAATTTGTTATTCTCTACATATTACTTTAATAATGCTTTATTTATGTCATTACTCCGTGTAGTGGCGATTTAAGAATCCACTACCCTATACCGCCCCGTGGATGTCGTAAGAGCAGACATGGGAGAGAAACCAGGAGTTAGGTAGCAGCGTCTTACTGATAACAACTCAAAATTATAAAAAAACACCGGCTGCTTGTCAAGAGTGGCAACTATTGCAAAACGCAGATGTGGACATTATAGGCTGTAATGGAATGTCTTTAGATTTTTCTCTTCTCAAGACGAAGAAAATAGTTTTTTGATGGTGAAAAATAGCGAATAGATATTTGGACTTATAAAGTAAATAATTATAATAATTATTCTATTGTTCTAGATGTTTCGGACAAGCCCGGCAATGTGGAAGTTGCGGATCACGACAATCAAAGCGCGGAGATCAAGTGGGAGCCACCGGCGTCCGACGGTGGAGCTCCAATCCTAAAGTATATCATACAAAAGAAGCCCAAGGGCGGCGATTGGGAGAATGCTGTTGAGGTAAGACATTGATTATGTGATGACGTTGTTTTGGTCAATTTTCGCAATAGCGATATTTTTCCACAATCTATCCGCGATTAGGGATCGAAATACAGATTCGTTGTTACCCTCGAAGACTTAGATGGAACGCATAGTTCCAAGTCAAATCGTCTCACGTTTCTTTACTCACCGAATAAAACATTAAAGTAGTATGTAATACTAAAAGAAAGTCCGGCAATTGGCTGTGTGACCTGTGATTTTAGCTTTGAGCACATGCTTTCTCAAACAACAACAAGTCTCGTTAACTCCTCTGGGGATGATAACGATCGCGAATAAAGAAAGAACGCTGATTGCGGCGGTACGTATGTGCAAAGAAATTGTTCGATATCAGAATATCGTTGTCATATTTATATTTTGTGTTCAAGTTTTCAGAAAAACGTAACTCAATGATGTCATTTGGTTTTTTGAGTATTTCGACAGTCGCGAGTTGATCAAACCAGCGGGTTATCAAAAAGCTAAATATTTAAGTGTTTTTTTCTTGACATGGTTCCTTACTTTGAGCTCTAGGTAAAACTGAGACAAGTTTTTCATGCACATTTTTTATATTTAGTGACGACGTCACCGAAATACTATTTAATGCATCTGCTGCAGCATTATTTCTACCTGGGACGTATTCTACGCTAAAATATATAATTCGGGGACAATAGTCGTCTGTTTTACTAGTTGGGGAAATCTTTGCAACAAGGGAAACGCTATGCTTCTCTCCCAGTATGGTCGGTCTTCTATTATGGGCTAGTCTTGGTTACAGGCAAAGTACCCTTGAAAGAACAGCTGCGCAGGTACCGGTTTAAGGCTATATGAGTATCCTCACTTAGGTGCTCAAATAAGTTAGTTGTTTCCTAGTTACCGTTGTGCGATCGATAGAGACTCAAGCTATTTATTTATTTATTTATTTTACGCTAGTACTCTGTGAAATTATGGTCCTTTTCCAGCTACTTAAAGCCTTGTTACGACTTACGTATAACTCATCATTTCGCAACGCATTTTTTTACTCTTTATTGACAGCCCTTAGTAACCATGGAAAGCCAGCCGTGACGTTGGTAGGGGAAAGATGCAATATAATACGGGCAATCGCGCGCAATGATAACGTTTGATTTAGCGATTTATCTAATTAATAATCACTATGTAGGCTATTCCAGATCAGCTTATTGGGTATAAATTTAATCGATAGATTTAATAATCATCCAATTTCTTTAGGTACCGGGAACGGCGACCTCCGGCAAAGTAGAGGGCTTACCTGAAGGTAGTGAGTACCAATTCCGGGTTATCGCCGTCAACAAGGCCGGCCCATCTGAACCCTCAGAGCCGACCAAGATGACTACTATAAGACACAAAGCTCGTAAGTGTTATTTTAGACATTGAATATGACTTATCTTAGTGATTTTATTATAGTTCTCCCTCTTTTTATTGTATTACGTTCGGAACATGCTTTGTGATATTTAGTACTGACTTGACTGTTACTACTATATTTTTGACCACTGCCTGTTCTTAACGTGTTATTATTGTACCTGAGGCTATTAGACTATGGGTATGTTCCGAAACGTTTTCAGTACACTGCCGAATACAAATGACGTCATCAATTGACACTATATTGTACTGGCGTGCCGCCGCCATTATGTGTGGGATATCCGGTCATAATAAAACAATTTTTAATTGTATGTGCGCTGAATGAATCGTGCCAGAATTTATTTTTATTTATTCAAATACAAAAATTATAGAATAATTGCTGGTATCTCCATTAGGAGGATATAATGATTTTTGAAGCACAAAATGACAAAATTATCGCCATCACATTTTCAATATGGCGTAAATTTATGACGTTATATACTGTTCTATGTTTTGGAACGAATCACCAGCATAGCGTCGAGTCATGACGTCATTTGCATTGGACAGTACACTGGGTTCTATTTTGGAACATACCCTATATGTAAGCACTACATTATATTTTCGCTTGCGCTGCACAATAACATGTCCTGCTGAGTGTCCAATAATATTCTGAAGTACTACTGGAGCAAAAACTACGACGACGCGCGCGAAAAGTGACTTCAAACGCACCCAAACCTTAAAAATATTGTACTATATTTTATGGTATTTCTGTATTATCACCCCTATATTTTTATTTTGCAGTGAAACCACGTATTGACCGAACGAACTTAAAATCCTTGGCTGTCCGGGCCGGCAAGCCGATCTTCTTCGACGTCAACGTGAAAGGAGAGCCAGCGCCTAAAGTTCAGTGGTTCCAGAAGTGGAAGGGAGAAGAGAAGGAGGTAAACTTCCTCTTTCCTGAACTTTTTTTTTAAAATGTTATTTCTATACTATAATTATTTCTTGTATCGTTGAGGCGTTTTATATAAATAAATTGCATATGAATAAACATCTAGATTCGTAAAAAATATTTGTATATAATACTTCTTAATTCTCATCTTAGAAGTTCATACTTACGATAGTCGCTTTTGATCTTACCGCGTAGGTTTAGATTAGCTTGTGAAATAAAGTAGTTTACAGATCCAAAAATAAGAGAAAAACCGATTTAGTATAAGTTCATAATCATCATTGTTATCATGATTATAGCCTCCATCAGCTTTATGTTTTATTCCAACAGCTGAATGCTGTTGACATATCAAAAGTCACTTTAGCATTACGTATTCCATATAGATTTTCTATAAAAACTACCATGACTTTGAAACATATGACGCAACTACTATTTATAATAAACATTTTGTGGAAACCGGCATGTCTAATAAATAAGAAAATAAATATTTCAAAGACATGTAAAGTTTGCCAACACGCATTGGGGCACCGCGGCCGACAGTTCCTTGCCGTAAAACCTCTAGGAAATGAGAGGTGACCTGTGCAGGTGAACTTAGCTTATTAGCGAATAGGTCTGCCGATTAGGGCATCTACAATATGTGTTGTGCCAATATTATTAATCCAACCCGGGTAATTTTAATGTCTCCCGAAATAAGTGCCTTGACATCGTCAACGGAGCTCTACTTTCCGATATATGACCGAGAATGTAATTAAATTCCAATAATAATACTAATTACTTCGCAACCTTCCGCTAACTACATACAATGATGTGTCTTAACTAGATTGAAGAGCACCTCCCGCCCTCCCTCAATTGCATGATCTAACTCCGTCACCACTAGTCCCAGCACCACTACTCCTGGCACCACTACTTCCAACACCACTATTCCAGTTGCGAAGTAATTAGTATTTTTATTATAATGGATTTCCGCAAAGTAACGCCTCATTCTATCAATTAAATTCCAACAAATTAATTCCACAGGTGACCCAAAACGTGATCAACGTGGATTACAACACAAAGCTGGACGTTAAGGAGTCAGTCCGTTCGATGACTGGCACGTACCGCATCCTGGCGACTAACGAACACGGAAAAGATGAAGCCGAAGTTGAGATCACGGTGCTATCATCGCCAAGCAAACCCGGTGGCCCGCTGAAGGTCACCGACGTCACTAAGAACGGCTGCAAGCTGGCCTGGAAGAAGCCCGAAGATGATGGAGGTCAGTTGCTGAATAACTATAGCGACATAATTCGCGACACCGTCACCATCATCTAGATACTAGGCGGTCCATCACAGAGCGACTTAACAAAGTTTTTTTGTCGCGCAATGTCTTCGTCAAATCGGCTACTATCAGCGATTTTAAGCAACCGATATGAAAACTTACACCCTTACATTAATTACCCTGGCGTTGCACTTTTAACCTTACCCTGCAACCATTGGCAGCGGTAGTCACAAACCATCTGGTGTACACATCCATTATCATCATCAGCATCATCATCATCATCATTACAGCCCTTCACAAGTCCACTACTGAACATAGGCTTCCACCAAGTAATGCCACAAAGCACGGTCCTGAGCCACCTGCATCTATCGACTTCCTACATGTCTTACCAAGTCGTCACTCCATCTAGTGGGGGGACGGCCTACACAATACCTGCCGGTAAGAGGCTGCCACTGGAGAACCTTTTTTTCCCATCAGTTATCGGTTCTTCGAGCTATTTTGCCGGCCCATAGCCACTTTAGTTTACTAATCCGTTGGGCTATGTGGATTGCTCTGGTTCTACTGCGGATATCCTCAATCCTACGTTTATCACGCAGAGAAACTCCGAGCATATCCCTCTCAATGGCTCACTGAGCGACTTTGAGCTTCCTAATACGGTCGACAGTGAAGGACATGTCTCAGATCCATAGGTCATCACTGGCAACACGCACTGGTTGAACAATCTAGTTTTCAGAGTTTGAGGTATACCTGACTAGAAGATGTGTCGTAATTTCCCGAACGCTGCCCAGCCGAGTTGAATCCGTCGATTGACCTCTCGGCCGAAGTTGGACTTACCTAGTCGGACTGTTTGTCCGAGGTAAACGTACTCGTCAACAACTTCGAGCATAGTGCTCCCAACAACTACCGGCATAGGTGTGACATGGACATTAAACATGATCTTTGTTTTGTCCATGTTCATCTTAAGACCTATCCGTTGGGAGACACCATTGAGGTCATAGTTAAGTTTATTTGGTGTACACATCCAAATAAACTTAACTATTTCACTGTCGCGTGAGTCACTTATAAATATTTCTATTGTTTAACTATTGTTCTTGTTCGCGGACAGAATAACTGTTAGCTCGTTTCAATGGTGTCTGGTGGAACATTCTTGCTTGACAAAATACCGTCCGGTTTAAGATTTTAGTTTTTAATCTTTAAAAAAAAAACGTTACCATCACACTAGGTGTTCCCTCTGTATCGTGGAAGGAGTTTCCAAACATAAATTGCACAAGGACAGACATCTAGACCCGGAACAGTTATTTATAGGTCATACAAAATATGATCTACAAATAATTGTTGCTTGCTTCGTAAAGGATTCAAACCCACGACTCTCAGCGCTACAACCCATTGCTAAGCCATTATGCTACGGAGCCGTGCCACAAGGTGGATATGCCTGTGATGTCATTCCGCGTTTGTAGATGTGTATGAGACGATTGTGAAAAATAATAGACAGATATAACTTTACCTAATAAATTTTTTTAAAACCTTAGTTTTGATTAAACCTATTTGTAAGACACCCTTACAAAATATATTATAGTAAAAATTATTTTATTGTTGATAGCAGTCAAACAAATTTGAGATCATTGATAATTTATTGACTTTCTTAAAATCTTCGATAGGTGATCGAATGTTAAAATAAAAGGATGTAATCAAATGCTTAGTTCAGAAAATTTATTGACAGCAGTTGTTACTTATATAAGAAACAATCAGTAGTAAAAACTCTTTCGTATTCTCTTCATACTTAAAAGCCCTTGTCTTCAACAATTACGTAGGCTACTGACATAATCTTGAACTCCATGCAATATTAATATTGTTGCTTTTATTACAGGAAAACCCGTCACCGGCTATGTAGTGGAAAAACTGAACAAGGCGACCGGACGCTGGGTGCCTGTGGGCAGAACTGATGACACCGAAATGGAGATCAAGGGCTTGCAAGAGGGCGAAGAGTACGAGTTCAGGGTGAAGGCTGTCAATGACGAGGGCGAGTCGGAACCGCTGAAAACCGACCACTCGATTATTGCCAAGAATCCATACGGTGAGTTAACAGTGTTCTTTTTTCTTTGAAATAGTTACCCCACACTAGGGTTTTTGTTAGTATTGTGGAGGTAGTTTACATACATACATTTCACAAGGAAAAACATCCAGACTCGGAACAATTATTTGTAAGCCGTACAAATACTTAGTTCCATACGGGTTTCAAACCTGCGCAGCAATTCATGGCTAAGCCATTTTTTTATAAGATAGGGTGACAAACGAACAGTCAACCTGACGGTAAGTGGTTGCTGCGGCCCATAGACATGTACATCTATCCTCGATTACGAATCAAAACGCAGATGCGTTGTCATCCGTGAGAATTTAGGTGGAATGCCTCGTTTCCAGTAAAAAGGTTCTCCGGTTCCCTACACTCACCATACGAAACACAGCAGCATTAAGCTACTATTTTACGCTGGTATTCTTCGCCACGGAGTCGTTGTTGATATTCATGGGAGCCTAAATAAGCCTCGTGATTAATTTTTTTTAAACTTGATGCATTAGGGCAGCGCGGCATACTTTTCCTTGCCTCCGAACCTTCTCAGATATGAGAGTAGGCCTGTACCCTGAACTGAAACATAATGTATTTGCTGTATCTATTTCTTCACTGAGACAAGTTTCATTTTTATTTTATAATTCTCTTAATGAGTATCTAATGGGCTGTGGGCTTTTAGTTTTCTTTACAAAAATGTAAATAAATGTAAAATTTTGCCGATAGATATACCTGGAAAGCCCTCGGTACCCACAATCGAGGATTGGGACGTCGACCGCGTGGACCTCAAGTGGGAGGCGCCGAAGAACAATGGCGGTGCACCCATCACTGGCTATATCATCGAGAAGAAGGAGAAGTTCGGACAGTGGCATGAGGCGCTTGTTACTACGGTTAGTGAATACCGCAATTTCTTTACGTGCCAGATAAGAACAGTTTCGATGTCAACTTTACTCTCTATTATTTTAATTTTATACTCATTTTAAATAAAATACATCGCAATACGGTCACATATATCTATATCAATTTATATAAAAATAAATATATTATTAGTTTGCATATGGTAACGGCTAAAGAGCATCCGCTTCATTTTTTTAATACGTTACCCCCACACTAGACTTTTCTTCTGTATCGTGGAGGCAATTTACATACATAAATTGCACAAATACAAAGATTCAGACCCGGAACAATTACTTGTAGGCCATACAAATACTTGTTCCGTGCGGGATTCGAACCCGCGGCCCTCAGCGCTATAACTCATTGCTAAGCCACTGCGCCACGCAGCCGTCAAAAAACGTAGCGACGGGGTGTCAAAAATCTGAATACTTCCTATAGTTGTTAGTTTTTTTAGTTTAGTTATTTAACGCCGTTACGATATGCGTAAAATAAAAAGTTCTCGTACGGACAGGATTGTTAAAGGTGCAAAGCGTCTGGACGTTTGTCTCCAAAACTGTGGACTCTAACGGGCTGGTGATGAATAAAAAGGAATGTACTTTTAGTTTTATTTTTGCATCCCCTACATAATGCGCTTGAAGATAGTGTTAATGTTAAACGAAATTTCGGTTCAACAGTCCTGTTTTTATATTGCGTACATATACCATTTTGGTGATTGAAACAAAAGTGACCCTTATTGCACATTGTCCTCAGACGCCAGAGTGCAAAGCGCGAGTACCGGAGTTGCGTGAAGGCAATACGTACCAGTTCCGCGTGCGCGCCGTCAACAAAGCCGGTCCCGGTGAACCCGGAGAGCCGACACAGCCGCACGTCGCTAAGGCTAGATTCTGTAAGTATAGACCTTTTTATGTTTCCTTTCATTTGAATATTCTAAAACATACATTCTAATGGAATCTACCTGTGATATTGTTACCAATTACACACTGCAAAAAAATCTCTGTCCCGGGAAGAACCAGCAAAAAACGCCAGCGGGACAATTTTTTTTCCAAATAATAGCTTTACGTCCATCATGTTTCGACAATTAACGACACAAGATAAAGTTAGTCTTAAATAACTGGGTGCGACACCCTTCCCAGGGGTTATTATCAGCAATAAATTCCTTAATATTATAATAACCCTTTTTAAATAAAAAATTAAGCACACTTAATTATCGTTTATAGTGAAACCATACATCAATCGTGACAAGATGGTGGCGATACGCGTTCGCGCGGGAACCACGATCAAGTTGGACGTTGACATCAAGGGTGAACCTCCACCAACCAAAACTTGGACTTTCGCCAAGAAGGTAAGTTAATTAAAACAATTTTCATATAGCGGTGTTATTATATAATATACATTATATGTATATAATTTTTACGTGGTAGAGCCATGCTACATCTATATAATGGTTGTAGCACGAATGAGTCGGCTCGTCCGGGGAAAGACCACGCTCTCACAGAAATCTCTCACAGAACCAGCGTAAAATAGCAGCTTAATGCTGTGTTTCGCATGGTGAGTGTAGAGATCCGGGGACGTCTTTTTTTCACTGGAAACGACGCATTCCATCTTAGTCCTCAGGGGTGAAAACACACGCATCTGCGTTTTGATCCTTAATCGAGGATAAATGTCGATGTTTATGCGCCACAGCATCCACTTACCATCACTTATATCAGGTGGACTGTGTGCTCGTTGTTACCATTATTCTATAAAAAATACATAGATTAATTTAGAAATACGTATTTACTTGTATATGTACATTAATTTCCACCGCTACAGAGGGAATTTAAAACATGATGTTAGCACCGAAATATTAGCATTTAGGTGTGCAGTCTACATAAAAACTTGTCCCGTGCGGGATTCGAACCTGCGGCCTCCAGAGCTGTAACTCATTGCTAATCCAGTGCGCCTCGAACCTGTCGACTAGATGTCGACAGCTTCGTGGCGCATTTACCATATATCAATAATGAAGTGCAGACGTGCTGTTATCCTTGAGGACTAAAATGGAGTGCCCAAAAGTAGACGTAGTCACAAACCACGTTTTGTAATGTAACCCGATGTAGGCAGCAATATCTTTCAGATAATAATTGAAAATAATAAAAATCTAAATCGCGGTTATCAGGCGTGACACCTACGGCAATATCCCTCCGGCAGTCTATGGGGGAAGCCTAAGTTTAGCACCGGAACTTTTATTAAGCTCTAATGAACGGATGAATGAATATACATTGATCTTCATTCTGTTCTACGGGCATTTCTTTTGATAAATCGCATCATCCCTTGAATGTCGTAAAAAGCGAAAAAGGTAAAACTCAAACAGTAAATGGCCGCCAGCATTTTCCTGATGACATCTCAATAATAATAAAAAAAAACTGCAGTTGCCAACCCGCTTGCCAAGCGTAGCAACTATGAGGCAATCTATGGAAAATTAATATTTATTGCAATGTTCTTTACCACGTATAATTAAAACATTTAAACCTTCAGATATAAAAATAGTTGCTACGTTTCTTTACGTTCAAGGTCATCGAGACCGGAGTTGGCGTTAAGTTAGAGAACGAAGACTACAACACGAAGTTGCAGATCTTCGAGTCATCCTGGAAGAACTCCGGCATCTACACACTGAAGGCGGAGAACGACTCCGGTGTGGACGAAGCCACTGTGGAAGTTACCGTACTCGGTAAGTTTATTTTTGTTACTGTTAACACAATCGAATACGGGCAACCCCTTGAAACCTTACGACACAATACATGAAAAAACCATCCCAAAAATTGATCGTAATACCATAAATACCAGACATAAAATATCTAGACTTTTATGTCTGGTATTTATGGTATTACTTTCGTTGACTTAGGCTTTGCTAAGCGCTCACTCAGCACGACTTCGAAGTCAGCTTTATAAATACCAACATTGTCTTAGTTCGAAAGTAAAGTTTGAGAATAATCAAATTACGGTCTATAGACCTCAGCGTTAGAGTAGCGATTACGGAAAATCCTAAAGCGGGAGAGTCATAATTTAAGCCATTACCTTGTTCTCAATAGATTATCTTATTTTTATAGAATAAGGGTGACAAACGAGCACACACCTGATGGTAAATGGATGCTGTGGCACATAGATATCTACATTTATCCTCAATTAAGAACCAAAACGCAGCTGCGTTGTCACCCGTGAGGACTTAGATGGAATGCCTCGTTTCCGGTAAAAAAGGGTCTCTGGATCTCTACACTCACCATACGAAACACAGTAGCGTTATGCTGCTATTTTAAGCTTGTATTCTGTGAGAACGTGGCTCTACAAATTTTAATAGATGACCGGAGGAAATATCAGTCAAACACCTTAATCCCCTCGTGATCGTGGGTAGACAGGAATAAAATTAAGTCAAATTGAACGCGATATAATCTGTATATTTTTATACAATATGCAGTATTCCCGTTCAAAAGATGTTGTTAAACTTTTCTTTAGTTGATAGAGACCCTCGTTTGACGTTAAAATTCTGCAGTCTGGTTAAAAAGATGTCTAGAATTCGACTTCATGCAAACAGACGACAATTTTGTTTAATATTCAAATCAAATAATTTACACACAAAAAAAAATATTACGAAAGAATGTCGCACTAGTGTACTAGCGTACTAATAGCTTTAAACCATAATGATGCTTGGAATTATAGTTGTTTGCTAGAATTCAATGTTAAGATGTGATATGGAAGTAATAAAGTCGAATTTTCTGTATACAACGTTGAGTGGCGCTAAGTGAAGATTCATAATAGTTGTTTTTTCAGCTTTAATGTATATTAATGTGTTCTTACAGACAAGCCCGGAAAGCCGGAAGGTCCGCTGGAAGTATCCGACGTCCATGCAGAACACGTGAAGCTAAGCTGGAACAAGCCCAAACACACTGGTGGCCTGCCGCTCAGTGCGTACGTTGTTGAGAAAATGGACACTCTCACTGGAAAATGGCAGCCTGCTGGCACCGTCGAACCTGACACTACTGAAGCGACTGTGACAGGTATACACTTAGGGCTAATGATTGTTTTTCAGTTTATCTATTTTCCGCCGGCCATTATATTTCACCACGACCAGAGCCAAAAGGTATTAGTCCGCCCTTAAAGCCCTTAAGCCCTCTATAACTTTGTAATTCTTTTAATCAGGGTGATAATAAAGAATAAATAAAAAACAGAATATAGTATATCTGCAAGGAAATTATAGTGAATACTTTGGTTGCTCAACGCAAAAAATCAAATATAAATAAAATGATATATTAAGTGATGCTTTTTTTAAATAAAAATCAAATTTTACATTTAAAAATTATTTTCAGTTTGGTTGTGTGATAACCTTAAGAAGTTTTGGAAAAATTGATACTGAAAGTAAAAAAAAAAACGCTCGGTGATATGAATTAATCTATAAATAAATACCATATCATATAGTTATTAATATTATGTATTATTTAATTAAAATTATGCATTTTTGTGTTCAGGCTTGGAACCAGGTCACACGTACCAATTCCGAGTGAAAGCCCTCAATGAGGAGGGCGAATCGGAACCCTTGGAAACAGATCACGGCATTTTGGCCAAGAACCCCTACGACGTTCCCGCACCGCCCGGTCTCCCTGATATCGTGGACTGGGATGAAAAGTCTGCAAAGCTCAAGTGGGAGCCGCCTATCAGGGACAATGGTGCTCCTATTACGGGATACATTATCGAAGTCATGGATAGAGACAGAGGCGAGTTTGTTAAGGTATGTATTTTTGTTTTTTTTTTTATAGAATACGGTCACAAACGAGCACACAGTCCACCTGATGGCAAGTGGTTGCTGTGGCCCATAGACATCTACATGTATCCTCGATTACGAATAAAAATGCGTATGCGTTGTCATCCATGAGGATCAAGATGGAATGCCTCGTTTCCAGTAAAAAGGGTCGCCGGAACTCTACACTCACCATACGAAAGACAGCAGTATTAAGCTACTACTTTATGCTGGTATTCTGTGAGAGCGTGGTCCTTCCCCGGTCGGGCCGACCTATTCGTGCTACATCTATACTACAAATATAACTGCACCATGGCTCTACCACGTATAATCACAATTTCATCATCATTAGCATCCTTACAGCTCTTCACATGCCCACTGCTGAACATAGGACTCTCCCATGGAATGCCACAAAGCACGGTCCTGAGCCAGCTGTTGTGCTATGTCTGTGACCTTGTTTATCCGCCGGATTTTTTTATTATGAATGTTACCCGCCAAAAAAGGCTTAGTGTACAGCGCCGAAGAACTGCCTGAGTTGATGATGTTAATAATATATATATATATATACTATATGGCATATATATACATATATGCCTTGTTATGGCAGCATAAGAGAATTCATCTCCCAATTATGTAGTATGACTATCATAAGAGCTTTCGTTAGATGGTATAACCATATTGCTAACGCCAGGCGTAAAATGTACAGTATTACAATGGTCAATTTCTTTTTTACGCAAATATATGTGCTGTATTATGAAAAAGGGATGTTCAATCATTGTGATTTAAATTCAGGCGGCGGAGATCCAAGGCAACATCTGTCAAGGCACTGTACCGAAGCTGGAAGAGGGCAACCAGTACCAGTTCCGAGTACGCGCCGTCAACAAAGCTGGCCAATCGGAACCTTCTGAAAACACCCACTGGCACACTGCTAAGCCTCGCTTCTGTAAGTTGGGAACATTGTTTACCTTATCTTGTATTTAATTAATAAATTAATAATTGTTCTTGGCGTTGATGTTTATCCATGTGTATTTAATGTATGTAAAATGCTTCAATGATACATAAGAATATCCATCACCCCATATCATCCCATGGGTGTCGTAAAAGATGATAGAGGGAAACTGATTAGAAGATGGGCAGTAGCGTCTTCCTAATAACGACTAAAAATAAAAAAAACTGCAGTTGCCAACTCAATTGTCGAGCGTGGCAACTATGGCAAATATCCCTCCTATGAAGTAACCTATAGGGGAGGCCTATGAGCAGTAGGTGACTTTAATAGGCTGTAACGGTAACGGTGTGTGTGTGTGGAGGGGGGGGGGGAAGGTATTTAAAATAGGAATTATTACTTACGTAGGACCCAAGTGTAATACTGTGATTTCACTGTGATTTTTTACAAGATTTATTACTAACTCGACCACAGCGCCACCTATCGGGTCCTAGTATAGCTATGAACCATCGTTTCGGTCATAAGAGATACCCATCTATTAATTCGTAGTGTCAAATATAAATTTCTTTTACTTTCTATATTATGTGAAAGTCATATGTGACGTCAGTTAAGGGGAAATATAACTTAAACACTTCGACAAGTACAGTAGCGAGTTTAGTTACAAGGCAGTTGACAGTGAACGGTTAAGTGGGCAGTAACGTTCAAATAATGTCTTCGTGGCGAGTTTAGTTAAGGACATTAGTTCATAGAGTTTGTTAGAGTATGACGTTTCAAGACTACAGAATTTTTATGGTTTTCGTTTAAGATGGTTCTAGGATTACGTCAAGACTTAAATGATCCAGTCAGAGAAGTATTAATGGTTGTTGTTAAAGAAGTTTTTAATAATTTTCATGAGTGCAGCATCTCGAGCCGGTTTAATTTTACAATTTGAACTTCTACTATTATATAAACATTCGTATTCTAGATACTCCTGTACAAATTTATACGTGATATCTTCCGTTCATTTTAATTAAAACTCAATATAAAACGTATAAATATTCATTAAACAGTATCGTACAAACTTTGTGGTGAGTTTCATTATAAAAGTACAATTGTACGTTTTGGCGCGCAAACGTTGCGTCCTGTCAACTGAACTAAACACGCTCGTTTACACGAACGGCGAGTTTAGTTGCGGGTGGCGGGAGACGCGCGAGAGGGCAGCACTTCGCACTTAACTCGCCGAAAAATAGCTCGGCCGGCTATCCCGTTCAACTTAATCGTTAACTTGCTACTTAACTCGCTTATTGCCGTTCAAACGAGGTTCAACTTAACTCGCCAGGTTCGCAAGTTAACTCGCTACTGTACTTGTCGAAGTGTATATCGGTCTTTATGTCGAAAATATTGCAGCATTAATTTTGAAACAAATATATGGTAAAGTTGAGTATTAATGTTGTGTACTACGTTAGACGAAAACACGATTCCGTAAAATTTTCTCGATAGAAAAAAATCCAAAGTTACCTCAACTGAACATTAAACCGTTGTTATTCATAAAAAACTTTAAATAAGATCATGAAACTTTGCATACTAACTGAACTAAGTATAAAGCAGGGCTTATGTTATTAACTTTTTTTTAAATACTATTATTTTCACTGTAAAAAGAAATTACTTAAACTATCGGCGTCTTGAAGCTTGTTTCCTGCCGCCCAGTTAGTATCCCTTCGGCTTTTGAAGGGGGAAGTTGTGTCGCTTACGATCAGAATACACATTACGCAACAGGACGACGTAAAATTAAAATGGGAAATAACCTTGTGTAAATACATGAGTAATAAAAATAAGAAGCGACTGGGTTGGCGTTAAGAAACAGGCATAAATATGATAAACCTAATGAAATAAGTATCTAACGACCTATTTACTTACAGTATTAGTGATTACAAACGTGTCGGTACATACGACGTGCGGGGAAGTGGGGGCGAAATTAGAATTTGAGCTGAGTTACTATATCCCCTTAAGTCGTTCAGAATTTACGCGATCACTAACAGTCGCACCAACGATTGATTTATTTTTTTAACTTTTCACAGTGAAACCGCGCATCGACCGCACAAACCTGAACCCCATTACGGTGAAGGCCGGTCTTCCGGTATCTTTGGACGTAAAGGTCTTCGGCGAGCCGCCAGCCACGGTCACGTGGCACTTTAAAGGCGAAGAGCTGAAAAACGGACCCAACTTGGATATTATCAACGTGGACTATAATACAAAGTTCCTTATGACGAAGAGCAAGAGGGCTAACAGTGGAAAGTATGTGATCAAGGCCAAGAATGAGGTTGGAGAGGACGAGGCGGAAGTCGAGATTACTATTCTTGGTAAGTAGTTTTCATTTTCCATTTCAAGAACAGCATGTGTCGGGATTAAGATAACTTACTTTTTTATCTTAATTAAGAGTTGTTTTTCAGAGAGTCCAAAACACACGACTCGTTAACTAGTTTGTTGGCAGCGTATTATAAGCAATCTCTTATCTTGTGAAAGTCATTTTAAAATAGAGAAAATAAGTTTGGGGCTATATATAAACAATATTGATTTATAGACGTTACTTTAATATAAAAGTTCCTATGCTCCTCACTTTACCGCCATTTTTTTATTTCCTTTTTCTTCTACATCTTAATATTCTTTTTACCCCATTTAGTCCTGTGGGTGTCGTAAGAGGAGATATAGGAAATGCCAGATAGTTGTCGTGGCTTCCGATAGATGGCGGTAAATCAATCTTGTTTACGTCAGTCGTAAATCAATTAAACTAGCGACCATGAAGGTTAGAGAACAGGAGAACGATCACTACGTACTAAAGCATAGTCCGCCTGTCCTTGTGTAAATTATGGAATACATAGCGGCTCTGACGTCGGTGAGTAGTGACTGCGAAGTTACCTGTTTATGAGTACAACAAGTAGGTGAAGTTAGTTGAATAATGTACGAATTTTAATGAGAAAATTTTCATTCGTTTTCTCCGTAATTTTGTAATTTTTGACAAAAAGAAACATTAAAAAATGGAGAAATATTTTATTGTGCGTGGATGTGCAAGTGGTTGAGCATCTGATCGGAAAAATAGACTGAAAATGACTTTTATCGACCGAACTTAGCGATCGCAGCGCCTCATTTATGGTGTCCATATTTCTGGGACACTATTTTCTACGGCGATCGTTCTCCTGTTCTCTAACCTTCATGTTATGGAATAACATACAATAGAAGCAAGGAGTACAGACTGTGTATTAAAAAATACGTGTGGCACTCGGTGACTGCCGCGGTAAAGCTATTGCATAGCATTTTTTATCAACTTATGCAATTATAATTATTTATTTATTTTATTTATGCAGTTAAGTCTTCGATATTAAACAAGTTACACTTTTTGAGCGTGGTGACCGATAAGAAAACAATTTTTTTTCTCTTATTGAATAAATGAGAAGTTAATATTGTTTAAAATATTTTTAATATCTTACAGTACATGTAGGTTATTCAGGAATTTTTATCATTGAGTTAGCAGCTAGTGTACACGCATACGTCTAGTCGCACGCACACAAACACCGTGCCGAAGTCTGCCGAGTGCCGAAGTCTGCCGAACTAAAACGACGTTAGACGATGCACGGCTTTCAACGCCACACCTCCGTGCCCGTCGGAGTGGGGAGCGTGAGGTTTGTTTTCGTTACGGAATTTCTGGATTCGGTCCCCGCGCTCAAGGCCCGCGATAGAAGCTATGCAATAGCTTAAAAGTGTCCATAGAAAACCGTTAAATAAGGGTGGCGCCACTATAACTACGGGATAAATTTTAAAGAACGCACCGAAAAATATTGGTGGGATAGACGACATTTTCGAGGTTATATTTACTAAATAAAATTATTTTAGAGCTACTGAGCAGTTTAGCAGCACACTTAAACCGTCGACAACTAAGTTATTTTCATCCCAGTAGCTACTCCAGCGCTGTTGTGGAGAGTTTTTGAGTTGTTATTTACTGCTTACAGATGGCCACTTTTCAACTATTCTACTATGGGAGTTGGTGCTCCTTACTTCTACACTCCATACTAGTGACGAAAAGAATCTAAATTCTTTTCAAATAAGATCGATTTTTAAATCGCTTCGTATTGAAATCTGATGGATCGATTCACAAAAAAATTGACGTCTAAAGATCGATTTCTCGATTCTTCGATCGATTTTTATTTTATTGTTATCTAATATTTTTATATCTTTAATCCATGAAGAATAGATGAAAGTAACAACACACAGCAGTTTTGCAAGTTTTTAAATAGAAAAACTGTCATTCTTTACGAGTTTGGGTACATTCAACTAATTGTAAATCATTTTATAGTTCTTATAAAAACAAAAAAGATTCGATCACGATTTTCTAGGGTGAAATATCTATTCACTATATCTTTAGTACAAGAAATCCATTCTTCGATTAGTCGATCCCAGATCGACATGCCTATCTAACGTGCGAGACTTTGGGTACTATGACCGCTAATCTACCTACCAACCATGTTGCGGTTAAGGCGTATCTTTCCTACAACGAAAGAGTTCCATATCCTGCAGTGGATTTTAACAGGCTGATAAGGAAGAAGAAAAAAATAAAGAAATTCTAAAACATGTTTTATTATTTCAGGCAAGCCTTCTAAGCCCAAAGGTCCTTTGGAAGTTTCTGATGTGACCAAGAACGGCTGCACCCTCACTTGGGATAAACCAGAAGACGACGGTGGGGCTCCCATCGAGTACTATGAAATTGAAAAGTTGGATCCACTTACTGGTATGTAGAGCATTATAAACTTCTTTGAATTTTTAAAATAAATATTGGAATTAAGTTATTCTGTTCATAATAAACAATTTATTTCGTTTTTATTTTCAATAATTAATCTGTTTCTCATAATTATTTTACGGTTTACAAATTAGTTAGATGGTATGATTTGGAGATGGTACCACTGAAAAGCTGTGATTCGCGTGATTGCAATTTGTGCTTTTTTACCAAAGCGTGTTTTAAAATTTTCACATAATGCGTAATATATTTTCAAATACACGGAAACTGCGTGGATCTTCCGATTTAAAATGACTCGATCGCCAGAATTAATATTTCAATTATTTAGAATTAGATTTATTTGGTTTTGTCTCGTCACACAGGTGCATGGCTACCTTGCGGCACCGCTAAGGACTGCAAGGCGAACGTGACCGGTCTGCAAGAGGGCAAGCCCTACAAGTTCCGCGTCAAGGCCGTCAACAAGGAAGGCGAGTCTGAGGAACTGGAGACCGAGAAGCCGATTATCGCTAAGAATCCATTCGGTAAGTTGTGTATTAAAAGAGTAATGAATGGGAGGACCACGCTCTCACAGAATAGCAGCTTGATGGTGCTGTGTTTCGTATGGAAATTGAAAAGGACCAGAGACCCTTTTTACAGGATGTGAGGCATCTTAGACTTGAGTGTGACAACAGATTTTGTTTATATGAGTGGAGGCAAACGAGCATGCGGTTCACCTGATAGTGTCTACCGCCGTACATGAACAACTGCTACACCAGGGGGTAGCAGATGCGTTGCTGGCCTTTTAAAAAAAGAGTAGGTTCTGTCTGCATTTTAATTCTTAATTGATGACAGATGTAGAAGATATCTATGGGCCACAAGTATATCAAAAAATATTATTTGTTGTGTTTTCTTTGAAGCTGATATTATTATATTTATTTTTTTGAGATGTGTTTTCATTTATCACTGATTCGACGTTTACAGATGAGCCTGGTAAGCCCGGACGTCCAGAGCCGCGCAACTGGGACAAGGACTTCGTGGAGCTGGAGTGGTCGGCGCCTAAGGATGACGGCGGTGCGCCCATTACCGGCTACATTGTGCAGAAGCGCGAGAAGGGCGGAAGGTACTACATTTTAATCATCACCATCAATCGTTAAGCTCATCATCTCAAGCCCGGGCGTGTTATCTGAATCTCATCGGGAGCATCTCATCATGGTGATTCAATCTAGTGATTGTCAATTGTCATCCTACACGACTTCTTTCTTCCCTATTAATTGTCGATTTTTCAAGTTGTATGACCAGCTCATTGCCACTTCAGCTTACTTTATTATGTTTTTTATATAGGATAGGATGACAAACGAGCACACAGTCCACCTGATGGTAAGTGGGTGCTGTGGCCCATATATGTCTACATCTATCCTCGATTACGAATCAAAATGCAGATGCGATGTCATCCGTGAGGACTTAGGTGGAATACCACGTTTCCAGTAAAAAGGGTCTCTGGTTCTCTACACTCACCATACGAAACACAGCAGCATTAAAGCTACTATTTTACGCTGGTATTCTGTGAGAGCGTGGTCCTTCCCCGGTTGAGCCGACATAGTCGTGCTACAACTATACTACTAATATAACTGCAGCATGGCTCTACTACGTAAAATGTGATAGCATACGCAACAAACGTCTTTGTAGCGACTGTTATTATATATTACGTTTCTCAAATTTTATCACATAAGTGTAACACGTGTAAGTTACGACAGTTGTAACCCTGTGTTTGTTGTGGTACTATATTATCACCTACGCAATTGATAGATTCTGAATCAGAAATCAGATAATGAAGGATAAAAAACTGCTTCTGTCACTAGATCATGGCAAGACTGCCTACGGACAAGTGGCGACCGGCCAACGGGTCGCGTGACCGACGTGGAGGAGGGTCACGAGTATGAGTTCCGCGTCATCGCGGTCAACAAGGCGGGCCCCGGGGAACCTTCCGAGCCCAGCCGCTCTGTTGTTGCCAAGCCTAGATTCCGTGAGTACACTTTCATATTTATTATGAAAAGGAAACAGAATTCAAAGGGTTGTTTTTTAAATTTTCATAATATATATATATATATATATATATATATATATATATATATATATATATATATATATATATATATAAATAATGTTGGTAATGAAGTCGATCATATACAGTCAAACCTGGATAAGCGAGAGTTCAAGAGAGCACAATCTCTATCTCCCTTATAGAGGTTTCTCACTAACCCGAGTTTCTCGCTAATGCAGGTACATGGGTAGCGTTTCTCTCTTATAAAGGTACGCAGCAGTAAAAACGTTAATTAGTTCCACGAAACAGAATAGGTACAATATTGACAAAACAATAACAATGGTAGGAAGTTCCACGAAAGTTAAGAATGAGGCATAAAATAGCAGATGTTAAATTTGTAATTTGTTTTGTCATTTGTTACTGCATGTGTGTGTATCTTTTATGTATATGTATGTATTTTTATTGTAGCTATAGTTCCTCCTAAATAATATAAATAAATAAAGCTCGACTGTCGCTTATAGAGGTATAGATAAGTAGCAGTCTCACTTACGGAGGTCCATGAAGGAAAAACGACTCTCTCTTACAGAGGTTTCTGTTTCTCGCTAATAGAGCCTGTGGGAGCTTAAAATGACGGGTCATTGCTAATACTCTCACTTATAGAGTTTTCTCACTTATCCAGTTCTCACTTACCCAGGTTTGACTGTATATGTCAAATGCGACTTGCCTTTATTTTAATGTTAAAACAAATTTTGTTTGCGATATAAATCAAAATGTATTATTTTAACCCTATATTACCTTTAAATAATTTGAATCCTATTCTATTTAAACAATTCATAAATTAAGATATCTTTAACAACCTAAGTTCTTGCACTAAATTATTTTTTTTCAAACAGTTGCGCCACATATCGATCGCAAAAACCTTCAAAAGAGAAAGATTAAGGTTGGTCAGACCCTCAAGATGGAAGCAGACATCAAGGGCGAACCTGAACCTACAATCACATGGACATTTAACGACCAAACGCTCAAGACCCAAGAGAGGTTGAAGATTGAGAGCAAGGACTACCACACTTCGTTTGCTCTGACGAAAGTAACCAGAGCAGATGCTGGGAAGTACGTGGTAACTGCTAAGAACGACTCGGGAACTGATACTGTAGAAATCGAAGTTCAAGTTGTCAGTAAACCCGCTAAACCGAAGGGACCATTGAAGGTACATATCATTCTTGGTTAAAATTCTGAACTCATTGCTTACTGCTTGATATGAATAGAGTGATATGATAGGAGTAGGGAAATATGGCATAATTTCGATGGGAAATTTGCCAAAAATGCCATTTTTATCAAAAATGTGCTCATTATACTATGTGCTCGGCGGACTAGAAAATCTGCATGTCTGGGAAATTTAGGAAAAATATAAACAAATTCAGAAAAAACATTTCGAGATACTTTCTTGCCGTTTGATATATATAGACTCCTGCTTTACTTATTGTATATGAGCATTCAATGTTATTATATTCTCTTTAAAATTTATTTAAAAAAAAATGAAAACCTATTTAAAGCGTAAACAATTTCTATCAATTCAAACATGCACTGCTAAAATTCACTCATTACATCTCTCTAGGTCTCGGACGTTAAAGCAGACGGCTGTAAGCTTAAATGGGAGCCACCAGAAGACGACGGTGGCGAACCGGTCGAAAGTTACGTTGTTGAACGTATGGACACTGATTCTGGAAGATGGGTCCCAGTTTGTACCACAAAGACCCCTGAGGCTGATGTGACTGGGCTAAATGAGGGCAAGGACTACATGTTCAGGGTCAAGGCTGTTAACCCAGAGGGAGAGAGTGAGCCGCTCGTGACTGAAACTGCGACTACCGCTAAGAATCCGTATGGTGAGTGAACAGATTGAAACTGAATAAATGACATTCTTATATTTAGTATTAAAGCGATATAAGGACTAAAATCTTTATAAATTATGATGATTTTTATACTTAAAATCAAGAGAGTTTAGTTTCAAGTTAGAAGATCTGGTTAGCTTACCACTGTGTCGTTTTACACCTACGAGTATGAAATATGTAGTATTACTAATTTTTTTGAATTGAGTCAAAGTAGATTATTATCATTCGGTATCAATTTAATATTATTTTATCATCGTCACTAGGCGAACCCGATGCCCCAGGCAAGCCCGAATTCAAGGATTGGGACAAAGAGCATGTGGACCTTAAATGGGAGAAGCCCACCAACGACGGTGGCGCCCCCATCACCGCGTACATCGTCGAGAAGAAGGACCGCGACACCGGCAAATGGGTGAAGGCTGTCGAGGTTAGTTACATACTGTGGCAGTCTTTAATGAGATACTATGAAGTATAGTGATTACAAAAGAGGTTAATAAGCTTATTAGAGCTTAGGGAAAGTGGTCCTTGTGACCGGAGTAATTTTCCATGGACACTCTTTTACATAATATTTGCACGTAATAATAATAATCTATTTCTTTACGTGATAGAGCCATGCTGCAGCTATATTCATTGTATAGTTGTAGCCATTAGTGCTACAAGTATAGTTGTTGCGCTAATGGGTCGGCTCGACCGGGAAAGGACCACGCTCTCACAGAATACCGGCGTAAAATAGCAGCTGCCGTGTTTCGTATGGTGAGTGTAGAGAACCGGAGACCCTTTTTACAGGAAACGAGGCATTCCATCTTAGTCCGTAAGGCTGACAACGCATCTGCATTTTGATTAGCAAACGAGGATAGATGTAGATGTCTATGGGCCATAGCAACCACTTACCATCAGGTGTACTGTGTACTCGCTTGTCACCCTTTTCCAATAAAAAAATTTGGTTATGCTATTCTCACTAATCTGCAATCAGATCTGGTTTACGCTGTCACGGGTTATTGTCACAAAATAGCAATTAATATCAGTGTCGATTGTTTTATAATATAAAAGAGACAATAAAGTATAAAATAGGTAGGAGGGTAGATCATCCTTCTACATATTTCTGTTGCCAAATAGCAGTATGTTTTTCGGTTAAGTTCTGAAGGGTGTATAAAGCCAGTACAATAACAGGCTGTGAGGAATTCCATCTACGTCGTCAGAGGTGACAATGCACCTGTAGCCTTCTTTGTCCATTGACGCCCACGGGATGATTTTAGAGTTGGAGTGATGGATCCTTTATACTACGGTATTAAAAAATATTTTATAACATTAAATTTTCCAGGTCCCTGGTAATAAGACTGAAGCCCGTGTTCCGGATTTGATTGAGGGCAAAACGTATCAATTCCGTGTGAAGGCTGTCAACAAAGCTGGTCCGGGCAAACCTTCCCAGGCCACAGACAACCTTCTAGCTAAGGATAGGTTTGGTAAGTTTCTACACAGATAGAAACAATTTAAAGGAATTGTATGTGATTTTACAACCGACTTCAAAAAAGGGGGACATTCTCAATTCGGCTGTATATTCCTCAGAACTTTTTTGATGAACTGATTTTGATGATTCTTTGAAGATGTGATCCTGGGTTCGAATTCAGGACAGGTTAAAAACAGTAATTGGGTTTCTTTTGTTAAGAAATTCTCAGTAACAGCCTGGAGTCAGGCAGTTAGCGGTGTTTCACCCCCGTGCCTGGAAAAGCACGTAAAGAAGTTGGTCTTGTACCTAATCTATTTCTTTCTCCCTCTCTCTTTCTATTTCTCTCTCTCTCTTTCTCTTTATATCTTTCTCTCTCTCTTTCTTCCTTTATAGTCTTAATTTGAAGTTCTTGTTGATTGAAATTAAATTTGTATTTCGGTCTGGAGGGCATTATTACATCTTAATTTTAATGTATAATTTTAATATTTTGTTTTTATGATAAATATATAATGTATTAAGCACTAAATTTAGCAACAATAGTGCGAGAATATCTGATGGCTTGATGATTATGAGATATGATTATGAGTGAGAAAGAGTTGACTTGAAAGATATTTCACATTGCTTTGCACCTAATGAATGATGCATTGAACGTAATGAATAATTATTATCTCCAGCACCACCTAAGATCGACCGTACGAACATGCGCGACATCACCATCAAGGCAGGACAGATGATCAGGCTGGACGTTAAGGTCAGCGGTGAGCCTGCACCAACTAAGACCTGGTCAGTATCGTTTTTAATGCCGTATTTTGTAAAACATAACTACTTAGAATCCATATATGGTAGCTTTTATCCCTATATTTTTCAAAATTGAAATCATGGGTGACTAAGCAAGCACACAGTCCACCGTATAGAACATATGGTAAGTGATAATATCTATTGGGAATGCAAATTCAGACGCGGTGTCACCATTTTGAAGTTGAAGATTGCATAAGTCATTTATATAGATTAGGAACAATTAGGCTGAACGTTCGTATTGTATACTAAATTTTTAACATTGAAATCCATTAAAAATTTGTAGTTGTCCTGGGGACTAAGATACCTCGTCATAAGTAAAATGGGTATTCGGTTATTGTATACGTGGTAGAGCCATGCTACAGCTATATTATGGTTATAGCACGAATGGTTCGGCTCGACCGGGGACTGATCACGCTCTAATAGAATACCGTCGTAAAAAAGCAGTTTAATACTGCGCTGTGTTTCGTATGGTGAGTGTAGAGATCCTAAGACTCTTTTTTACTGGAAACGAAGCATTCTGTTTTAGAGCTCAGTGGTGACAACGCATCTGCGTTTAGATTCTTAATCGAGGATAAATGTAGATGTCTATGAGCCACAACATCCATTTTCCATCAGGTGGGCGGCGTGCTCGTTTGTCACCTTTATTCTATTAAAAAAAATCTTTACTCATTGGGTGCGTTCGGCAGAAAAAAGCGCTAGCAAGCGCTTGTAAGCAAAATGGCGATCGTAAGCGGTAAGCGCTGTCAAATCGTAAGTAGCTATTTTCCTCCAGGACACGATGTTAGTTTTAACCGGGGAATCTAACCTAATTTAAATATATGTTTGTAAAGTATTTATATTAAAAACTTACCAATCATGAGTTTTTAATAGCATGTATATGTTTATTCATGTCATTATATTACTTAAAACTAATATTGCACAAAACAACTTATAAACTCTACTTCAAAACAAACAAATTAAATAAGCAAAATGGCAGATTGTGTCAGCGCTACTGAAGTAGCAATCGTGTCCTGGCCGAAAACTATTTTAGCGCTTATAAGCGCTTGCTAGCGCTTTTTTCTGCCAAACGCACCCATTATACCACTATACGAAACACAGCAACATTATGCTGCTAATTACGCTGGTATTCTGTTAGAACGTGGGCCTCCTTCATTCAAGCCGACTTGTTCTTGCTGAAGCCACGATACAGCTGCAAGCTGGCTGTACCAATGAACAAAATGTGCTACAAATTTTGTATTCTTGGATTCGATTGTTTTCTGATTGTACCTGGCATTATATGGCATGTATCCTGCCATATCTTCTAGCTTGTTTAAAACCATCAGATCACTCACGTCACGTGTAAAAGACGGCTATTAAATACTAACTCACGCTAAGTTTATAACATCCAACGATATTCAGAAGTCGCCCTAGTAGAAATTTACACATCACGTATCTTTTAATTTGATTTTAATCTGTTTACTTTTTCACAGGTTCCAAAACAAGGAGCGTCTTTCGACGCGCGACGACCTGTCCATAGACACCGAGGATTACCGCATCAAATTATCAGTGGTCGTTGCGTCCCGCAAGCACAGCGGCACGTACGTTCTCAAAGCGGAGAACAGCAGTGGCAGAGACGAGGCCTCTATCGAGGTCAAGGTGCTCGATGTACCGGCTAAGCCCGAAGGACCACTCAAGGTGCGTTTCCATTTTCAAACTCTTGAACATTGGAACTTATTTTGGGGTTGGGGATAGGAGATAAAGAGCAGGGTCGGCGACTCTAATCTCGCTGCTCGATTGGTTGTTACATTGATGTATATTATGTAATTGGTTTCCCTAATCTCACCAATATTGTTTGATGTCCAAAATCATTATTCAAGAAAGAGTTAACGGTTCTTTGCTGAACAAACCTTTACAGTCTGGATTGTTAATCGCCATCGACAGTTTAGCGATAGTAGTGTTTTAAACACTCCAGGTTGTATTATAATTGCGACTTAGTTGTTTCTAAGAAAGTGAACAGGAATGCATTACTTGAGGACCTCTTATGTTGTTGCAGTAGGTAGTTGGCGTGCATCACGAACATGTCGGTTGCCAAATATACTAAAAAAAATTACAATATGTTTACTTACTAAAGTAATGGCAGGTTTAATTATATTGTATAATTTTTATTATCATTCATGATTTTCATTTGAATAAAACTGAAAATTTATATTTAGATCGGTTTTCTGGATTAGATAGCTGTTTTTGGCTATGAAATGTTTAATATTTTTTTTAGCTTTACTCATTGAACATTTTTAATAAAACATTTAAATATATTCTTTATACTCAATTTTATACGTTGAAAACTTTGCAGATCTCGGACGTACATAAAGAAGGTTGCACACTCAAATGGAACCCTCCACTGGATGACGGTGGCGCTCCCATCGATCACTACTTAGTCGAAAAGTTGGATACGGAAACCGGACGATGGGTTCCGGCTATGAAGACGAAAGATCCAAAGGCCGAAGTTGAGAACTTAGTCCCTGGACACGAGTACAAGTTCAGAGTCTCTGCTGTCAACAACGAAGGTGTTTCTGAGCCGTTAGAAGCTGAGCATTCTATCATCGCTAAGAATCCGTTCGGTGAGATATATTATTATATATTCAAAAGTATCACTCATAAATGCCCATTAAAATCATTTAAATTTTTTCGATATGAAATTAAAATACTGTCTGTGTGCTAATTTGAAACTGTTCATCATCAGATGTCATTTACACCATTATCATCTTAACAGCTTACCCCTGACAAGTTGCCACACTTGGCAGGCGGGTTGGAAACCGCATTTTTTGAAGTAAAACTTCTTTACGCAAGCTTGACTTGAGTAAACTGGCGAACGCGTGACGAAAGCGTTACGAAAAGTGTAATTGGGCGAGGAGAACGAGAGTTAAGTGGGGGATATAAGCAAGAGAGCATTGCGCGCGCACATTTTCTTTCTCTCATAGCCAGTTAAGTTCCGTATATCTAAGCACAATTTCGTTTTGATCAATTCTATCAATACAATTTCTATTCAATACTTTAAATATTCTACGTTTAAAGTGAATAGAGTAAATTCATTTTAAAGTTCATGTTTTGTAAATTTTCGTGTGCATAATAACAAATTATGAAAGGAAACCGATAATATTTTTAAATATTTGTAGAAAATTAATATATATATATATATATATATATATATATATATATATATATATATATATATATATATATATATATATATATATATATATATATATTTTTTTTCACTTTAGTCGTGCGGTCATAAGCACACTCGTTTTTAGTTTCCCTTTGTAGACTCCTATTACACCCGCGGGATCTTACGGGGTAGTGGGTACTCTGGTATCGCCACTGCATTACTACGGTTTACCATATTTAAATAACACAAGATTATGTTTCTTTACTATGTTTCTGAAGTTGCATTTCTGTCCAATTACAATTTAAAGAAAGGCACATGTGTATTATATTGTTTTTGTACATAAAAATGACGTATGGACTTTGTTGTCATTAGACGAGCCTGGAAAACCAGGCACTCCAGAAGTAGTGGACTGGGATAAAGACCACGTGGACCTCAAATGGCAGAAGCCAATCAAAGATGGCGGCGCTCCCATCACTGGCTACATTATCGAGAAGAGGGAGGTTGGGTCGCCGAAATGGGTGAAAGCCTGTGAGGTAAGATTTTGATGTACATATCATATAGGCTTTAGGGTTACTATGGACTTATTATTTCGACAATATTTATTTTAAATTACTTGAAATGCCTTTTTTACTAAAATTAAAAAAGAGGAATGTTAATGACATAAAATTATCTTGGCTACTTGAGGTTTATCGAAGTTTATCACAATTTCAGTGCCACCAGATTGAGCATATATTTTTCATAAACTAGTAAATATTTGTCTATAGACTGTTGCGATATCACGAATATGACAGATGGTATAATATTTTTTTATCTTCGATATTCTAAAAAAAAAGGGATATGTTAAATAAATTATAATTTATTTTCAAAACAAAGATATCATAAATAAGAGTTATTCATATTCAGGTGGGACCCAACGACAATGAAAAAGCAACTGTTCCAAACCTTGACGAGGGTGTGGAGTACGAGTTCAGAGTGAAGGCTGTCAACGAAGCCGGCCCTGGAGAGCCGAGTGATGCCAGCAAGTCCGTTGTATGCAAACCTAGGAGACGTGAGTATTCTCGTGTATTAATTATATTAATGTGTTTTAATTTATACCACGTTACACGGTCTGTTTGGGTCGAATTCAGTAATTGATTTTAAAAAACTTCAGAATTAGCTGGAAATTTTGAATATAGGTCGGAATTTGAATAAGAATATGAAAAGCATAACGTGATACGTATATTATTTTAAATTTCACTTGTTTTAATACTAGTCTTACGAAAACTGTATACACGCAAATAAAATGCCTTTACTTTAGCGAGCTCTTTCTCATATCTCTCGACGAATAACCCGGGCAGTCTATACAGGTGGCTCAGGACCTTACTTCATGGCAATCTATAGGAGAGGCGATATTCAGCAGTGGACTTGTAATAGTGGATAATAGCTGCAGCAGTAGTAGTTAGCGAGCGAGACGTAAGAGGTGGCTATGGAAAAGAAGAGAAGAACCTCATAATTTACGGTAAATTGCAGTATACCATATCGTACACGTCAGAAGTGAATTGCCAGACAGTAATAAAAGCAGCATCGAAGGGGCCTTCTGGTACTGCTTTTGCCAATCTGCCTGCTGCAAAGTTTAACAATTACGAAGAAACCCGTGTCCAACTGTAAACTGTTACGGGCTCATGATAGAGAAATAACATGAACATGACATGACTCACAAAGTCATCATATTTATAAGATTAAGGTATACAGGTTTGAGTTATGTTCGGACAAACAATTTTGTACGTAATACTGCACCAAATCTAAGAAATACCTTTTAACAGCTGTCATATTTATTGGATATTATTTTTTATAATTTTAATAAAATCCATGTATGTGTTATGGAAGAAAAACACATATCTAGTTATGAAATAAAAAAATCGAGTTTTGGTAGCAATAAGATCTTTTCCATCAGTTGACATTTTACCCATGAGACAAGATCTAGTAATGAATACTCTTACGATGCCATCATGCATAGATATTTCTTATTTTTATGTATGTTTCAATATTTTCAGTGGCACCAAAGATTGACCGCCGTAACCTACGGCCTATCAAAGTACGCGAAGGCGAGCCGATCTCACTCGACGTGAAAGTGACGGGCGAGCCCGCGCCGGACGTCACGTGGACGCTCAACGGAAAGTCCGTCATAAGCGGCAATGGACTTAAGCGTACGTATATTTTTTTCCTTTTATGTATTTTTATTATCCACTAAAATTAAATTTAAATAAACTTTACTAAACATTGAATCATTACTTATCAAAGTATGAGCCTCGATTTATCTTGGGATTTAGAGTTGATAATATGATATAACACATTTGTTTACAATAGGGTGAAAAATGTCAAGTCCATCTGATTGTAAGTTGCCATCTGCAGCTAATTCAGACAGGGCTGTGGAGGTTTTTTTGGGCACAGAGGACTAAGATGGTCCGCCACATAGCTTGTACTTGCTCTTTTGCCGCCTCGAGCCGGAACTTAACAGTAGTTATACTGACTGACTCCTTACCGATAAGCCTCATTTACATTCAGCCCCTGCCACTGCTCCTCGCGCTGCCGGCAATACTTCGCTAAATACTGCCGTAGCAGGAGCGCGGGAAGTGTGTATTCACACTCTGCCCTACCTCTCACATCGCTTTCGGCTTTCGACTATGGCAGACGTCGAAATAATTACAGCGTCCGCGCTGTGTCTTCTTGCAATACAAAATTATGTTATATAATTTAAAAAGATATCAAATTCAAAAGAAGATAGATAGATACATAGAAAATTTATTAGCTTAAAAACATGGTACTTAAGATGATCAATGACCTGGAACATGTTTTGCCATAATTGACATGCAAAAATGATACGAAATACAGCTAATTACACAAACCCAATGTTATATTTTAAAATTATTGCATTGCTTAAAAGTTAGGTGCAAACATTCTTTTTGAATTAAAATATTATTTATTAATGAAATACTTATACAGATCCACTCTATTTGAATTCTTATACAATAAATTGTTCATAAATTATTAATTGAATTATTACATTATTGTTACATAAATAATATTAAATATTATATGAGATTAGTTAAGCTATTATTATTTTAATAATTACACTACAGTATAAATTAATTCATAATTTTAATTACAATAAAATTATAATTTAAAAATCTCAGGCTATTATGCAAATATTACCATTTAACTTATTTTACATTTTAATAAATAAATAATCAATATGAGTTACTAATCGTTTTTAGAAATAAAATGTCAATGTTCAGTAATTCCTTAAACTAAATTTTATATTAAAATAATAAATTTGACGAATTTATAATTAATTATGTACATAGGTACAATGTTATCTCAAAAAGAAAGTTCGTATTCGTAGACGATTATGAATTGTGGTTTTTATCGTTGAAATCCCATAGTTTTTTCTGATTCCAGCAGTTCTAAAAACTTTATTGTATTTTCATTATTCCACTCGAAAGGCATTTTCGTAGATCGTACTTATTTAATAACAAGACGGCACGCACGTCTGTTCATCCAGGCGCTTGGCGCGAAGTGAGCGATGGAGCTGAATGTGAACACTCACTGCCGCTCGCGCTGCCCATCCTTTGATTTCCGCACGAAAAACCGACATTTGAGCGATCGTCGGGCAGTGGCAGCGGCAGCGGCAGTATCAGCGCGAGTAGCCTGTTTACATACTGCCCTGCTCACTGCCCTGCTCACTGCCCTGCTCACTGCCCTGCTCACTGCCCTGCTCACTGCCCTGCTCACTTCCCTGCTCACTGCCCTGCTCACTGCCCTGCTCACTGCCCTGCTCACTGCCCTGCTCACTGCCCTGCTCACTGCCCTGCTCACTGCCCTGCTCACTTCCCTGCTCACTGCCCTGCTCACTGCCCTGCTCACTGCCCTGCTCACTTCCCTGCCCAACAGGGCTGAATGTAAATGGGGCAATAGAAAAAGCCAGTTAAAATAATATACTAGTGAAAGTTTTGTTTTTATTTTAGTCTTCTTTTTTTATAATTGGGATCAAGTGGAAAAAGTATTTTGTGGTCTGAACATAAATATTTAAAATTTTGTTTACATAAATATTTTAAATTAAATATGTTTTGACATTGTAAAAGCTTTAAATAAAAACAGCTTTTTAAAAATGACGTTAAAATACTGTGTAGTCTAAATTATAGAAATTACAAAAGTTATCTTGCCGGTGTCGAATAATATAAATAAATCTTATTGTATGTCAGCAAGTAATAGCTAATGCTATACGTCAGTGTAGGGCACATAGTAGTGCCCAAATGACTACGAAAACCAATGCTATATAACGTTACAAAATCCTATTAAAAATTTCTTAAATATTACCTTTATAACGGTATTAAGAATTATCGTTACCTTGTTACCGTAACGATTCAGTTCAGTTGTCAGTTCATGGCAGTTATCAAAATATAACGTTCCTGAGGGAAAAATACATTATTTTTGATTAAAAAAAACACAAACAGGCAGTAATTAATTCTTTAGTGGCAATTTCATAAGTAAATTTAACATGTGCTCCTTGTCGTTATAATTTTAAGTACATCGTTTTGCACACGAAAAATGACAACTTACAACGGCGTTATAATGATAACGATTAACGCTAAATTAATTGATAAAATAGCGTGTAACGGTTTTTGTTTTTACTTAAATAATTAATAATTAACGTTAAATAACATAACATTACCTGTGGTTATAACGCTACCTTTGCTTGGCATTGGTAAAGCTATCGCCATATTGCCGAAATCTCAAGCATCGACGGTAACAGTAACCATGTCAGTATCAAAGACATTGAGACAATTATATAGTATAGTATAGTAGTAGCCTGGTATAATCTAGATATGCAGAATAAAGATTTGCAAAATGTCTACTCGAATAAATTTTAAAAGATCATAATCATGAACACTCACGCCTGTCACCAGAGGGGGTAGGCAGTGACTACGGACATCCTACCTATCTACGCATACGTGCTCGTCGATTAAGGGTATCCCTAATCTTAATTTTAAAACACTATTTGTTTTTCTTTGTTATAGTTGTCAACGTACCATATCTGAGCAAATACCAACATGCAAGTCCGCGTCGCAAGGACGCCGGTACTTACAAGATCCAGGCCGTCAACAAATATGGACAGGACACCGCCGAGTTGGAGATCACTGTCACATGTAAGTACACGTATATACGTAATTGGCTATCAATTTTTTTATAGGATAGGGTGACAAACTATTTCATAGTCCACCTGATGGTAAGTGGTACATCTATCCTCGATTACAAATCGAAATGCAGATGCGTTGTCAACCGTGCGGACTAAGATGGAATCGTTTCCAGTAAAAAGGGTCGCCGGTTCTCTACACTCACCATACGAGACACAGCAGCATTAAGCTACTATTTTACGCTAGTATTGTGTGAGAATCGCTGGCTCGCAATTTAGTCTCGAATATTCTGCATTCATAAAATTACGACCTATATTCCCACTAATGGTCACAAGGCTCATTGGTGCACGATGTTTTCCTTTACCGTAAGTAAATCAGGTCTCCATGTTATTTAAGATTTCAATACGAGTCTAACTCGATTGTCTCGCATAATATCAATATTTTCGCTATCGCAGCTACAGTATTTTCGAAAATATTTAATCTATGACATAATTTTTTTGAGTATTATATATCTATTTCTTCCGTACATCTATTTTATTTTGTTGCATTATAATTATCATCTCGTGTAATTATGCTGGATCTTTTTTATTATCGACTAGACTGCGACCGCAATAACTTGCTAATATAAACAGGGGTTTACAACCCTTTAGTAGTTACCCTAGTAGTTTAATCATTAAAGGATTTCATATAGTCGTTGCAAAGCGTCTTGGAAACTATTTTAAAGGTAATAATGTTAAAATTTATTCTGCAAAATCAGAATATTGTTTAAAAATCAAATACGAAAATAATTCTTAAATATTATTTGTTACATCCGTTTACATTTTTATCAGTTTACTATATACCTCTTGTACAACAAGCAATTTAAGGCCGAATACGACGCGAATGACCTTGCTAGTTTCGCAGCAAACCACGCGTCGCCAGTACCTACGCTTTGTTTATATAGACATGTATAATACCTAGAATCAAAGCCGTACGGGCTTTGATTATATTTGACTGAACTAGCTCAGATGCAGAGTAATGAACAACACAGAGAGCATTGCTTACTTCTTAAATAAATTTTTCTTATTTATAATATTAGTTCCAATAGATTATAAATTCTGTACTTTATTCGTTATAAAATATTGTTCGAAAAGTTATTGAATTGATAACGATTTTTTTTCTTAATTGGTGCATCGTACGTTAAGAACCTCATATAACTGAAAATGTTTGTTCTTGTGAGTCTTACAAGATGCCGTAATGCAAATTGCATAAATAATAAAGAAAAAAAAAACTAAAAAGTCGGTGATTGCCCCCATAGTGGGGATAGGTACTGTGTATGTAAATTCTCACAAGACTACTCCGACTGGTCAATCACTTCACATCCGAAGTATTTCGGTTTTTCTTAATTATGTACTTTTACCCCATGCTTTCGGACAATACATTGACTGACATTATTTGCGGTCTCTGTGCTTGCACTACTCTGTACATTCTTTTCCGACTGGGCCTTGATATTTTACATTTTTAGTGTTTCTCACTTGAAACTAGAAAAGTATAAATGATCAGTTTGACTAATATAAATGAGTAAAAATGCAACCTATTAGGCAGCCTCAAACAAAAAATTACCTTACTAAATATAAGTATTAACCTCATAATACAACATTCGAGCAGCGTTCATGCGATAAACTCTCTTTGTTTTACCACTTAGGTAACATTTATTTCTTTTCCTACCCATATTTACATTTATAGACACTTAAACGCGTATAAAACAATAAATTAACGATTTTCGCTACAGACACCTCGACTGTTGTTACCTTACGTCACACGTCGAAGCGCCTGGTAATTTATTACGGCAAACTTTTATCTGGCAATATAGGATATTATTATTAGGTGTTTTTAATTAAAACGAATTATGTTAATAAATAATATTTTGTATCGAAAATAAAGACAGCAGGCACCTTCGGAATCACAATACAAACATTTTTACGTAAAAGAATTTTTCCTAAATTAAAATTCACAGAGTTTTGGAAGAACAATCAATTTTAAATATCATTTCTTAACATTCTTTTATTTGTTGGTATATTCATTTATTTTAAAATTTTAAAAATGACGGTCACCTTGTGAAGGAACCGAACAAACCTACAAAAATGTTTTAAAGCTTAGAATTACTTCAGGTCAAAGTTCTAGTCAAGAGAAATACATTAATTTTCGCCAGTTCTCTTCGTATTCGGCCTTAATTTATAAAGTTCCTTTTTTATTACATAATACGATATTCATGTCAAAGTAATTAACTCGGTGTTCAACATGAACTATAGTTACTTTTAAAATTTGCAAACATGATAGATAGTATCGTCGTACTTGACAGTCAATAAAATATTAAAACCTTGAATTATATTTATTTATGTTACGACTAAACAAACAAAATATTAAATTTTGCAAGTGTTACATTTTAACTTATTACAGCGAAACCGGACAAGCCCGAAGGTCCATTGGAGGTGTCTGACATCCACAAGGACGGATGCACGCTTAAATGGAAGAGGCCCAAAGACGATGGTGGGGAGCCCATTGAGGCATACCTCGTGGAGAAATACGACACGGAAACTGGCACCTGGATGCCTGTTGGCAAAACGCTCGGCAATGTGCCCGAAATGGAGGTGCGTCTCAATATAATTTTCTTTCTGTCTCTCTCCTTTCTTTCTCTTTTAAGTGTTAGTGAAATAGAAGTACAAAATATACACAAACTAGGTTGCCAGGCAGACGTTGTTCTGCCCTTTTCGACGACCCTTTGTCATGTCCTATTAAAATCATTAAATTCGAAAAAAAAATATGGGTCTCCCATGGGAAAAAAACTACCCTATCTCTCAAGTTCAATCAAACTGCACACGGTGTGCAAATTTGATTAAAATCGGATCAGTTTAGGAGTCCATCACGGACAAACAACGTGACACGTAATTTATAAAAATATATATATATACAAATAGTGATAATACTTGGTTTGTTTATAAAGTCAAGGGACATGAGTTTATTGAAAATTATTAAAAATTTTAAAGTCTTAGCAATCCTGCTTTATTAAATTATTTATTTCAGGTTCTTCACAAGATTATAGTTTAATTTTTATTTTTTAGGTTGATGGATTGATCCCTGGTCACGAGTACAAGTTCCGTGTAAAGGCGATCAACAAGGAGGGTGAATCGGAACCGCTTGAAACCTTTGGCGCCATTGTCGCGAAGGATCCTTTCAGTAAGTTTTTTTAAGGATATAATGTTTAATTACATTCAACACAACATTGTAATGTTTGATTATTGATAAAATGAGTGTTATTTTTGTACGTTTCTGATGTCATGTTTGGTCGGTTTATTACTAAGTAAAGCAATAAGTATGGGCAAACATTGGCTTCGGCTTTAAACTTAGTACACGCGACTTTAAGGACGTCAGCCGTCGTTACTTAATATTAATAATCTAATAACAATTTCGTATGTACAGCTGTACCAGAAGCTCCATCGGCACCTGTGCCGGACGATTGGTCTGCCAATCACGTTGACCTTAAATGGGAAGCGCCAGTATCAGACGGTGGCTCCCCCATCATTGGTTACATTATCGAGAAGAAGGACAAGTACAGCCCCTTGTGGGAGAAGGCCCTGGAGACTCATACACCTACACCCAGTGCTACTATTAATGGGTAAGTATTTAATGCCGTTTTTTTTTTCTTTATTCATTGTAATTGTTTCTTTGTTTACTGTAATTGGCTAGCGTAAACAGAACTAGTATTTTTTTTATTGAACAGTGAATAAATTTTGACTGATAAATTTAAATATCATTATAAAGCGATGTACTAAAATATTCCTACTAAGCTGTGAATGTATCCTAGAAACATTATTTTTTCAGCAAGCAAATTTGGCAGGCTAATGAGTTTGTACATTTAAAATTAAAATAATATGACTTTGTGCAAAAATAATGTACGTATAGTATACGCAATTGTTTCCATTAAGTCTGTGTGGTTCAATATTTACTTATAATTCAGAATTGACACCATTTTGAGTTGTTTTATATTATTATGTAACATAATATAAATGATAATATTATGTAAGCGACCGTGTATATAGCACTCCATTTTAATTTATTAATATAGAGCGTAAATAGAGACCAGAACAAAAAACTTTTAAAATTTAATGTAAGATACGAACCTTTGCAGTTTTTGGTTTCCTTTGGTTTCTATTTTAGTTACATTTTTATTTAATCTACAAAGTATCGTCATGACCTTCAGTTTGAATAATCCGACTCATTTATATCTCTAGGCTAATCGAGGGCAATGAATACCAATTCCGTGTGATTGCTGTGAACAAAGCCGGTCAGAGTAAACCATCGGATGCCAGCAAGAACTTCGTTGCGAAACCGCGATTCTTGGCGCCGAAGATCGACCGCCGCCATCTTAGAGACGTCACGCTCTCTGCCGGTTCAACGCTGAAGTTAGAGGCTGCTATCACTGGTGAACCTGCACCCGCTGTTGAATGGAGGTAAGAAATGCAAAAGAAAGTTGTTTTCTTTTATATTCGTCAATAAACATTTTGATTATAGAATAATTGAATTTGAATCTGAATGACAGGGTGAGAAATTACGTGATAAGAGATAAATGTGGTATACAAGATGTTATGACCAGGATTAAGAAAGGAATGCTTCGGTGGTTTGGTCATGTAGAAAGAATTAATGAGGAAAGAGTGACAAAACAAATTTATAGGCATATGTGAACGGCAGAGTCGGGAAGGCCCTAGAAGAAAGTTTATCGACCAAATTGGCGATATTTTGAAAATGGGCCACGTTAGAAGTACCCTTAACCGACGAGCATGTATGCGTAGATATATGGATGTAAAGGAGGCGAAAGAGGTGTGTCAGGATCGTGCCAAATAGAAGTCCCTAGTCTCTGCCTACCCCTCTGGGTGACAGGCGTGAGTGTTTATGTTTTATTATTATAGAACAATGAAACTTATTCAACATTCTTTCATTCACCATCATTAGCAGAATCACAAAATGGTTGAAGTTTAAATAATAATATTAACCTTCAGGCTTTTTAATCCACAATTTTCTTCCAGATATCAAAACATGCCTCTGCGACCATCGAAGGCGGTGACCATCGACTCGCCCGACTATTTCACCAAGCTGGTAGTACGTCCCGTACGTCGCGACGACTCTGGGGAATACACGGTGACCGCTGTCAACTCCAGTGGCAAAGATACCGTCACCATCAACGTGCTCGTCACCGATAAGCCAACTAAACCTGAAGGACCATTGCAGGTGTGTAACATATTTGTTTTATTCTTATTCTATATTCGTGTTTTAGGACATTATATTTCTAGGTTAAGTAAATAATAACTTGTGTTTAAGTAAACTTTAGAAAGTATAATGATGCAGTTTTTGTACATAAAATGTTTAATTCTACGTTTAATTGTTTAAAGTTTAATGGAACTTTTTAAATTTCGTGTACCTTCGTATTCCCCAATGCACCACTATCCACAAAACACTCGGAAAGAGTTCTCCTTATTTAAAGTATTAACAACCACCAAAACATTCTCTATTCATAATTATAAGTTAATAAATAAAATAATTTCTTAGTTTTTTTTAAGTTTTTTTAGTTTATGTAGCACTATTCTTACAAATAAATATGTATTTAATTTTAGTTAAGGAACAACTTATTGTTTTTTCAGTTTTTTTTATAAAGTTATATGCATGCGGAGTTTACCTTTTAGTAACTGTATTAATTTGATGTGGTAGTGTTAGCAATTGTTGGTAAACCTAATAAAGAGAAAAAAAGTTCCAATTTGTCGTCTGCTCTAACTTCACTGTGAATTAGGCGCAACATTGGGTGCGTTTGGCAGAAGAAAGCGCTAGCAAGCGCTTGTAAGCAAAATAGCGAAACTATACAGTTTTCGGCCAGGACACGTGTGCTAACGCTAGCGCTGACACAATCCGCCATTTTGCTTATTTAATTTGTTTGTTTTGAAGTAGAGTTTATAAGTTTTTTTGTGCAATATTAGTTTTTAAGTAATATAATGACATGAATAGACATATACATAAGGTATGTTCCGAAATCACCCTACACTTCAATTTATGAAAAATTTGTCATTTATCTCCAAAATCATTTTATCTTCCTAATAAAATACCAAATTATTCTATAATTTTTGCATTTGAAAAAACGATGCTTCATTAGCACAAATAATTGTTTATTATATCATAAAATTTACTGTATCGGAACATACCCTAAAAATTCATGATTGGTAAGTTTTTAATATGAATACTTTACAAAAATATATTTAAATTAGGTTAGGTTCCCCGGTTAAAGCTAACTTCGTGTCCTAGAAGAAAATAGCTACTTACGATTTGACAGCGCTTACCGCTTACGATCGCCATTTTGCTTACAAGCGCTTGGTGGCGCTTTTTTCTGCCAAAAGCACCCATTGTAATGAATATTTCTAAATTTGTGATATTTTTACAGATCTCGGATGTACACAAAGAGGGGGCGACGCTCAAGTGGAAAAGACCAAAGGACGATGGCGGCGCCCCAATCGAATATTATCAAGTGGACAAGTTGGACACGGAAACTGGCTGCTGGGTGCCTTGTGCACGCTCTGAAGAGCCCAGTAAGTTGACTGATTTGAGTTTCTTAACAGAGTTTCTTAACGAACTCTCTACTTCGACCTCGAAGATATCTTTCGCTAATTGTGAAGTCTGCCCAGACGCGTGAGGGCATCGTAAATGCTTTATATTTGCTCCATTATTGGTATTTTTACGTAGGGCTGCCGTCAGTTAAGCTGCAGCATAGCTCTATGCTGCAGCTTTATTATAGTTATAGCACGAATAGGTCGGCTCTACCGGAGAAAAACTGCGCTCTCACAAAACGCCAGCGTGAAATAGCAGCATAATATTTCGTTTGGTGTCTTTTTACTGAGTACGAGGTATTCCATCTTAGCCTTCAGGGTATGACAACACATCTGCATTTTTGTTCTTGATCAAAGATAGATGTAAATATATGTGGGCCACAGCATACACATGCTATGTTATGGTGGACTGTGAGTCTGTTTGTTACCTTTATTCTATAAATTAAAAAAGACATAGGAACATTCCAAATTACGACAGTTATTTATTTTGCAAGTCGCCTCTTTCATAATTCATATCTTCATATGTAATAATTCATCTCGTCTCAAAAAATAAAAGTTTGTGATGTTTACAGATTCATCTCTGACTTCATTGCGCACAGAGTTAAAGTTTCGTTTTACTTATTTGACAGGGTGTGAGGTAACCGGTCTGACTCCGGGTAAGGAGTACAAGTTCCGCGTGTCGGCGGTTAACTCCGAAGGCGAGTCGGAACCACTTGTCTCGGAGACCAGTATTGTCGCTAAAAATCCATTCGACGAACCTGGTAAGACATGTTTTTTATACTAAAATAATGTTTTTTTTAAATATGACTTTATAGAGCCAAAATTAAAAAGGGCATCAAAGATGTTCGAAAATGTAAATAAAATAAAAATCGTAATATAAGTTTTGAAGACCGGATCAAAGTATTTTTACAGAGATAATTTTTCCTTTACTGAGCATATAAAAACTAATTTAACATTTGATAGGGGTTGATAGAAAGATAATAGCTTAAAACTTTTAAATATGTTATTAGTGTTCAAAGAACGTCCATCGTAAATATGCTACATTAGTTTCCTTTTTTGCCAGTCTGTAAACACTATAAACTAAACTTGAGATTTTTCCTTAGTATATTCAGGATTTCCTTATAACCGCCAAGCTTGGTGCCAACAGTTGGATTAAGGTTTCCAGTACCAGACGCATTAGAAACTGCTCCTTGTCTGGATAACCCCTAACAAAACTGAATCTTTTTATAGATTATTTGTATTAAGTATAATGCTAGGCCAATTTTAAATCTCATCATTGTCTACAGGCGCACCAGGTACTCCATCAGTTACCGACTGGGACAAAGATCACGTGGACCTCAAATGGACCCCACCCAAGGAAGATGGTGGTGCACCTATCGAAGGTTACATCGTGGAGAAGAAGGACAAGTTCGGAAATTGGGAGAAGGCTGTAGAAGTTCCGGCTGATAAGACAACCGCCACCGTGCCTGACCTTGTTGAGGGTCAGACATATGAATTCAGGTTTGGTTTTTTTATATTGATTTTTGTATTTTCCTTGTAACTATTGTTCGTCATCGCCAAAAAAACACTCGTTTTTGATGATTAATATCAATTTTACAAAATTGAAATGTATAGTTTTAAATTTGAAGCGACAGTAGCCTAATGGCAGGGTGCGTACCGCGACCTCGGAAAGGTCGTGGGTTCGAATCCGCCATTCGACTACTGGCGTCAACCACTCGTAACACGAGTAATTTAAGCTTACCACGAGTGGTTAAGAGGAATATTAGTAATGTTTCTGTTATTGTCCTATATATGCCCCATTCCTGGGGAATATATAGACAATAACAGAAACATTACTGGGAGGGACGATATGTTTTAACTACTTTTAAATATTTCAGGGTGAGAGCTGTCAACAAGGCCGGACCAGGCGAACCCAGTGACAGCACGCATCCAATTGTCGCCAAGCCGAGGAACTTGGCGCCGAAGATTGACAGGACCAACCTCATAGACATTAAGATTAAAGTCGGACAGAAATTCGGATTCGATGTCAAGGTAATAGATACAATATATGTTTTATTACACTGCAGTCTTTAAATAATAGACTTTTTTGAATTATTTTGGATGAGTCTTCATAGACATATCATTTGTACAATATTTACAACCATATAATTCTATAGCTTGCGGTTTAGTGCCAAAAAGCTATTCAGCCATAGCTGTATTTATTGTTTGGGCGAGAAAATGAAAAATATTTACAATAATGCGAGTTATACAAAAATAATTTAATATATTGTATTTTATTTTCAAAAAAAGTTCTGCTGGGTTTCTTACTAGTTCTTCCCGGGACAGAGGTATTCTTCCGAATAATTCGTAGATTAAACAAATGAATGACTCGAATAAGTATTATTTATAATCTATATTGAATTAAAAAAATTCTGTTTCTGTAATAAATTCGTCTATATAACTTTTTTTTTTATTTTCTATTTGATTTATCAAAACATTTGCAACAGGTTTCTGGTGAACCGATGCCAGAAACGAAATGGTTCCTCGCCAAGAGGGAGGTAAAGTCCGGGGGGGAGATGAAGGTCCAACATTCGGACTACAACACGAAGCTGAACTGCAAGTCCGCTACCAGAGCCGACAGCGGACGGTACACAATCACCGCTGAAAATTCCAATGGCAAGGATGTAGCTGAAGTCGAAGTTATCGTGCTCAGCGTGCCAAGTCCTCCTGGAGGACCACTTAAGGTTTGTATAAATTATTTCAAATGTTTTAATGGCTATTAATTTTTACAAGTTCGAAGCATAAGAACAAGCTGCAGCAATATTATGATTGTAGCACGAATGGGTCGGCTCGACCGGGGTACGACCACGCACTCAAAAAATACCAGCGTTAAATAGCAGCATAATCTTCGTATGGTGAGTGTAGAGAACCAGAGAGCCTTTTTTCCCGGAATCGAGGCATTCCATCTTACTCCTCAGGGGTGACAACGCATCTGCATTTTGATTACTAATTGAGGATAAATGTAGATGACTGGGCTATAGTATCCACTTACCATCAGGTGGACTGTGTGCTCGTTTGTCATCCTGTACTATTAAAAAAAGTTGAAAATTTCTGCATAGTAATGTGTTTTTACGTTATATCAGCTGGCTATATTTTAATGCCCGTAGTTTTAACTTAGGGTTGATTTATACCTATCCGATACAGCCCTGATGATATATGAACAGAGCTATGTTCGAACAAGCATTCCATGTCGTTATATAGACAATCATACTTTATTATTAATGTTATAATAATATCAACACACTATATATTTTCGAATTTACATCGATGTGTCAAAACGGATTTTATTCTGTAAGTGATTCAGTTGTAACTTTTGGCGTCTTTAAAATAATTGTGATGTAAATAATTATTGAATATGTATCATTATATTTACTTGTAGGTATCAGATGTGCACGCCAACGGTGCTAAGCTTTCATGGAACCCACCGGCTGATGATGGAGGTCAACCGATCGAGAAGTACGTTGTCGAGCGTATGGATGAGGCTACTGGTCGCTGGGTACAAGCTGGTGAAACACTCGGCCCAGAAACAAATCTCGCTGTGGACGGTCTGCAGCCTGGACACAAGTACAAGTTCCGTGTACGAGCAGTTAACAGGTGCGTTAAGTAGTCCGAAAGGCTTGTAAGAATTGATTAATTTTTATAGGACATCACAAAATTGATTATGTTTGCAATTGTCATTTAAAAACGTTTTTTCAAATTAATAATGGTTTTAAAACTTTAAATCTTTTGTGATTTATAGGCAAGGTAAATCGGAGCCTCTCACAACTCCACATGCGACAGAAGCAAAGAATCCATTCGATGTCGCCGGCAAACCTGGTACACCGAAGATCAAGGACTTCGACAAAGACTTTGTGGAGCTCGAATGGACACGTCCGGAGGCAGATGGTGGAGCACCTATTACGGGCTATGTTATTGAGAAGAAGGACCGCTTCTCACCGGACTGGGAGGAGTGTGCTCAGGTACGGTTTAATATAGTGATTTTGAGATTGAAACAAGAAATCTAAAGCTTATTAATCTAGTTGTTTTATATTCCTTCACTATCGGAAATTATATTTTCTTTGAACAGCAACACAATAACACAAGTCATTTGAGCGTTCTAAAATTTTCAGCTTATGTATGGAAATATTTAATTTGTAATATGTAACAAATGTAGTTTTTATTCATTGATTCATGTTTAATCTTTTAATCAATTTAAATAATATTTAAAAAAAATAAAACTCGTGCGCAATAGAAAATAGGTCTGTTCAACTAACATCTCATTTCGCGCAGCGCTTTAACTTCAAGCGCACTTGAAGATAATGCAGGTGAAAATATCAATTTTGTCTTATCAAGAATCCGTTTTAGTAATCATTTTTGTTATTAAATTTTTACTGTGATCTCATTTTATAGCATTTCCTTAAAAATTATTAAAAACCAATCTCAAAATTTATTATGACAACAATGAAAAATGGAATTTAAAGACTGATTTGAATTCCTTTCAAAGACATGATTTGTCAATAAACACAACCCTATTCTTATCTTGAATGCATACCATTTGTTATTCAATCGGTTCTACTGTGTTTATAGTAATATATTAGGAGTAAATTATAAAAACTTGCATGAACCTGAGAAATTTACAGTAACTATTTTGTTTTCAGATCGATGGTGACGTTACTACTGGCAAAGTCCCAGACCTTATTGAGGGCAACACTTACGAGTTCCGTGTACGTGCGGTTAATAAAGCCGGAAAAGGCGAACCGAGCGACGGAACTGCTCCTCATCTGGCTAGGCCTAAAAACTTGCCGCCTAAGATTGACAGGAATTTCCTGTTCGACATCAAAATCAAGGTTGGCCAAAACTTCGATCTCGAAGTGCCTGTTGCTGGGGAACCGACACCAACCAAGGAATGGTTACACGGTGACAACGTTGTACTCAACACAGACAGAATCAAGATTGTCAACGACGCTCACGCTACTAAGTTCCGTGTGATCGACGCGAAGAGAGCAGATTCTGGAACTTACACACTTAAGGCAAAGAACATTAATGGAACAGATTCGGCAACTGTCAAAGTATTGGTTATGGATGTACCATTGCCGCCAGAAGGACCACTGCGAGTGGACGATATTACGAAGTCCGGCTGCTCATTGCGCTGGCGACCACCTAAAGATGATGGTGGCTGCGAGATAACACACTACGTTGTTGAAAAAATGGACCAAGATAGTTTACGCTGGGTTCCGGCTGGAGAAGTACAAGGTTGTAACATGCGTATCGACCATCTCATCGAAGGTCATGATTACAACTTCCGTGTTCGTGCTGTTAATAAACAAGGAGAGTCGCAGCCGCTCGTTGGACAAGAGCCAATTACGGCGAAGGACCCATATGGCACACCAGACAAACCTGGAACTCCGGTCGTCAAAGACTGGGATAAGGATCACATGGACTTAGAATGGGTACCACCGAAGAAGGATGGTGGCGCTCCTATCACAGGATACATTATTGAAGCAAAGAAAAAGTATGGACCGTGGGAGGTTGCTGCTACCGTACCAGGAAATCAAACAACAGCTACGGTTCCTGGTTTACAAGAAGGAGAGGAGTATGAGTTTAGGGTCATTGCTGTTAATAAAGCAGGAAACGGTGAACCAAGTGATGCGTCAACTCCACAAGTGGCCAAAGCCAGGTTCTGCGCACCGCACTTCGACAAAATGTTGCTGGCCGACAAGACAGTCAAGGCTGGACAACGTATACAGTATGAAATTCCGATTGAAGCATCGCCTAAACCGACAGTTGAATGGCAGATCAACGGAAAAGTTGTACAACCATCCGATAGGATCGACATTCAAATTCTCCACAACAGGGTCATATTAGACATTCCATTCTCCGTTCGTTCTGACGGAGGAGTTTACAAACTGACCCTGAAGAATGACCTTGGAGTCTGTTCAGCGTCTGCTCAAGTCACCGTATTAGATAAACCATCAAGGCCAGAAAAGCCTCTTGTGGTGTCTGATATCACAAAAGATTCATGCTCTCTATCATGGAAAGTACCACTTGACGATGGTGGCTCACCAATATTGCATTATGTTATTGAAAAAATGGACTTATCGCGTGGGACATGGTCGGATGCCGGCATGAGTACGTTCCTGTCCCACCAAGTCACTAGGCTCATTCATATGAAGGAGTATTTGTTTAGAGTTAGCGCTGTAAACGCCATTGGTCAATCCGAACCTCTAGAATTAGACCGAGCTATAATTGCCAAGAATGAATTCGATGAACCTTCTGCTCCTGGTAAACCTGTAGCTACCGACTGGAGCAAGAGCCACGTTGATTTGGAATGGGAGGCACCGAAATCCGATGGTGGAGCACCTATTACCGGATACATCGTTCAAAAGAAAGAAAAGGGCAGTCCGTACTGGGTAAATGCCGTGCATGTACCACCCAAGCAGACCAAAGCTACTGTTCCGGATTTGATGGAGGGTCAAGACTATGAATTTAGAGTTATTGCAGTTAATCAAGCCGGACAATCGGAACCTAGCGAGCCTTCAGATATTATTACGGCTAAAGACAGATTTGTCGCACCAAAGATCATTACACCACTTAAGGAGGTTCGTATTAAGGCTGGTCTTATATTCCACTTGGATGTTAATTTCATTGGAGAGCCAATTCCTGAAGTTAAATGGACCTGCGATGGCAGGCCTGTAGCCAGTAACGAAAGAACGACAGTAACCTCAGTAGGACATCATACGATCATTCATACTGTGAACTGCAAGCGCTCTGACGCTGGTAAATATAATTTGTCATTGAAGAACGATTCCGGATCTGATGAAGGCAGCTTTGAATTAATAGTACTGGACGTACCAGGGGCACCTCAGCCTCCGTTCGAATACGAAGAAATAACTGCCCAATCTGTTACGTTATCGTGGAAACCGCCTAAAGATAATGGAGGCAGTGAACTGACAGCATACGTTATTGAAAAACGTGACCTTACTCATGGCGGTGGTTGGGTACCAGCTGTAACTTACATCAACCCGAAATACACGCATGCCACTGTACCACGTCTTTCGGAAGGTACCAAGTATGAGTTTAGAGTGTTTGCAGAGAATTTACAAGGACGATCCGAACCTCTTGTTACTGACAAAGCAGTAGTTGCTAAGAATCAATACACAGTACCTGGAAAGCCTGGAAAACCGGAGCTTGTATCTGCAGATAAGGATCATATTAAGGTTAAATGGTCGTCTCCAATTTCGAACGGTGGTTCGAATATTCTGGGATACGATGTTGAGAGGAGAGATAAGGCTACTGGCCGGTGGATCAAACTGAATAAAGAGCCTGTAAGGTTTAATGAATATGAGGATGACAGGGTACAGGAAGGACATCAATACGAATACAGAGTGTCCGCAGTGAACGCAGCTGGACCTGGTCAACCTTCTGATCCATCAAACGTTATTATTGCTAAGCCAATGAAAGAGAAACCTAAATTATCACTGGATCACCTTATCGGCCGTAAGATCAAGGTCCGAGCCGGTGAACCGATAAATATTAACATTCCAATTGCCGGTGCCCCAACACCGAAAATTATTTGGACCAAGGGCGCTATCTCACTTGTGCCTTCACACAGATTGTCTACTGAAACTAGTCCTGATGAAACCAGACTTAGCATTGAGAAATCTACGAGAGACGATGCAGGCAAATACACAGTCACAGCATCTAATGAATATGGAAAAGACTCCGCTGATATCGAAGTCATTGTTGTGGACAAACCCGGCATGCCTAAGGGACCATTGTCATGCACGCCTGTTACACACGAAACTATGAGCTTAACTTGGTTACCACCCATGGATGATGGCGGTAGCGAGATCACCGGTTATGTTGTTGAGGTTGCTGAGTTTGGAGTGAACGACTGGCGTACTGTTGCTGGTTTCTGCCCTAAATGTTCATTCACTGTTAAAAACTTGACTGAAGGCAAGAAATACGTGTTTAGAGTACGTGCTGAAAACCTGTACGGAGTTTCCGAACCACTTGAAAGCAGGCCAATAATAGCAAAATTGCCGTTCGATCCACCAGATGCGCCAGATACGCCTAAGATTACTGGCTACAGTGCTAATAGCTGCTCTCTTGAATGGCAACCACCAGCAAACACTGGTGGTAAACCCATTACTGGTTACAACATTGAAAAGAGGGAACGCGGTGGTGAATGGATAAAGGTTAACAACTATCCTACTCCTAATACTTGTTACACAGTTCAAGATTTACGAGAGGGCAACCGTTACGAGTTCCGCGTTATCGCTGTTAACGAAGCTGGACCAGGTAAACCTAGCAAACCTACAGAGCCTATTGTAGCTCAGACACAAAGACACAAGCCTAGCGCCCCTGAAGCGCCTAAACCGGACAGAATTACTAAGGACTCTGTTACACTTTCGTGGAGACCACCAAAGAGTGATGGTGGCGCTAAGATCAAGGGCTACATTATCCAACAGAAGGCTAAGGGAGACAAAGACTGGAAAGACGTTAACGATGTGCCGATTCCAAACCTTGTTCACACAGTTCCAAAGCTCAAGGAAGGTGAGGAGTATCAATTTAGAGTCATTGCCGTCAATGAAGTCGGTAATTCAGAACCAAGCAAACCAACGTCTGATATTACTATCGCGGAACAACCTAACAAACCTTGCATGGATCTTGGCGGTGTACGTGACATTACGGTACGTGCGGGTGAAGATTTCTCTATTCACGTACCTTACACTGGCTTCCCGCAACCGACTGCTTCATGGTTCGCTGACGATAACTTAATTGATGTTGACGGTGACTCCAGAATATTCCAAAAGATCACACCAGACTCTGCTTCCCTCGTTGTTAAGAATGCGAAGAGATCTGATGGTGGCCAGTATAGGTTGCAACTTCGCAACCCATCTGGATACGATACAGCAACCATCAACGTACGCGTGCTCGATAGACCGGGTAAACCAGAAAACCTTCGGGCTGATGAATTCGAGGGCGAAGCACTTACATTATACTGGAACCCACCGAAAGACAACGGAGGCGGTGAAATCACTAATTACGTTGTAGAGAAACGCGAAGCGCGCTCACCTACATGGACTAAAGTATCCGGATATGTCACGACGCCGTTCTTACGCGTGAAGAACTTAACTGTCGGAAGGGACTACGAATTCAGGGTTATGGCTGAAAATCAATACGGCCAATCTGATCCAGCGCAAACGACTGAGCCGATCAAGGCCAGACATCCGTTTGACCCTCCTGGCCCACCCGGCGTACCACGCTCGGTGGAGACAACGGAGTCTTCTATCACGATCACATGGACCAAGCCCCGCAACGACGGTGGCTCTCCGATTACTGGATATGTACTCGAGAAGAGACTTATCACAGAAGACAAATGGACTAAGGCGGCACACGCACACATTCCAGACACAACTTACAAAGTCACCGGTTTAATTGAGAACCACGAATACGAATTCCGTGTGGCGGCTGTCAACGCGGCTGGGCAAGGCCCGTATTCGCAGAGTTCGGACGCCATTCGTGCCTGCGCACCGCCTAACTGCCCACGTATCACCAGCGACCTTAGTCTGCGGGACATCACTGTCATCGCTGGCGAAGAGATCAAGATCACTGTACCGTTTACTGGCAATCCAAGGCCAAAGGTAAGATTATTTTTTTACTAATTCGATACCCACAAAATACTTCTAAATATGTCTACTCCGAAAAATACCTTTAAAATATCAATGACTTTAATTTTTGATTAAATCTAGATAACCAACCTTATAGACTAAAGTAAAAGAAGTAAGACTGCTTTTCTGTCTAGAAGTCCCTCTGTCAAATAACAGTGCTATCACTTCTGTGTTCCGGTCTGCAGAGTATTGCCTGTTATTACAGGCTGTGACGCACGCCTTCTTAGTCATTTGGCTGCAATTGTCTATGATCTAAAGCTGGCTTGCTTAGGACTGTAAATTGAACTGTAAGTTTCACACTTCAGTTTTATAAAAATAGGCCTTTTTAAATTATACCTTGACATGGCCTCTTCACGAATACGCCAACATTCATGCATCGATTGAAAGGTTTCTTGTGATCACCTTTGAGTAAAGTACTGGTGAACATAGAGCCGATACCTTCACACTGGTAATGATGCTCCCCACTACCAGTATGTATTATATTGAAGTGGCATATTTGGATGGATTTTTTCCCGGCAGTCGATCACCAAAGCCGTCCATCTCTGACCAGGTTTGCACTGCGTGCATTGATATGTGTTGTTAGTGACATTTCTTTCCTTCAATAAATTTAAATCAATATATATCAAATACTTATTTACAGGTATCATGGATCGTGAACAACGACGAAGTGTTCCCGGACAACCGCATACGTTTCGTGACGTCGGACCGTGACACGGTGTTCCACAACTCGTGCGCTAAACGTTCCGACACGGGCTCTTACACTGTACAGCTGGTGAACAGCGAAGGTTCTGATAGTGGCACTTGCAGGGTGAGTGAACGCAGTTTATTTCAAGTATAGGAAATTTAAATACGAATATTAACCGTCGATAATTTATTTACATAGTCAATATACATTTTATGTCGTTAGTTGGTGTTTATTTAATTCATATTGCTACCATTTAACTTGATACAAAATGCTGTAAATTCAATAGAGTGAAACTCAGTGTGACCGTCTCGTAGGTCTAGTGGTCATGAACGTGACTACTGGTCATGAGGTCCTGGATTTGAATCCCGGGTCAAATACAAATCAGTTATTAGGTTTCATTGAGCGTGAGGGAATAGAGAGTGCACCTGTGTTTGCGCACAATAATCCAATCCTGCGCAGATAACTTGTATACGTTGAGGATAGCCACTGTGACCGTAATTTGGTCTAGACTTTTTAGAGTTATACTCGTGTGGTACTTGCGTAATCACACCATTTCGTCCCGTGCGTGATATAAAGAGGCGACTATAGGGATTCCACGAAAGATCTCGCTTACGTCAAACATAGAATATGTATTTAAATTAAATCAGACGGTCAAACATATTAAATTAACAATTTTTTTACAACTATCGAGCAAGACAAAAGAGTTTTGTTTCTATAAAGCAAGAATTCGTTTCATCTAGAAAACCTGAGCAAAAGAACTGTGGTAAATTTAAACATGTAGAAGAAATAAAGTATACGTTAAAAGTACTAACTTAGTGTAAAGCTACTCTTTTTTCTTTTGAAGTCTCTTACAGTATTTCGATAAAATACTAATTTAGACAAATTGTAGACTGTAGGCAACTGATTTACCAAATCTTTGACATATTTTGTTAGTAAAACATCGTGGTAAATCTCTTTATTACGCAGGTACTTGTGGTTGACAAGCCATCACCGCCGGTCGGCCCGCTGGACTGCTCAGACATCACGCCAGACACGTGCACGTTGTCATGGAAACCGCCGCTAGACGACGGCGGTTCACCTATCACCAACTACGTCGTCGAGAAGATGGACAACACTGGCGTGAGTATTGCATTTCAAATCTATACATTTTTAAAACATAAGAACTTTTTATGCAAACTAGCTGGCCTGGCAGAAGTTGTTTTGCCGTTTCCGGTTAGTTTTACTTTGAATTCACTCCGGAATTTTTCTAAACAAAAATACGTTGCAAATATGAGTCACTTTAATGCTTTAGTGGCGATATAAAAGTATCCGGGCCCCATATCTTCTATAAGAGGCGACAGGGAGAAACAAACCGCCAAGCAAAACAACTATAATAAACAACGTCCCTATGCGGCAATTTATTTTGAAAATCTATGTTCAGTGGTGGACTTTTGATATAATAATAGTATTATTATATTATTAATTTTTGAAGTAAGTACCCGGATGACCGAGCTTTGCTCGGTTTTTTTAAGTTACATTTAGATACAAATTACATGAAATATTTTTGATCTTATTGACATTATAGAAAAAACTGAACTGGTTATTTAAATAAAAATCATGAGTGCAATTAGTTTAATTAAAATTTTCGTATTTTTATAAAATACTAAAGAAAGTGCTGGAAATAATAGATTTTCTCACAAAGGAAGGAAACTTGAAAAAAAATGAAAAAAAGTCGGACCTAAGACGGGACGCGAACCAAGGCATTACGATTTCGCGACCGCTCGCTATCCACTTGAACTATTACGATCATTAACACAGTGTCAAAATTTGCCTTCTTATATTGTAGCAGTTTTTCATTGCATGAAAACACGGACAAAGAAACATTTTCTAAAAATAAATCCTAGCTAGATCGATTTATTGCCCTCTAAACTCCCTGGACACTAAATTTTATGAAAATCGTTGGAGCCGTTTCCGAGATTCGATTATATAAAAATAATATATATATATATATACAAGAATCGCTCGTTTAAAGGTATAGGATAATAAGTAATAAATAATTTTTATTTCATTTCTAATTACACATGTGTACATACAAAAAATATGATTGCAGTTAAATAAATTTACAATAAATCTAATAAAAATAACATGCTATAATAAAATTAAAACTATGTGTAGCTTAATAATGTAGAATCTATAAAAGAAAATTTGAAAAGTCAAGTTTATAATATTAGTTACCGGCTTGAACTAGGTTGAGTACCTGTGTTTCAGACTGATGATGATGATGAGTCATTTTAGTCCGTACATATATGATCGAACTAACGATATAACCACAAAAAACCAACTATATATAAAAAAAATAATTAATAATCTAAAATGCCTAACTAAATTCTAACACTCCTGTGATGGAAACAACGTTACCAATGCGAGAATATCGGCTTCGTATTCACTTACCCCATCTGGCTATGAGTGTGGGCAACGCTTTTAAGAAATGCATCATTCTGTCTCGACCTAGTTCTAGCTTAAAGATATATTCGAACAAATTTGTCTTTCTATAAATAGCAGAATATTGTCTAATATAATGTCCTCCAGACCGAATTTCGGCCACGGTAGCCAGCCTCAACGGAGACTAGCCATCAGCGCAGGACAGGATTATAGTACCCAAGTGTATGCGCAAGCACAGGCGCACTCTCTATTCCCTTACTCTCATAATCCGATGGGACGGTAAACCGACACGACCGGAGAGAGATCAGGGGCAGGACCAACGGCTTTACGTGCTTTCCGAGATTCTGACACGGGGTGAAAAACTCAATAATTAATTTTTTGGCCCGACCCGGGATTCGAACCAAGGACCTCATGATCAGCAGTCGCACTGCTACAATATGTATACTACACCATGATATTATATTTTTATGTACAGGTTTGGTCGAAAATTTCATCATTCGTCCGCAACTGCCACTACAACGTCATGGGATTGGAACCTAACAAGAAGTATACATTCCGCGTTCGCGCCGAAAACCAATATGGCGTTTCGGAACCACTTACTATGGACGACTCTATAACTGCCAAGGTTAGTAAATAATAATAAGGTTGCTAAATATATTAACTACACTCAGTATAAATAGTTTTAATGCATTTTTATTTGTCGTTTTACTATTGTTTATATCTGACTGTTAGACTTTATTTCAATTTACTTTATCTAAGCTTTCCTGTTAAAACGTTTTTATTTCGTCCGATCTGTAGCCAGTGGGATTTTCCTCTAATATTTAAATATGTTTCCCTTAGTTCTCATTCACGGTGCCCGACCCTCCTGGAATGCCGCGCGTTCTGGACTGGGACGGCTCTACCGCCAGCATCACGTGGGACAGACCGCGTTCAGACGGAGGCGCCAGGATCCAAGGATACAAGATGGAATTCCGAGACGTGCAAGACAATGTTTGGTCAAGCGCAGATTACCTCGTCAAAGATTGCAACTACCAGGTATTGTTCGTGTGAAAATAATTGCAAATTTTTATCATCCTTGTTGTTTAAATATTTTATTCTATCATATCTATTTAATACAATAAATTAAACAAAAAAAAATTGTTGGTGAATATGGTTGCGACGCTTGCCCTCAGGCATACAACTTGGAGCCGGGGCACGAGTACGAATTCCGCGTGCGCGCGAAGAACGCGGCCGGGTTCAGCAAGCACTCGGCCAGCTCGGCGCCGTTCCGCGTGCGCGCGCGCGCCGGCCCGCCCGCGCCGCCGCAGAGCCCGCGCGTGCTGCGCGTCGGCCGCAACTACGTGGACCTGGCCTGGCAGGCGCCCGCCAGCGACGGAGGTGCGCATACTGCTTATTTTATTTTATTGTGCTCATATCAACGGTACACCACCACCACCTCCTCCTCCTCCACCACCACACCATCCCACACCGCCACCACCTCCTCCTCCTTCTCCTCTTACTCCTCCGCGACTACTACCACCGCATCGACCACCACCACGTATCGACCACCACCACATCGACCACCACCACAGCCACCACCATCATCATCATCATTATCCACTGCTAAACATAGGCCTCCCCCAAGGAATGCCACAAGGCACGGTCCCGAGCCACCTATACACACATCGACTTCCTGCATGTCTGCATGACCCATTCGTGCTACAACTATACTACTAATATAACTGCAGCATGGCTCTACCACATGAATAATTTATTAAATTTGGGCTTGTAATATGCAGGTTCTCGTATAACTGGCTACATAATCGAGCGTCGCGAGATGACCAGTTCAATATGGATCAAGTGCAACGACTACAACGTGCAGGACACAAGCTTCACGGCGCTCAACTTGCACGAGAAATGCGACTACGAGTTCCGCATCATCGCTGTCAACTCTGCAGGTAATTGTTCTGTGATAAAATCATTTTGCTAGTACTAGACTGTCAGATTTCAAATTAATTATCAGGTTTGTTTACTACGTTTATGTATTCGTTACTACAACGCAGGGCATACATGTATTTTACAGAATTTAAGATTAGATTGTAATTTAAGCAGTACTATCAATCCAATTAAAGAGGCCATAATCTCACGCAAATCAGATGTCGTTATTTGGGACATAAGGCTGACTTACACTTCGACAAGTTTTTTTTACCTTTATTTATATAAAATACACGCATTTAAAATAATAATAAACATCGCCAAACTGTGCAACAGTTTGTTGGCGACAGACACGAAGACAAGAAGGCGAAGTACAGTAGCCAGTTAACTTGCGAATCTGGCGAGTTAATGTGATACCTCGAAAATTTGGTGGCTTTTCTATTTAACATATTTTTTTTAAGTTTTATAGATTACAAACCAAAACTTGGTATATGATTTATGACTGTATGGCCTTGGATTGCGTAAGAGGAAAACGTGATATCATGTAATTTTATCGATAGAAAAAAATTACAAACTAGGCTCTAATTATTTACATTTCTCGATGACACCACAATATTCTTACGAATAATTTCATGTAATTATTTTTAAGGCATAGTAAATAATCATGTCTAAGTTCTCATAAACCAGTTTTTAATCCATAACGAAGTTTTGTTAAAATAAATAAAAGTGTTGTTTGGTGCTTACTTAGTTTTTTCCGAGCGCTTGCTCTATGGCTATCTCATAATTTGCGTACTATGAAGTCATTGCATCACTTTCATTTTGGCACTCTCTCAGGCGTCCGTTAGCTTCACCGTCAAAGGAATAAGCCACGCTCCCAAAACTTCGATTCATTTTCAAGGTATCCTCTTAAGTAAAAAAATTTCGTTTGAACAGTTATTAGTGAGTTAGGTAGCAAATTAACAATGAAGTTGAACGGGAAAGCCGGCCGGTCTATTTTTTGGCGAGTCAAGTTCGAAGCCCCCCCGCGCGTCTCCTGCCACCCGCAAATAAACTCGCCGCTCGTGACAACGAGCGGGTTTAGTTCAGTGTATAAGTTGACTGAACGCAACGTGTTTGCATTCAACCCTCATAATATAAAATTGTACATTTTTAACTAAACTTGCCACGAAGTTATTTTAACGCTACTGCCCACTTGATCGTTTACTGTCAACTGCCTTGTTACTGAATTCGCTACTGTACTTGTTGAAATGTAAATCGGCCCTAAGGTGATCTTATATGCTATACATGACCACACAGTCATAAAGTTGCAAATTAAAGGTTTTTTGGTTTCTATTGTATGTATATATACAAAACAACATCAGTGCTGTATTCTTTGAATATTTTACATTTTTTTAATTCTTTTCACCTCGATTCTAAGTGACACCACCCTAGTGGCAGAAAAATTCGTTGAAGTTTATTGACCGATAACGAGAAGCACGGCCAAATTTTAAAAATAATTTTCGAATCACTGTGACAACACACGCGCCTAACACTGGTGTACATTTTCAGGCAAGTCGGAACCTTCGAGCTGCACGACGCCGGTCCGCACGGGCGAGGAGGCGGGCGGTGTGAAGCCGGAGTGGCTGAAACCGCTGCCGGCGCATATGACTGCTCCGCTGGGCCGCCCATTCACGCTGCAGTGCCAGGCCAGCGGCACGCCCGTGCCCACCGGCCGCTGGCTGAAGAACGGCCGCGAGGTCGTTCTTGGTGCCAGGTGTGTTTCTATAACTTGCGTTGTGTATTTGTATGTACTACCCATGAAGGTTAGACAACAGGAGAGCGATCACCGTAGAAAATTGTGTCCAGAAATATGGACACCATCAGTGAGACACCGCGATCGCAAAGTTCTGTCAATAAAAGCCATTTCCAGTCTATTTTTCCGATCAGATGCTAAAACACTTGCACATCCACGCACAATAAAATATTTCTCCATTTTTTAATGTTTCTTATTGTTAAAAATTACAAAATTACGGAGCATGAATATTTTCACAATAAAAATGAAATGAAAATTTGTACATTATTCAACTAACTCTACTTGTACTCATAAACAGCTAACTTCGCAGTCACTACTCACCGACGTCAGCGCCGCTATACATTCTACAATTTTCAAGGACAGGCGGGCTATGCTTTAGTACGTAGTGATCGTTCTCCGGTTCTCTGACCTTCATGGTACTACCCGTGCAATTAGAGAATGAGATTGAATATGTCGTCGCCGTATTTACCTCTCGCTCGCACGCTGTCGCTATCTATACTCACACCTGCCGGTAAAGCAAGCAATCAGCAGTCACAGTTCCTCTATCTTATAGCTCCACAGAACAAAACTAAACCACCTCCAAAGCTTACCCTTTCAGATATGGCACGTTGTGCGTATCGTTCTCCCGTTCTACGACATACTCTTTCTCGACCATCAGCACCATATAGACACATACGAGACTCATCAGAAAAGAGTACTTGCCCCCATTGTGCCACAGTCCAGTCCATAGAATACTATAATTACATACATAATAAAACGGGGGAGTGTGCGGAGCCCGTGTAGTCACTAAAATGTCACTAATACGTCAATTCACACGTATTCAAATTTCGCATGCAAATTATTTAGAAAATGCCAAATTGCAAGCTATTTACAAATAGATATGTATTAAAATCCGTCTGTCAACACAGCGAATCGCGTTTGTAGTAGTGATAATACGACGTTATTGCTTGTATGTGTGCTCTCCGGCAACGCCTAATCTCGTACAAAATAACGTTGACAGCCATTCTATTGTGTATTATAGTATTCTATGATCCAGTCTAACGGTGTTGACGAGCAAAATTTAACCTTGCTTTTCATTATTAACGTGATTTGAAGGACATTTAGTTAAATGTTGTGCAAAAATAACAGACCTAAATAATTTTTATCAATACAGGTTCATAGCCGAATCCCGGGAAGGCACGCTGAAGTTGAACATTCTAGAGGCCTCAGACGGAGATGAGGGTGACTACACATGCGAGGCCATCAACAGCCTTGGCTCCATCTACTGCATCGGACATCTTAAGATTGGAAGTGAGTTCTGATTTCTTGTCCCAGTTTTTATCGTTTTTAATTATAGTATTTCAGAAAGGCAATATTTCTTGAATTTGGGAAAAGAGAATTTAATTTTTGTAAATTTATTAAACTTGGTAAAATTTTATATTTAAAAAGATGTTCGTTAGTTTCTTTTTTGTGATATTCCGAATAACATTTATAGAAGTTTTGTTTATAAATTACAAAAGTGACTGCCTTTATAAGTCTTATTAAAAAGTCTTTTCTTATTTCTGAAAGGGTCCTCTTTTCTCCATAGCGCTGCGTATGCAAGTCTACTTGCGTTATTTTTATACACCAGCGCGCACGTGGTAAATCACCACTTAAAATTACAAATTAACAATTTAATTTGTGCTGACGAAGATCAAACCAGGGTTGCCCACGTACTTCGTAATTTACGGCATGCGCTAAACACCTGAGCTAGCAAGGGTCACCATTATATAATTTTTAATTACACAAATCTACTTATTTTTGAATAAAAAGCTTCATCATTCGCTATTAAACCATAAGTTAATTTTAACTTTCTACCTACGATTCATTTAAAAGAATATCCATTCGTCCAGGTCCACCTCGCATCACGCGAATGCCGGGAGACCTGCACCTACCAGAACACGACAACACCAAAATCAAGATCCTGTACTCTGGAGACCAGCCCGTGGACGTTACGTTGTCACGAGACGGACACACGCTTAGCGAGAGCCCGCATCTCAAATACACGGTCTTCGACGACTATATTCTCATATTTATCAAGGATATCACTAAGGATGATATGGGTAAGTTCAGTTTGTTTTGTATGGCTATCTTTATTATTGTATAATGCACAATTCCTTAGCATTATAAAGTTACTATAGTCCGTTCGCGTTAAGAAAATAGTGAGTCATCGTTGTCTGCCGGCCTGGCCACACCCCCAAGCCAATTAAAATGCAAGAAATTAGAAAGTTGAGTTCACAGTGACCAGTTGAAGTCAGGTCTTCGAACAAAACAGTTGTGTATTTTGCGTGTTACTCGTTCAACATTAAATTTTGAAAATGAATACCTCACCTATTCGAAAGAATAAAAGTGGATCAATAATCCATAGCGAAGAGAGACGCGTAATTTACAATGTTTATAAGTACTTTAAACTGTGTGATTTAAATGCGACAGTGAAAAGCACAGTAATAAAAACAGAAAATGCATGTGGTGTGTCCGAAAATTACTGTTTATAAAATTATTAAAAAAAAAAGGATACTAACACATTAAAAATCACCCGTGAAAAAAAGAGCTCGACTATCGACGGTCGATAAATTAGATAAACTAGACAAATGTGCAATAAGGAGAAAAGTTCACTCAATATATTTAAATAACGACTACCCGACATTGGACAAAATTATGACACTTTGCGAAGCTGACGAAGATATTCCTGTTTTCAAACGTACCACACTTCATAAAATAATGCACGAGCTTGGTTTCTATTTCAATAAACAGGAACATTGACAGTCGAAAGAGAAGATATTGTTTTATGGAGGCGTAAATATTAGAGGCAAATAAAAGAATACGGAGCCGCTAATAAAACCATTTACTATCTTGACGAAACGTGGGTAAACGCCGGACACGTAAAGACAAAAGCATGGTTGGATACAACGGTAAAAAATAAAAGACAAGCCTTTCTAGATGGCTTATCAGCCGGTCCAAAAGCTCCGACAGGAAAAGGTAAAAGGTTAATTGTATTGCACATTGGCAGCGACAAAGGATTCGTGGAAGATGGTCTACTAGTATTTGAATCTAAGTCTACAAAAGACTATCATGAAGAGATGGATGGTGAAAGATTCCTTAATTGGTTCATTAATATAGTGTCTAAGCTAGAACCAGGAAGTGTGGTTGTCATGGATAACGCTCCCTATCATTCGGTAAGAGTCGAAAAAATACCAACAACCAGCTGGAACAAGCAGCAAATAATAGATTTGCTGCAAAGCAAAGGCAAATCCATGGACATGACTTATTGTAAAAAAGGAATTATTAATGAAAGTTGCCGAAATCGCCCCAAAATATAATAAATATTTAATAGATGAGACTGCCAAAAGTAATGGCATTACAATTCTTCGCCTACCGCCTTACCATTGCAAACTTAATCCAATTGAATTGGTTTGGGCCCAAATAAAAAATTATGTTGGTGCCAATAACTCCACGTTCAAAATGAGTGACATAAAAAACGCTACGCTACTAGACGCTAATCATTGGAAGAAGTGCTGCGACCACGTGATACGCGAAGAAAATACCATGTGGAATTTGGATGACATCATGGCACTTGCAGAACAAAATTCTTTCATAATTAATGTAACTGGAGAATCTAGCGATACTGATTAGTGATTTAAGTAATTTTAAGAAAATTTGTTTCCATTAAACTTAATTAAATGTTTGAAAAAAAAAAGAATTTTTACTCCACTGTAAATACACCTTTATCCTGTAGTTGCACTGATTACTCCTATTTTCTTAATGCGAACGGACTATACACTACTTTTCATGAATTTTTTTAATTAGAATGTCATTATACACGCTAGAAATGAAGAAATAATGGTTTTTTTTGTAAGTACCTTAATGTGATGTAAAATAACTTAATTAATAAAGGTTTCAAAGAAAAATTCAAAAGGAAATATCAAAACCGGTTTACTAAAGTGTCTAATAACAGTGGCTAGTTTTTATAGAATAAGGTGACAAACGTACACAGTTTACCTGATGGTAAGTGGATGCTGTGACACATAGACATCTACATCTATCATCGATTAATATTTGAACAAATGCTTTGTCACTCCCTGAGGACGAAGATAGAATTCCTCGTATCCAGTAAAAAGGTTCTCCGGGTTTCTACACTCATCATATGAAACACAGCAGCTTTAAGCTGCTATTTTACGCTGGTATTCTGTGAGAGCGTGCACAGAAGAGCATATGTAACACGTATACATATAAAGTGCCTTTGTTATAGAGCTTATTAAAGGTAAACTTAATATAGACAACGTAACTGACTCACTTCGTTTCGTCCCTGAGATTGACGTTTTACATTACAGGCACATATAAACTGAAAATCAAGAACAACTCCGGTGAAGCGTCAGATACGTTCTCGATCACCGTAACGGGCTTGCCAGGGCCACCACAAGGTCCACTGGAAGTCAGTGACATATCGCGTCACACATGCACTTTGGCATGGAAACCGCCCGCATACGATGGTGGCCTACCCATCACTCACTACGTGGTCGAACGTATCGATATATCCGGCACTACGTGGATCACAATCGCTTCGTCTGTCCGTGACACGAAGTTCACAGTTCTCGGCCTCACAGAGGGTCAGGAGTACAACTTCAGGGTCCACGCCGCCAATGATAATGGAATTGGACCTGGGCTGGAGGGTGTTAATCCTGTTAAGGTAATGATCTTGCGATTTTATTAAGCTATTGCGTAGCTTCTATCGCGGGCCTTGAGCGCGGGGACCGAATCCAGAAATTCCGTAACGAAAAAAACCTCACGCTCCCCACTCCGACGGGCACGGAGGTGTGGCATTGAAAGCCGTGCATCGTCTAACGTCGTTTCAGTCAAACTTCGGCCTCGGCAGACTTCGGCACGGTGTTTGTGTGCGTGCGACTAGACGTATGCGTGTACACTAGCTGCTAACTCAATTATAAAAATTCCTGAATAACCTACATGTATTGTAAGATATTAAAAATAACAATATTAACTTCTCATTTATTCAATAAGAGAAAAAAAATTGTTTTCTTATCGGTCACCACGCTCAAAAAGTGTAACTTGATTTAATATCAAAGACTTAACTGCATAAATAAAATAAATAAATAATTATAATTGCATAAGTTGATAAAAAATGCATGCAATAGCTTTACCGCGGCAGTCACCGAGTGCCACACGTATTTTTTTTATTTTTTCAACAAGTATCAAATCACTTTTTGTATTAAGATGGTTAAAGTTTAAGAAAATCTTCGTATGGCGGCGAAATCGAATAAAATATGTTTTGTAAAAAAGTAAAACACACATTCCACCTGATGTAAGTGTATGCTGTGGCCCATAGACATCTATATTTATCCTCGATTAAGAATCAAAATGCAGATGCGTTGTCACCCCTGAGGACTAAGATGGAATGCCTCGTTTCCAGTAAAAAAAGGGTCTCCGGATTTCTACACTCACCATACGAAACACAGCAGTGTTAAGCCGCTATTTTGCGCTGGCATTCTGTGCGAGCGTGGTCCTTCCCCGGTCGAGCCGACCCAGTCGTGCTACAGCCATAATATAGCTGCAGCGTGGCTCTACCATGTATAATTATTATCTATACATATAAATAAAATTGAAGTTTCTGTCTGTAACATTGAAGAAACTGTCTTATATTAAACTGAGGGGGTCATTTGCATACCATTAAGATACGAGTTACCATTTTTTTTTTAATTTTTGTCTATCTGCCTGTCTGCACGTTCAGGCTTAACCTATTGTAATAAAACTTCACGACCAGAGAGCAGAGCCAAAAGAAAGCAATACCAAAAGTGATCTAGGCTCTCTAAATTTTATCCCAAATTCTTTTAAATAAATGGCATTTGATTGTGTATTTTTTATTTTGTACAAGCCATGAAAATTATTTAATATAATTTTGTTAATAGGCGAAGGCACCGTTCGATCCGCCTTCTGCTCCTGGTATTCCGAAGATCCTTGAGGTTGGAGGTCACTTCGTCCATCTGGAATGGGACAAGCCTGAAAGCGACGGCGGAGCTAGAATACAAGGTAATTTATTATAGTAATGAAGTCTTAAATAATCTTTAATTGTAAGTTAAAGCTGACTTTTTAAATTAAGCTGATTTTTATTTGGATGCTAGCCATCTGCTATTACTACTAAGAATGTAGAAGAAGAGAGAAATGAAGCTCTTTTCTGATTGCGTTGGGGTCAAGTATATACCGTTCTCTAATATTTTAGGCGCAGAAAAGCAGTGTACAGTAGGTTAAAATGATTTAAAAAGAAAATTGCATGTTGTGGGGGATTCTATACACAATATCTAGCTATTTATGTTTGAAGTTCGCTGCATGTTTGAATTGATATCGAGTGAACCAAGTTACATATATGTGTTAGATAAATGAAATTAATTGCAGCTTATAGTCAAACTCCATTACTAAACATAGGCATTTTTCATCAACTGAAGAGGTAATTGTTATAGTTGCCACGCTGTGGGAAGCGTGTTGGCAACTGCAGTTTTTTTTATTATATTTGAATTGTTGTCAGGAACATTCTGTTGGACATTTCCTGATTAATTTTCCTTTATCACTTACTATACTTCTTATATAGGGTGGTAGATTATTAAAATTCATCTCATACGAACCAGTCACTATACAGCGTGATGCTGACGACATCGCCTCGTATTATATATTCTCCTATATTTGATATACACAATATATCTCGTACTGGTACAATGACGAAAGTTTTTGAGAACCCAGTTTGATTTTCCTACTCCGATTTTTTTAAAGTGCCCGTTGTTCTGTTTAGGACGGAGGTTTTATCCCTAAGCAGTCGTAAATTAAACAAAAGTGTGACTTTTAAGAAGTATTATTTTAAATGTATATTGAATAAAAAGTTAACATCAGAAACAGAAGATAAAAAGTTTCTGTGTCTGATGTTATGTTACATATGGTGGTATGTCCCCTCCCCCACTCGTCAGGTTACTGGGTGGAGAAGCGCGAGGTGGGCTCTGCGGCCTGGCAGCGCGTGAACGCGGCGCTGTGCGCGGCCACGCAGCTCAACTGCGCCAACCTGATCGAGGGCCGGCGCTACGAGTTCCAGGTCACGGCGGTCAACGAGGCCGGGCCCTCGCCGCCCAGCCGCGCCAGCCAGCAGGTCGTCGTCCAAGATCCCAAAGGTCAGTGCAACTACGCTCAAACAAAAACATTGCGTCTAATGGATGTCACGTACTAATTACAGGGTGCGCACCGCAAACTCATAAGGACGCGTGAACCACGCCTAACATTAGCATTTTATGCTTACCAGGAATACCAGAGCAGTGTTAATGGCATTGCTAGTATTTTTTAATAAAAATTACAGCCTTCAAAAGCTCACTTGCGTAAGCTATAATTGACCAACGTTCCTTTCATAGACGACATAATACAAAAAAGATCCACCCCACATTTTGAAAATAGATTATGTATGCTTAAATTATTCTTAGAGTCGATACTTTCGTTTAGTAAAAACGGTTGTAACAGGTTAAAAAAGTCAATTAAAAGCAAAACTCCAATACAAACAAATCGAAGCAAGCAATCAACATTGTTTACCAAACCACGCTTCAAAGCACCATATGTTGAAAGTAACCTTTTATGGGTTCAATTCTTTTTGCATAACTACATCCGTTATATAAATCTGTATTTACTCAATATACAATTCAATTAAATATATATAATAATAAATTAATATTTGCTTTAATTTCGACATAGAAAGAAAAAGAGTACTGTACCCTTAGCCCAAGTTTTTGACACGTAACGCTATCGATTGAGTGTATGAAAATATGAATAACACCCCAGGCCCCCAGGCGGGCAAAAGTGAACTATTTTTTGTCATACAAAATCAATCGTGACAATACGAATACGATACGATAGAAAACTTATTCTTAGAGGGCTGTATTCTCTTACGCCGTTACGAAAAAAAATTAAAGCTCTGAGTAAAGTAATAATTTTTTTTCTAATGCAGCGGCAACGCCACCTGAGATCGTGAAACCACTCAAAAACGCCAACTGCATACAGAACCACAACGCCAAGTTCCAGTGCACCATCACTGGATCACCGAAACCAACGATCACGTGGTACAAGGGTGAGTTTTTTTGCAAAAATTTCTGTTCAAATTTTGTTTTGTTTTTCTTACATTTACGGATTAATAAAATTTAAATAAACTTTAAAAATAAGCTAACAGGTATTAAAAATACAATGAGGTTTTTTTCTCGGAAAATAAATACAAAATCATGATATTCTATAATCTATAATGTTGGGTTATTACTACTATACGTGTACTACGTAAAACGTGATAGAAGTTTATTCCAGATTTATAATCTGCGTACTTTTTGGCGTTTCGCACATAAAACATTGTGACGTCAAATTGAAGGGAAGAACAATATTGAAGCGGCACTAAGCAATATGAGCGGCATGTTTCATAAACCCCTTGTTATTGCAGATTACTCTCCAACATACATGGCGCTCGCATTTATAAATACCCAAAATTCGTCTACCGAGGAATACGTTTTTTCAAAAAAACTAGTGTCCATTTTACTAATTTAAACGGCAACTTTTACATTTTGTTTCCAACAGGCGCCCGCGATATAACGAACGGGCCACGGCACCGTATCTGGAGCGAGGGTGACAATCACTTCCTGACCGTGATGGACGTGTTCGGCGAAGACGCCGACGAGTATGTGTGCCGCGCCGTCAACAGCGCTGGCGTTAAGAGCACTCGCGCTGAGCTGCTTATCATGAGTGAGTTCTATTTACATTCCAATAAGATTCAAAATCGAATGACATACATTGGCAGATACATTGTGATTTATAATCCTATTATGATAAATTGTTGAAGTATTATCAGTGTTTAATTGTCTGCAGATGAAAATTTTATTATAGACCACGGGTATTGACTCTTTTTTTATCTCTTGATCTTTATTCTATCTCTTTCTAGCTGCACCGAAACTAAACGTACCGCCTCGCTTCCGCGACACGGCATATTTCGACAAGGGCGAAAACGTTGTCATCAAGATTCCGTTCACTGGTCATCCGGTGCCCAAGATCACGTGGGTGCGAGAGGGAGAGACGATCGAGTCCGGACTGCACTATCACGTTGAGAGGAAAGGTGAGTTAGTTGCTGCTATAACGATTCGCTACAAAACAGATTTCCAGCGTCATATAAATTGAAGGATGCCTAGATATTGAGGCCTTAGATTGCCTCATAAGGGAGATTTTTACCATTGTTGCCACACTTCCCAGGCGGCTTGGCTGTTGCAGTTTTTTTTTATTTTCTAGTTGTTATTAAAAAGACGCTGTTGCTCTTCTAGCTTGTTTTTCTCTATCGTTTCATGGGAGTCGTACTAGGAAATGTTATTATTTTAGTATGTGTACATTATTTTGTACTTTTCATCTGCCAGCAATTGTTTAATGATTTACACAAATATGTGTTGCTTTTTTATATAGGATAAGGGTGACAAACGAGCACACAGTCCACCTGGTGGTGATTTATTGCTGTGGTCCATAGACATTTACATCTATCTTAGATTATGAATCAAAATGCAGATGCGCTGTCATCCGTGAGGACTAAGATGGAATGCCTCGTTTCCAGTAAAAAGGGTTTCGGTCCTCTACACTCACCATACGAAACACAGCAGCGTTAAGCTGCTATTTTACGCTTTTTATGTGAGAGCGTGGTACATCTCCGGTCGAGTCGACTCATTCGTGCTACAACTATATTTCTAATATAGCTGCAGCACGGCTCTATAACGCGTTGCTTGTCCTTTGTGGTTCATATGTATTGGTTTTCTTTGTGGCCTCATCTCTTCCTTGACGAGGTTGTTTAATATTTTTAAATGTCGTGTTCTTAATTTTTAAACATTAAAATAACTTTCAGAGCGTCACGCAATCTTAACAATTCGTGATGCCAGCAAGATGGACTCCGGTCCGTACAGAATTACGGCTGAGAACGAACTTGGGCAGGATTCTGCTGTTATCAACATTGAAATTAGCGGTAAGTTAATTATTATTTATATAAATATACTTAACGATTTTAGTAAACGATATATGAAATAGATAGTTTAACATTATTAAGAAACAACTTTGTTTAATATATTTTTCTAAGCAAACTGGTTTAAATATTAATAGCATACTACCGATCTAAGGTCTAATTAAGCACTATAATATATAACTACAAAACATAAAAAGAAAAAGATATTGAAATTAATAAATTGTGCGTATTGTGAACTGTGAACCTGTCATACAAAAATAATAATTAAAGCACTGAACCATGGAGGTAAGAGAACAGGAGAACGATCGCTACGTACTAAAGTATAGACCGCCTGTCCTGGGAAAGTTGTGCTGCAAAAAATTCCCCTCAACATTTACTTACGTGCTGCTATTTTCGTCAATAAAACACAGACACTATTTCATTTTCTTACTTAATCATTCGTTACATAGACATCATCAAATATAACAGCCATTCGCTTTTGCGTGCCGGTGAGGTTGGTTGCGTAATCGTTGAAGTTTTGTGATTGTGATTTAGGATTTTCTTTCAAAAAAACTGTAAGTAATGTTATTTATCTTTACTACGTAATGTTTTTGAATGATTTAAGTTACAACAACAGTAACTTTTTATGTTTCAATTGATAAAAAAGTAGAAATAAAAAACCTCTACGCGAACAATTCGTAACGGTCAAGATTTCTAATAAGATTCTATTAAGATAATAATAGTATATTTCTTATAGAATACTATAGTAAATACTTTTACTAGTAATTGCTAAATGTTATATCTATATGATTTTATAAGAAAAATAAAGAAAGACTATATAAAATATATACACAAAAAGATTTTGAAAATGAGTTTAGTAAGCGCGCGCAAACTGTCTATTGTCGAATTTTTAGCAAATGTTTGCAAGTGAAAAAGTAGAATTATTATAATTATTACATGCATAATTTCGGTTCATTTAGGAAGAATATGTTGTATTGGTTGTAAGGACATAAAAATAAAATAAAAACTTACGATATTTCATTCATAATATAAAATTTATCGTCAGTAAGTACACTTTATCAAGATCCGTTAGAAACAAAGAGCTGTACAAAATAACATAAACATTTATATGTTATGGTTATTGTTTCTACTTATCGAAAATCTTATCGGCTTTAAATAACTGTAACTAAAACCTCTTTAAACATAAATGAAAGGTCGTGAGAAACATAAATATTTAAAACAAGTGCCGCCAGCTGAGGTGACAAGCTGTGCCTCGGTACAAAGCTGTTTTTTGTTATGGCGGGCGCAGTGAGTGATAGGTTAGTTAGAAAATTTTCATGCTCCGTATTTTGTAATTTTTGACAAAAAGGAACATTAAAAAATACAGAAATATTTTATTGTGCGTGGATGTGCAAGTGGTTTAGCATCTGATCGGAAAAATAGACTGAAAATGACTTTTATTGAGCGAACTTAGCAATCGCAGCGCCTCACTTATGGTGTCCATATTTCTGGGACACTATTTTCTACGGCGATCGTTCTCCTGATCTCTAACCTCCATGCACTGTACAGTGAACTTATTATTATCACCAACTTCACTACAGTCCAGAACTTAGCATTTTTCATGTATGTTTCAAGCTTTTTATGTTGTATTATAATCCGGTCTCTAATCATATAATGAGTTTTTTATGCTTAATATTTGAATTGGAGAATTAGTAAAAGACCAGTTCATACTAACGAGTACCGTTCAACTCGTTTATATTTGACATGATGGATGTCGCCAGACCGTCCGGACCCGCCGCGGTTCCCAGTGGTGGACAACATCGGCGTGGACTCGCTGGCCGTGAGCTGGCGCGCGCCGATGTGGGACGGCGGCTCCGATATCACCAACTACCTGGTGGAGAAGCGCGAGCACCCCATGACCAGCTGGATCCGTGTAGGAAACACCAGGTCGGTCACAACTTATCTTGCAAATTTATTAATATCAATAACATCATCGTTTAATTATTATCATTATTATTTATTTATTGATAAACGAAAACTAAATAAAATAAAATTGTAATTTCATTAATTCATTATAGCCTAAAAAATCTAATGCTGAAAATAGGTCTCCCACATAGATTGTTTTATACAAAGAGATCTGGTCTAAGTGCGCAGTTTTTTTATGAAAATGCTGCCGGCAATCACCTGTTTCATTTTTCTCTATCTCCTCTTACAACACCCACGGTATTACCTGGGGTAGTGGATTTACTTACACTGTCACTACCATAGAATACTATAATACACAATAGAATGGCTGTCAACCTTATTTTGTACGAGGATAGGCGTCGCCGGGAGCACTCATACAAGCAATTACGTTGTAGTATCAGTTATCACTACTACGAACCCGATTCGCTATGTTGACAGACTGATTTGACAAAAATATTTTTTTTATTTTTGTTTCTAATATTCACAAAATATAAATAGTTTCAACTTACTGGTTGTAGAATATGCCTCCTTTGTTTAAATTATATTTCCCGCTGTTCTTTCGACACGTTATTATTGCACAACTTGCCATTTTTAAATAATTTGCATGCAGCGACGCTTGACACGAAAGTTGGAAACGATTAATTGTGTTGACAATTATAGGTGTGAGTTGACATGTTAGTGACATATTAGTTGCTACCGTGTAGCAACAAAGACCCCATATTACACAGCAACTAATATGTCACTTCGCGCTTCGCCCACTCACCCGTTCTTTATGTATGTATTATAGTATTCTATGGTCACTACAGATCACATAATACGTCACACTACTGTATAAATCCCGACTATGAGGAAAAACCTGCACGATATTAGCCAACCTGCACGTATTTTCGAGTGGTAAAATTACCCTATCTCCTGGAAACAGCGTCAGATGTTCAAGACTTCTGTGGGCCTATTCGTTAACTTTGTTGACATCAAAATTATAGTAACTTTATAGTACATTGCGATTTATCTTTATGAGCCATAGAAACTCTTAAAAAAAAGCTATAGACCATGCAGCTGGTACTGCGAAAACCTAAACGCCTGCCATAATAATAAGGGCGTTAACTTTTTCAGTGTAATATTGGATAAATTTCGTTAAGAGAAGTTAATATGTTCCTAAAATGTTAATGTTAATCTTTATTTCTGTACCATTAGTTATATTTTGTTATTAATTAGATTAAAAATAAAGAAACCAAACCAAGGATGGTATAAAAGTAGAAACAATAAAAAAGAGATAAAATGTGCAAGAAATAAAAAAGCAAACCTCTGTGGTTTGCATTGTTTTGTGTATAAATATAATACTATATAGAAACTGATAAACTATGGAGTGTAGAAGTAAGGAGTACCAACTCCCATAGTAGAATAGTTAGTAAAAGTGGCCATCTGTAAGCAGTAAATAACAGTTCAAAAACTCTCCACAACAGCGCTGGAGTAGCTACTGGGATGAAATGAACTTAGCATTTGTCGACGGTTTAAGTGTGCTGCTAAACTGCTCAGTAGCTCTAAAATCTAAAATAATTTTATTTAGTAAATATAACCTCGAAAAAGTCGTCTATCCCGCTAATATTTTTCGGTGCGTTCTTTAAAGTATACTCCGTAGCTATAGTGGTGCCACCCTTATTTAACGGATTTCTATGGACACACTCCATATGATAAACTTTTATCAAATACTATCTACACAATTAAATGACATTGTGTAACAAAAACTTCACCTCAGTTTCAAGTAGCGGCACCTGGTGAGTTGATTAGCCCTCATTGCGGCGAGTCCTCCCTGCTGTAGGAGAGCCCACGGTCATCACCGTCATTATTACTGCTCAACACAACTCCATAGCTGAACATAGGTTTCTTCATTGGCTGCTCGCATTGCAGTAAAAGTATAGGCTGTAAGGCCAAAATCTTGATCCTCAGAGATACCAAGGCATTATGTGATCAATGGACCGCAATACCCACTTACCGTCTCATGGATTAAAAGTCCATGTGTCTTTTCTATGTTAAAAAATGTCAACACAGCACAGGTGACTTACGACTAAGTCACTTACATTTATCGAATTCCTGCCTCGCTTTCTAGTATACATTTATATTAGATCACATCATTGTCCGTAGGCTACTGTGGTCAGGAAATTTGCAAGCTTATTTGTCACCATAATGTTATAAAAACCATAAAATTTCCTGCAGGTTTACAACAATGGCGGTTACGGGCTTGGTCCCAGGCAAGCAGTACGAGTTCCGCGTATACGCAGAGAACATCTACGGACGCTCGGAGCCAAGCGAGCCTACCACGCTGGTGCAAACCAAGTCCATTATTAAGAAGGAGTTCAAGAAGAAGGAGTACCCAGGTACGTTACTGAAGAATGTATTGTCCACATCCTTCTCAGGGACCACGCTCGACAAAGGTCATTTTCCAAGAAGAACCTTGATTAGATTATTAAGTAGAAATAAAACTGTTTCCTAGATGCCAGATATAAGTACCAGGTAACCACCAGTACCAAGTACTGGCGTAAAAACAGTATGTAAAAATGACTTCTGATCGCTGGCCCATTCTCTTCCCTGAGAATGTAATGGAACAGGGTTGAAATTGTCATGCTACTCCATGTAGATTGAAAAATGTGAGTTAATATTTATTTTTCTTAATATAAGCCAGTGCTTCACTATAATCCCACCGGGGGTAAGTGGTGATGCAGCCGCACATAGTAACTCACGCTTAGGGCAATAAAACTCTATTCACTCTTGCCTTGGAATCATCCATATTGTAATCGGATGGAAAATAGATGCTGGCAAGTTATTCAACTTCTTTGCTGTATGTGTTATGAACGACGAAACAAACCGTTTAGTTCGTAATATCGACATCGAAGGAATGGAGACCCGCCAAATGTTTGGTTGTCCGATGATCGAAAGGAAAGAATAGAATTAAGTCATGTAATTATTGCGCATTCCGAAACGAAAAATCCTATAGAATACTGAGGGCTGGCTGTCTGCTCTGTGCCTGTGCTCAGGGCCAAGATTGGTTCCAACCAAATCAAAGTCACTAACTATAAAGCTCTTAGTACTGCGTAATCTGCATCCTTCCTGCATTTTTACGTGTGTGTGGTGGTGGTGTGGTGAAGCCACGCTGCAGCTGTATTATGCTTGTATCAAGAATGGGTCGGCTTGACCAGGGTAGGGGACCACGCTCTCACAGAATACCAGCGTACAATGGCAGTCTAATGCCTACTGTGATTAATATGGTTAGTGTTGAAAACCGGAGACCCTTTTTACTGGAAACGAGGTATTCTATCTTAGTCCTCAAGCGTGACAATGTATTTGCATTTTGATTCTTAATCGAGGGTAAATGTTGTAGATATGTTGTATTATGTTGTCTATTGGCCACAGTATACACTTACCATCAGCTGAACTATTTGCTCGTTTTTCAACCTTATTATATGAAAAAAAAAACCTGTTGAGCTTATAAATGGGCACAAGCCCAGCAGTGATATATGGGTTTGTGAAACACAGCAATGTATGCGTGTCGTCGCCGATAATTAATCAATTTTTTTCCAGTGGACGAAACTGGCAAGCGAATCCGCACCAACGCCGATCACGGACCAATAAAGGATTACGACAGCTACGTATTCGACGTGTACAGCAAGTACGTGCCGCAGCCTGTCGACATAAACACGTGCTCTGTTTACGACAAGTACGACATACTCGAAGAGATTGGTGAGTACCTACACTGTTGCTATGCATGGTATCGTTACGTAGAATGATTGAGAGCGAGAGATACTGGCCTCTCGCTCGCGCTCACTTCGTCTAGTGAAGTTATATTTAGTTCGGTATTCGATAAAACCCATATGGTTTAGATAGGATGTAGTATTTGATGACTACAAAAGATTTTTTTCACATCCTTTTAGAATAAAATAACTTTTAAAAAAATTACAAAATATTATTCGCTTTAAAATGTCAACTAAGATACTTTACATTTTACTGCACATTTCTTAGTTTACAACTTTATATAGTTATGTTTTAAGAAAATTCACATTATAACCTTTTACTCTGGGATGCTTTCATTTAATACTGTGTTTATATAATACTACTAGGCTTTTGTAGACCTATTACGTTAAAAAATATCGTTATTTAAATTAAGAACGTATCGACCCAATTTATATGAATTGCGGATATTTCTAATTCGAACATTACAACCTCTTATATCATAATATCATTAAGTAAGAACTAACATTTATAATAATATTTTTAGTTATCGAAATAGATCTATGACTTGCACCAATTGTTCTACAAATTACTTTGCAAAAATGCAAAGTAATTTGTTAGCTTTGTTAGTATAAATTATTATATTAGTTACAAATGCAAACGATTTCTTATTTCGCACACAGCCGGTTGGCTGTATGTAATATTTTGAGTCAGTAAAACCAGCATGACAGTAAAAGTAGAACTAAACAAACTCACGAAGTGGCTTGAGAGAAATTTATGATTTGAAAGTTTTGATTTAACACTCGACTAACAAAACTGTAGTATGATTTTGAACCGTATAGTTTTGTACAAAGTGGTGAATTTCGCAGGTGACTTCGTGAGAGCTTCTTCTAAACGGAAACGTCCTGGAGGTCTGTGTGTGAATAGATCGATGTAGTGCATCTTTCTCTGTCTGCATCTCTCTGTCTCACACGCACACTACTTTATAAATAATTATTATAAATTACTACTATTATATTAAGTATTTACATTACAAAGGTGTATTTAGACGAGACGTGTAATATTGAAGATAGAAAAATAACTAAAATTTATGTTTTATATTAAAAATTATTATTATATAAGTTGTTCAATCTGGCATAATAATTGGGAAAACATCGTCTAAATTATACCTTGAAATTATTTATTATTATTATTATTTTTTAGCATGGTACTATGCAATTTTATTTACAATTTCATTAATATACATATATAATGACAGTTTTAATAAATTAGTTGTTATTACAGTATTATATTAAAATATTATATTTTCTTATGGATTCAGTTACATATGCACGATTTTGCTTTTTTTAATCACGTTTTATAAGATAAACATAATAATAACTTTGACTGCAATTTAAAAATTAAAAGTAGAGTAAATGATATTATTAAAATAAATAATTATGTTAAATACTATTTTTAAATTCAGCGTTAACAATAAAAGTTGATTTTCTAAAATAATGTAGAGAAAAGCACGTCACGTAGCTAATTTATAATTAATGCGTAGAAATTGAACACTTACCACTCTAAGCACAGTGAAGTTGAGCGCAAACATGAGGTTCCTTTAACTGTTGTAGGCACAGGTGCGTTCGGCGTGGTACATCGCTGCCGCGAGAGAAGCACCGGCAACTACTTCGCGGCTAAGTTCATACCCGTATCTGGGGCTATGGAGAAGGAACTGATTAAGAAAGAGATTGATATCATGAACCAATTGCATCACAGGAAACTGATTAATCTGCACGATGCATTCGAGGATGATGACGAGATGGTGCTTATATTCGAATTGTGAGTATCACTTTGTAATTTTGCCTTCATATTGATTTATTTTCGAAAATTAATTTCTGTTTATTTTTTATTATTTTTTTTTTGATTATAAAAGAATCGATTATAAGACTAGATTGGATTATAATTGTGACGTCTTGTGTTTGTTATAATTGAGAATTATTATATTTAAAGAAATAATATATTAATTAAAAACAGAAACAATCATTTCAGAAGGTAATACAATTAAAAAGTTATTATATTTTTAAATATTATTTATGACGGTAATTATTACGGGGTAATATTACAAGACAAAGTTTTTAATTTGTCAAAAATTAAAAACTTTTTAAAGTTTTCTTAGTTTTAGGAAGTGCATCAACTAGATTATTATAGCATTAGCTAGATAGTAGGACAGGCGTTTCCTTGCTCAAAAGCAACGTTTCCATTATTCGTATAAGAACGAGACTCCGATTTTAAAACTTCTCTGTGATTCAGTCACAGATTTTTCCAAGCTGCTTGTCTTTGAGGGTTGCACTTTCTTTCTTGTTCCTGTTGTCATACAGTAGTGCATTTACTGTTGTGCAATTTCACTGTTATGGTCGTAAGAGTATAAAGAACCAGTATACATGACTGATTTGATGTAAGGCATTCCATCTTATTTTCTTGGTAACAATGTACGTGTCACCGAGAGAAGAAAGAGCCTTTTGTGTGATATCTATAAGCCACATCATCCACTTACTATCAGGTGGACTGTGTGCTCGACCTGTAGCTGTGTTAACGTGGTAGAGCCACGCTGCAGCTAGCTTATAGTTGTAGCATGAATGGGTCAACTTGAACCGGGGCGGGACCACGCTCTCACAGAGTACCAGTGTATAACAGTAGCGTAATGCTGCTGTGTTTCGTATGGTGAGTTTAGAGAACCGGAGACCCTTTTTACTGGAATCGAGGCATTCCATCTTAGTCCTCAGGGGTAACAACGCGTTTGCATTTTGATTCCTAATTGAGGGCAAATTGGATTGTCTTTGGGCCACAGCATCCACTTACTATCAAGTGGACTGTGTGCTCGTTTGTCAACCAATGCTATAAAAAAAGTTGCAGATTTCAGTCGGTTTCATTTGCAGTCATGAAGCATCAGGTATTCTGACAGCATGTTTGTCATTTTAACGTTATAATAAAGATGTGACCATTGATCCAACCCCATATATATATAAAAAAAAAAAAAAAAAAAAAATAAATATTTTGTTATTGTTCTAACGAGAGTATTGCTATATCGCAGCCTCTCCGGTGGAGAACTGTTCGAGCGCATCACGGAGCCGGGCTACAGCATGAGCGAGGCCGAGGCTGCGCACTACATGCGCCAGATCTGCGAGGGAGTGAAACACATGCACGAGCAGAACATCATACATCTAGACCTCAAGCCCGAGAACGTCATGTGCCAGACACGCACCGGCACCGACGTCAAGGTTAGTCCGGTCACTCGGTAACTCATTCGCTCACTTGGTAATGTTATTCAGGTTAAATTGTTTGTTCTTATAAGCTTGAATTTGATTACGACAATAACTTTCGCCTATTCGCGCACCGGCACTTACGTCAAAAACAGCTCGCGCGTAGTCACTCAAACATTTATATAATCTCTTATGTTTGAACTGCTACCCTTTTAAATACATAACAGCTTTGAAACGGTAAAATTGCAAGGCTTTTCTCCACAGTTAATAATCATCACTACCTTCGAATTAGTGATCGAAGGAATAAAGTTTTTCACACATTTGAAAGTGAGTATATGTTTCACGTATATAGCAATACTGTCATCTACCGGAATGTGATGGGATCATCCTATCATTGCGTGACGAGAATTGTGTTTAATTTTCTTACGCCGCAAACATATTGCGTATTTTGGATACAAAGCGCATTTGTCGACCGCCTGACCTATACTGGAAATCTGGCTACTACTGGAATGGTATTCAGTACGAATCAGAGCCAACGATAATATTATTTGTTTAAAAAATAAACTTTTCATAAAAAAATCAAAGCTGATTTCAAACAACTAAAAAAGATAAAATAGTTTCAAATTTCAAATCGGTGCTCAGACATATAGAGACTTTACCAAATTAAAAGCCCCGACTTCAGATTCAGTTACTTTATTTTGGAGTTTATGAGAACAAATAAGCGACTGTAATGCAAAATGCTAATCTTAACGTACAGAGTAGTTATGATTTGCATTTATTTACGTGTTACGTTTTCACAGATCATCGACTTTGGCCTGGCTACAAAGTTGGATCCCAACGAAGTGGTCAAGATATCCACTGGTACAGCCGAGTTCGCCGCACCCGAAATAGTTGAGCGCGAACCTGTCGGCTTCTACACAGACATGTGGGCTGTGGGCGTGCTCGCATACGTGCTGTAAGTAAAACCTCTTTATCATCCCACGGCTGGGAATGGACATTTTACTATAGTAAAGTTGAATTAGATTAGGGGTAAAACTTAGTCGTAGTAATATGCATAATATGTAATTATGCCAGCCAAAGAGTATTTATTCGGTATATGAAGTTATAGATAGTGTGATTGGTATCAGGCAACCTATTTTTTTTTATAAAAGTCCATTAAATTACAATTTTAATACTACGTACTTTCTGTAGTGTTTTCAGTAACACCAATTTTATTCTTCAATATTTAATTTACCAGTTGTTGTCATCACAGACACATCATAACCCCTTCATCCTGCAACATGCCTCCCCAGATGCCACAAAGCACGGGCCTGAGCCACCTGCATCCATCGACTTCCTGCACACTTACAAGCTCGTCACTCCATCTAGTGGGGGGTCGCCCTACACTTCGCCTACCGGTACGAGGCTGCCACTCGAGAACCTTTTTTCCCCAACGGTTGTCGGTTGTTCGAGCTATATGGCCGGCCCATTGCCACTTCAGCTTACTAATTCAATAGCAAAAGCAACGTTGGACTATGTCGGTCACTCTGGTTCTATTGCGTATATCCTCATTTCTAAATTTATCACGAAGAGAAACTCCGAGCATAGCCCTCTCCATAGCTCGCTGAGCGACTTTGAGCGTCGTCATACGGCCAGCAGTGAAGGACCACGTCTCGGTTCCGTAGGTCATCACTGGCAACACGCACTGGTTGTACAACTTAGTTTTCAGGTTTTGAAGTATACCTGACGAGAAGATGCGTCGTAATTTCCCAAACGCTGCCCAGCCGAGTTGAATCCGTCGATTGACCTCTCGGTCGAAGTTGGACTTACCTAGCCGGACTATTTGTCCCAGATAAACGTACTCGTCAACAACGTCGAGCTTAGTGCTCCCAACCATTACGGGCATAGGTGTGACATGGACATTAAACATGATCTTTGTTTTGTCCATGTTCATCTTAAGACCTATCCGTTGGGAGGCACTATTGAGGTCATTGAGCATAGTGCTTAAGTCCTCCAGCGATTCTGTTCCACCCAGTTAGGTGTTAGGATAAATAAATAGGGATAAATGAAAAACGACCATTATATGTCGTGCTTCAGTGTAATTTTACTAAATTTTATCGTTAATCTTAATAGTAGCTCACCACCATTATTACGTAACTACATAAATTGAACTTATTATTTTTACCAGTGTCTTAAACGATCGTTTTTTAGTATTTTACAATAATATACAAGTGATAAGGTTATTTGACTATAAAAACTATGACGTCATTATACTACATTCTCATACAATTTCAAAGAAATATTTGTTTTGACAATTTGTAATAAGTATTTCAACTGACTAAACTAATTACTAGTGTCACATACCCAATCATCGAGAAGCTGTTATCACGTATGCAATTTTTCAGATTGTCCGGATTGTCACCATTTGCGGGCAACAATGATATCGAGACGCTCAAGAATGTGAAGGCTTGCGACTGGGAGTTCGATGAGGAGGCCTTCCAACACGTTTCAGACGACGCCAAAGACTTTATTCGCAGGCTGCTTGTTAAGAACAAGGAGTAAGTTTGGAGTAACTTTTACGTAATAATCTAATGATACTTTCCGTATTAATGTGTAATGAGCATTTACAAGAATGTAGAGAATATAAATAGTTTAAAGTGCGAACATACACTTTGAATGTTCTTGTTAAAGTGTAATTAGAAGTACAAATGTGTATGTATATATATATATATATATATATATATATATATATATATATATATATGTGTGTGTGTGTGTGTGTGTGTATGTGTATATACAACATGTAACATAATTAAGGCACCTTGAGAAAGTACTTTGTTCAGAATCGTCTACTGAATCATTTTTATTATAGGTAATTTTTTATCCCAAAAATAATTAAAACTACGTAAATTACGGTCACACTAAATCTGTACAATCAGTAAAATAAAAACTGAAATGGACCGTATATTAAGGCAATAAGACTATCAAGAGTGCAGTTTTATTTGTATTATTACTAATTCTGTCATTCAATAAAAATAAAGAAAAATGAACTTTATTTCAAGCACGTTAAAGAACTTTGCGTTCGTGGATTTGTACGGTGACCACAACATTCTTCCGGAATTAGTATAACTAATTTGATAAATAATCATTGCATAAAAATGTTTAACTAAAAATTCAGTGTATGTATTATGATTATAACTAGTGATGCAACAGAACTCTGTTTCTGTTTCCGCAACTGCGGAAGTTCTGTATGGTTTTTAACATCCGTTTCTGCTTTTGTTTCCCCAAGTTTTATAACGGAAGTTTGAACGGAACTCAGCGACGCATCCACATAAATAGATTCATTGTATTTTTAGTTAATTAGTGATTTAAGTCGTGTGTGTAATTTAATTGCAATCATGAAGCCAAAAACAAGTTTTTACCCCGTGTGGACTCGACTTACTCGGGAAAAGGCTACACACAACTACCGCTTTAAAGAGCCATCTTAAACGCCAAAAAGTTTGCTGAGTTTTAGAAGTCAGTTGAAACTGTAAAACTTTTATCGCAAACTAAAAAACAAATGATCAGTCAAGGAATTGCATATCTATTTATTTATAAAATGTATTCCTATGTTATAGTTAAAACCAAATTTTAGTTAAAACGTGTTTTCTCCAGTTAAAAATAGTTTTTAATAAATGCCTTTGTTATAACTTAGATTTGCAAATTAATTAGGTAGTAGTTTTGTTTGCGTGAAGTTTATATTATTTATTTTTTACTTGAAGTATAAATTAATTATTTTTATTGATTAAAACTACTTTTACGGATTTTATCGCGTTTATTTATGTTATTTTTAATACCCGACATTTCGGGTGCTTTCCAGCACCCATGGTCACGGTAAAAAATAATTATTTTTTAAGAAACTTTAATGAGTATTTTGGATTCAAAGTTTATTTACGTCGTACTTTCGTGCTAGGGCTTTACTAAATTAACTACTCGCTAAACCTAAATGTGGCTCTTTAAAGGGTTTGCCCAAATTTCAGTGCCTATTTAGCTTTGGTGTATAGGTGTCCCCAGTGAGCAATAATTGCTATAGCAATAATTATTATTTTTCGGAGCTGGACTTATATATGAAGAACACTGGAACAGATTGTTAGGAGTAAAAGTGGCTGAACTACTTTTCATAAAATATAACTTACCGCTACTTAATTTTGAATGTTAACTAAAAGTTTTATTTGTAATTTTTTAATAAGTATTATTTCCGTTTCCGCATCCGTTTCTGTTTCCGTTTCTGCAAAAAAATATTTTTAACCTCTGTTTCCGTTTCTGCTTCCGATACGACACTTCCGTTGCATCACTAATTATAACATAATATAGGCCGGCTGGAAGAAATTTCTTTATGGAATAAGCAGTGCCTTTGTACATAATTATGTTTTTACCATTTTCCTATCAAAGTATGTGTGTACATAAACTGTTAAATAAAATAAAATAAAAAAATACACGTGTTTTTCTAATTGATTGTAACTTGTTGGTGCGCAGGAAGCGCATGACTGCGCACGAGTGCCTGGCGCACGCGTGGCTGGGCGGCGGCTCAGCCTCGCGCACCGCGCCCCTCCCCGCTCACCGCTACGAGCTCATGCGGGACCGCCTGCGCGCCAGATACCAGGTAACCCAATATGCACCTTATTACACACTCGTTAACGTTTATATTTCTTCGTTGTCACTTTTAGATTAAACATTTACACAATTGAAATGTTATTATTGTGTACGGAGTGAAACTTCTTTGCAACATATCATTCTTATTTTATTGTATATTTTACATAAATAGGTTAAATAATAGATAAATATATTAATAAATGATATTACATGATTATACATGCAGCCATGGCGGTGAAATGTTACAAGAAAATGTGACTTTTCTTTAATACCATGCTAAATAATATGCAAATTTTCTTGGGTTTGGAATGTTTTTCTAATCGGTTAACGATTTATAAGTGAAATGAGTTTTTAAATGTAGTATATAAATAAATAATCATAATAATATATATCTACAATTATTAATTTCTATGTAATGTAGTAAATGTATAAATTTGTCTAAATAAATATTATATAATGTAGAATATTATTCTAGTTGTAATTTTTCTAAACCGGATACGGTAGTATGTATGTCAACAATTCTATAGTTTCAACATCTGTAATTACAATATACTAAGAAATAAACAATATTCTATTCTATTTCGAGTACATGAAGAAGTTTCACTTCTAAAAACTCAAAAAATATTTTTACACGACACTAATATTTACGCCACGTTATATATTATACACAATAATAGGTAATACAATACCATAGATATTGTGTCTTGTGCTGGTATAGTAATTTCACAAGTCCCAGAAAACGTACTAATTCTGATTATTAAAAACTACTTACTGACGATTTTGTTGAAAATGGACTTAATGGAAAAGTTTTACAGGTTTTAAAGATTACATAATGGTAAAAAATACATGATTGATATTGCTCCCTGGGCATTAAGTAAAAACTATTATACATTAACCTTATCCGCTATAATTTACGGGTTATATTTAAAAACTCATTCAATTTATCCAAAGTCCCAAAAATATTGAAATTCTATTAATCAAAAAATTTATTAGTTTTTATTAAACTAATTGAATAAACAGAGTATTAGCTGTAATTTATGGGTTATATTTAAAAATTTATTCTATTTATCCAAAGTCACAAAAATATGGAATATTTTATTAATCAAAAATTTGAATGTTTTTATTAAACAAAAATTGTATAAAAAGAGTTGTAAATTAAGTTAAAGAAATCTATTCACTTGGAATGTACACAAAAAAAACTTAACCGTCAATATAAAAGAAGAATTTTTATCATAATAATATCAGCCCATTTCTTTAAAATGTAAAAAAATATCTTCTAAAGGACATATTTTCCACAGAACTGGTCGTCATTCGTACTGCCCATCGGCAGGCTAAGCGAGTACAGCTCACTGCGCAAGTTGCTCATCGAGAAGTGGAAGATCTACGATGGACAGTTCGGTAAGATCCAATATTTACATATTATAAACTTTTTTTGATTGTTTCTCTTCTCAACTTCTAAATTCAACATTTGACTGTTTAATTTTGTAATAAATACTTAGTTCTTGTCAATGTATTTAGAGACCTTTTTTTAACCAAATTTTGTTTAATTACAACTTTTACACATTACAAAGTATACCTAATGTCGTAGGCATTATGGTTTAATATATATGCAAAAGAAAAACAAACTTAATTTGTTATCTTCTGTCTCTGTCTAGACCGTCGCCAAGCTGCACCACGCTTCGTAATCAAACCTCAGTCCGCGTTCTGCTACGAGGGCCAGTCAGTGAAGCTGTACTGCCGCATTGTGGCCTGCGCTACTCCTACAGTGACGTGGTCGAGGAACAACAGGGAGTTACGACAATCCGTCAAGTTTATGAAGAGGTGAGTTTATAAACAAATAATACTTAAACCCTAGTCTGCCTTAATTGGTTAATTAACACCAGCATTAATAATTAACTACATTTTTTTTAAGTAATTAAACAGTGGCATAAAAAGTGGCCTGTTTTCCATTTCAAGTTCGATTTTAAATTTATATTATTATTTTTAGTATTTAAAATATATAAATAAGATTATTTGTCTATAAAAACTATTACGTTATTACATTGTATTCTCATACAATTTCTATAGAAATGCTTGATTTAAAAAGTTTAAATAGAATTTCCGCTAACTAGAACGTCAAATACCTAGTTGTGGTATATCAAACGGTGGTTCTACTTGCGTAAGATGTCCCGTCATTTCTTTCTATATTGTCTAGTTAACTACTGGATGAGATTGGGGCAGTATGTGACTTTACTATATACCACCGGCTACATGGCGTAGAGTTTTAAACAGTCAGTTATGCCTGGTAGATCTACGATAAAGCTATATTATGGTTATAGCAAGAATGGGTCGGCTCGACCGCAGAAGGACCAAACTCTTACAGAAAAACATCGTAAAATAGCAGCTTAATACTGCTGTGTTTCGTATGGCGAGTGTAGAGAACCGGAGACCCTTTTTTTACTGGAAACGAGGCATTCCTTCTTAGTCCTCAGGGATGACAACGCATCTGCGTTTTGATTCTTAATCGAGGATAAGTGTAGATGTCTATGGGCCACAGAATCCACTTACCATCAGGTAGACTGTGTGCTCGTTTGACACCCTTAATCCATAAAAAAGGAAATGGTCTATTGCAGAACATCTGTCTCCCATTGTAGACTCTGTCTTCATTATTTCTCCAAGCAACACGCTTATTAGTGACTGCGTATTTTATACTTTGCTTGTTTAAACTCCATGTAAAATTAGCTGTGTTGTTGCTACGGAAGAGGTTCTCTTTATTTTTATATTTCGTCTTATGGGAAAACGCAATTATGGGAAATCCCAGAAAGAACTCTACTTTCAATAGATAGCGGTATAATTATATATACCTAGTACCTAACTGTCCGTAAAGTTGCTAGAGGTCTGTATTCGTACTGTGCGCCAATCCGTCTGTCTAGCGTGGTACTAAGGCAAATCCTGTCAGCGGAAGTAGCCTATGCCCAATGTGGACTTCTGTGATGTGGTCTGATGATGATGATAGACAGTTACATAATCAAGAGTCAAATCAAAATATTTTTAATTTAAATTGGCCTTTGCTTTAATTTCTGAAAGTCTAACTAAATTACGCCATCGCTTCAATAATTCTCTTTTGCGGGAGATCTTGAGAGAAGAAACGGCGGGGAAATGATAAGTAACAAGTAATATTCTATTTCCTTTTATAAAATGTAATAATACAATTTCAATTTATAAAATGCATATACACAAATCAAGTAAATCTAAGAATGTGCAAATGTTTCTTAATGATAAATTATATATTTAACTTACTGTGCCCCGCGACTTCGCCCGCGTGTAATTTATTACGATTGGATTTTATGTTGTTTATTTTTTTTACGCAGAACCATAGTTCTTTTTCAAAAATAAACGTAGCCTAAGTTACTGCATATAATATCAGCTTTCTGCCAGTGAAAGTCCCGTCAATATCGGTCCCGACATTTCGGAGATTCGCCGGAACAAATAGACACACAGACAAAACTTTTAAAAATTGTTGTCGTTTTAAGTACCGTATATACTTAAAAAAAGGAAAAAGCTGTTATTTTGCCGTTACAAACAGATACTTCAATTTAATTTAATAAGCAGTATTACATTTGGCATGTTAGAACTATTACTTATTCTGTGTTTTTGCCATGAGTAAAAGGTATAAAACTGGTTTATAGTGATTTCTATATTATTTCACAAAATCGAATCTTCAATTTCGAATCCCTTTCTTTACTGAATAAAGTTAAAATTTCTTTGGAGTTATTGACAGAATTTTACGGAAATAGTGATAGTTAACTTAGTGGTAGTTTAACGTACGTTAGGACAAACTTAAGCAGATAATATAGTTTGGCTTTTATTGTAATTATTGTAGATCTTTAACAATCTTGAAATAATTTTACTTAGTATTTGAGGACGAAAAATTCTAACATGATGAAATACAGTAATCACCATCATTATAGCCTATAGAAAGTCTATGATTAAACATATTATCCATAGGATTATCCTATAGATTGCTTTAGAAATAATTCGGAAATTAACCATAGTAACTTGAAAAAGCTGAGTAATAAATGTAACCTATAGAAGCATATACAATTTGACTTTTGTTTGTGCAGGTACACTGGCAACGATTACTACTTCATCATCAACCGCACGAAGTTGGAGGACCGCGGTGAATATATCATTCGCGCGGAGAACCACTACGGCTTCCGCGAGGAAGTCGTCTTCCTCAACGTGCAACGTGAGTAACCGGCTTTATATCATCTCCATTTGTTTATTATATGTTTAAACATTGTGCCGTATGTCCTCTTAGTTCTCAAGGGTGATAACACATCTGTAGCTGTTTTTGTTTGAAGTTGATGCAAGTGTCTATCTGCTATCGTAGCCTTTTACCATGTGGTTGATTTTTAGTTAATTTTTTATTTTGACAAAAAATACTGATCACCTATTAAAAATATTTTGTTCAATCCAAGACATTTTACGTATAAGATAAAATTGACTCATATAATAATATAAGGTCCCGGGTTCGTTTCCCACCAAGAACAAGTGTTTGTATGACTACAAATAATTGTTCCAGCTCTGTAGGTTTATTTTTGTGCAATTCAGGCTCGTTAAAAGCCGAGAAAGTCCTAATATGGCTTCCTTATACAAAAATATTAGAACAATGAAGGTTCTGGTAAACTATACACGATTAAATTTAAAATATTAAAATTATATTTAATAAAATATATAAAAGTGTGTCATCACTCAACCAACACTTATGAAGGTAAAAAAAAAAAAAAAAAAAAAAACCCTAAAAAAAAAAAAAAAAAAAAAAAAAAAAAAAATAAAAAAAAAAAAAAAAATATAAAATAAAAAAAAAAAAAAAAAAAAAACATGCGCAGGAATTTCATGACTTACACGATTTAGGAAGTGAGATATCCCTCCCCTCACAATATGACAGACCAGGCGCTCGCCGAGTTCCGCCGGTTCCGTTCCCTTTATTGTCAAATTTTTATAGACTCGAACTAAAAGATTAGCTGTGTGTTTCGTATGATACGTACAGCAAGAGTGGATAATTTACCAGTGTCTGTCATTCCGTATGGAATTTTAAGGCAAGAGTTAAGCGCCCATTACATTATCCAATTTGCAGAGCGCTAGATTTAGTGCTGCAGCGAACTATAAAAAGAGCTCACTCATTACACTAGACTAACTAGCGAAGCTAGTTAGTTTAATTTCCTTTCATTTCTGTAGTGATCGTCGTCCAAACCGCATCTTTCAAAAAGCGCCAAACGAATATGGTACTTTAAAACCACCAGAAAGTTGGCGTTGCTTTAGCAATGGTGTCAAGTTTAATGATAATTAATTTAAAAAAAAAAACGGAAAAAATGTTGGGTGAAAGAATATTTATTGCTGAGACAAAAACTGTCAAATATTACGTTAGTACTCTTATTAGTTTGTAGTCAAATATGAACAATGTGAATCCTTTGTAAAGTTCGAGAAGCACTTTGTTTCCATCATTTCTTATATCTTTGTTTTTATAATCCTTATGTTTTTTATCCCAAAGAAATGGCATGTTTTGTATAATTCATTTAAGAGCACTTCCTTTTCCTTCGTCGATGGTTGCGTCACGTAACTTTGATCATATACCAAAAATACGTCCTATTCGAGCGCACGCCGACTACTGACTGACCTAGCAAAGCTAGTGTTTAGCACGCTAGAACGCTTTACACCGTGCTATTTAGTGCGCTAGCTAGTGTACGATATGAGCTAGCGCGGCAGAGTCCATGCAATCGCACTAGATTGGATCACTAGCTGTCTAACTGCCTTTACACAATACAAATTTAGTACGCTAGTTCACCTAGCGCTCTGCAAATTGGATAATGTAATGGGCGCTTTGATATGCTTCTGTTACGCTAAGACAGTCTGATTATACCATTTCGGGCTACATCACCACCTTTCACCGCGTGAAATTGTAGTATTACTACGATAATACTAACGACCTGCCCTGGCTTCGCACCGGTGATTTTAACAATACCTACCGGGTCCAACTATAGGTAATAACCATCCAAACGAGCCCATATTACCCCATAAATATTCCATCAAGATCGGTTAAACTGTTTAGGAGGAGAAGAATTACAAACACGTACATCGGAATTTTATATAAAAGGATGTATAGGTTCTCGGTACCTCATTCATTGTGTCACAATATTCAAATTATAATATAGTTTAACCGTAATTTTGTCTGTTCATGTACAAATCCATATCTTAAACTTAAAATAGGTTCGTGGTATCATTTTGTGTAACTGAGAATATCCGCTTGCTCAGCGTGAATTATTAAGTGTCCGCCTGATCTCCGTAGACAACAATTGAGCGATAAATTAACTTGCAGAAATATTTATAGCCGTTGCGGCCAATAAATGTCACATCAAACGACACCTCTTGCAAACTTATACGTGTACTTGTTAGCACCTAATAGTAACGTATGTTATGTAATACTAAATTAGCTATCTATTTTTCTATATACTTATTTATAATCGCATATTTGTGAGTAGAAAGGTAATGATAGCCCAATATATTCAGTATTTTTTGTATAGTAAAAATATTAATCTGAATAACGACAGGTACTAACACACAACTTTATTTTTAAAATGCAAGAGAAATAACTAGAGATGCCGCAAATACTCGCTATTATTCGGTATTCGGCATTACTCGGCAATTTTTTGTTACTCGTCGAATAGCGAGTAATAGTGTTCATTATTCTAATTCGACGAATAGTTATATAAATAAAATAACTTATATTAAATGGTCAGAAAAACAATAGACATACTCAAAATAATTACTTGTATTTATCTTTTAAAGAAAACACACTTAGTATTAGTATATAATTATAAAAAAAAAAAAAATAAAATATAAGTGTTAATATATAACATCATTAAAAATATAAAAGTTAGCAAAAATTAGTCATGTTGAAGTTAATAAGGCTTTTTAATTAATATTCAAAGTCTAAAAGAGGTAGATTGTGGTCACGTCTGGGATCGAGTCGGTTGCATTTTTTTCGTAAATCAAACTCCGGAAGAGCCTCAGGAAATAGTCTTCTGAATAAACAGAGATTGCGGTGTGACTTAGTATATTTTAGCAAGCTTACATAAAATTGGGAATCGATTCTCATTGGTACTCAAAGATCACCATACATTTATGGGTTTATACTTCTGTCAGCCTTTGCTAACCTGTAGTTAACAACTTCATCAGCAATGGCATTATTGGGTTGCTCTTTATTAGGCTGCTTTGTTCTCGTAGATTTAGATTCATCGAAATGTGAAAAACGAAACCACCCCTTTCATTGTCTAAGCGAGATCGTTTGGATGCCATTTCTTACACAAAATGAGGTTATTCCCCGTAAAATATGTTAAGTACAACAAAAGGGTTGCCATGATAATAGTAATAATCTTAGACTTTTTTAGATTACAGTAACATTTAAATGATAGGTAAGTTCTAGAGACTACTAAAAGAGTAATATTACTATTTGATAACAAATAAATTATTTTGTATAATCCTTTTTTTTTATGTCGATAATAATAGCTAGTATTCGACTATTCGCCATGAAGAATGGCGAGTAATCGATATTCGACTATTCGTCATTAAAACTATTCGCGGCATCTCTGGTAATAACGTCCTTTTTAATGGTTGGTATATTTTGACGTTCGTAATACTTACGACTTAGTTTTTATTTATATTAGGTATTCGTAATACTTAGTTAAAAAAAAAACAATTTCAATTATGCCTTCAATTAAAATTAGTCTTTCAATCCTACTAGTGAGATAACGAAAAAACTCTGGTGACTGACAAATGTTAGTACAGTACACCTGCAGCCAACTTCAAATAAAGCTACAAAAGCGTGAGGTTTAAAATTGTATGGCTCATATTCTGTTATTATACTGGCTCTCAATACTCTTCACACTGTAATACAGCAGTATAAAATATGTGCTAGCGTACTCGTAGTTTTGTCGGTGTTATTGTGGAAAAGTCCTCGGAAGCTCAAACCGTATTTTTGAATTATTGATTTCAGCGAATTATCTTTGTTCTGAATAAACTATGTCGCGGACATCAAATTAAAATAGTTACACTTATTTATTCTAACACCCTTCAAATAAATTATAAGGATACTATTAGTAAATTATATTGTAGTAAAAGTAATTAAGGTCAAGTTTTGTTACTAAGTGTCGTAGAAAATTAATTATAGGTTACCATGGAATTGGGGTATAAATGCAGGTAACAGATATAACGTGCGTTTAAATAATAATATTATAATATAGGTACGCTGTGACCACAGCAATGTGTGACTTTAATTCAGATACTGTGAAGTGGTTTCTTTTTAGTTTACTTACTGGTTATTCTTTAAAATAGAACGCAATTCACTATATTCTCATCCCATTTTTCGACACTGTTTGCAAATAAAAATATATTTCGTGTACACGTTTTCTGTTCAACAACAAAAATTGTTATTTGAATGTTGTTGCTTTTAAAACTTAATGTCCGAGTTTAAATGAATAACAAAATTAATAATAATAATAACAATCATTCGTGAAAGCTGTTAAATCTCTAGGCGCTGTTATGTTTTCTGATCACGTGGTGAAAGTACTGAGAGCATCTTACCTCGAAATCGCCAGTACTCACAGTACAAAAATGGCGGCGATTTATGACTTTATATTATAATTATATTTGCCTAGGATACTGCGGCAGTATACTGACAGTTCGTAACGGAACGAACTTTCTGAACAGTGCTCGCAGTGTATATCGGAACGCAACTAATTATTATTCACAATGAATTGCTGTCACTTTTGACAGCTTTCGTTTTACGTCACCTTTTACGACACCCACGGGATGAAATAGGGTGGTGATTATTGAATTTATAAGTTCATTCAATTGTAAATGATGGATTTTAAATATTATTGTTTCCTTTCCCAATAGCGGTACCACGCGTCCAACGCCAACCACAGGCTGAAGCGCCACGTCGCCGTGAAGCGCTGCCGTACACGTTCTGGCAGGAGTCGAGCGAGACCGCGCCTGCGTTCACGTTCCAGCTGCGGCCGCGTGTCATGCAGGCCCGGGACACCTGCAAACTGCTCTGCTGTCTCAGCGGAAAGCCCACACCTACTGTCAAGTGGTTAGTATACTTATAAAAAAAACAGTTTTAGCTATGTCGTATCGTCATATAATTATATGTATTGTGTGCATTTTGGTATAGGTATGTATAAAATACGAGTCGTGTTAGCTTATATAAATTTTACAGAACGAGTGCAAACCGAGATATTCCTGCGGGGAATAATATTATTATTGCAATTTTAATTACTTATTTATCACGTGCTCGGCGGTGAAGGAAAACGACGTGAGAAAACCTGCATTTCTAAAGATATTACATTTTGAAGACATGTGAAGTACGCCAACACGCACTGAAGCAACGCGAGGGGTTAATTGCTTCATAACCCTGACAAAATAAGAACCAACTTTTAATGTAAATGAGCTATAGTAGTTAGTTAAGTAATTAATTAGTTATTATACTTTAAAAATTAGTAATATAATGTTCAAATTTTACGCAAAAATAAAATGGAAAAAAGTAACTCTACAGTTTCTTGACGGTTTTCTTTTGGAGATATTAGTTATAGTGTTACTAGTTGATGTTTGAATTTCGTTATTTGAGTTTTAGACGACAGCCATCGCATACACATACAATTTGGGCCTTCTTTGAAGTCAAGAAAATTTTATTTTTATACTGCTAATTGTTAAAATTATGTTTAGAAGTCTTTCGAAAAATTTGTAGGAACTTAAGTACTGCGATGGTGTAGCCTGTTTATTGCTAATGTAGTTTTAGACAACATGAACAATTTAATTGAAATTTAATCTTAAGCAATCGGGTAGTTCATACTTCTTATTTTGGAAAATGTCCACTAAGTTCTGTAAGGAGATCATTTCTTCCTGCCCTTATCCCATGTTATTTTGGGTCGACATAGCATGTTTTTCTCTTCGGCTCTGCTCATAAAGAATATTTTCTCCCAGGTATAAGGATAAGAGAGAGCTCTCTAAATACGACTACACGATGAGCCACTCGGATGGTGTGGTGACCATGGAGATAATCGACTGCAGACCTGAGGACAGTGGCAAATACACGTGTGTCGCCACCAACGTGCACGGCACTGACGAGACCTCGTGTGTCGTCATCGTTGAAGGTCAGTTCGCGAATATGCACTCTATTCAATAAGTTATTAGGTTCACTTTTGTACTACGCTGTAAGAAACTAATATGTTAAATTACTTTGCAATATTGGGGCTAAAACTTGATAGTTTCAGATCTTTAGTTTGTAAGTTACATTAACAATAACAGTTATAATTAAGTTTTACTATAAGGCTGTATAACTACAATTTGTGAGGCATTTTTTTCTTATACCTTAGGCACCATGTAGTGGTGGTGTAAGAAGGCGCTACCCCACATCATCCTGTGGGTGTCGTAAGCGGCGACAGAGGGAAATAAATCAGAGAAGGGCAGCAGCTTCTTCCTAATATCAACTATGACAAATATTCCCCCTTTTAGGCAACCTATGTTCAGCAGTGAACTTTAATAGGCTGTTACCGTGACAAGTGATCTGTAACTGTGTTGGCTGCAAGTGTTAATGAGTTGTCGTAGCCATTTACTAAACTAGACTACTAGATTGCCTCATAGGAGAATACTTTTTTTATAGAATAAGCCCACAGTAGACATGTGTCGATCATGCATGATTCGTTCGTTTGAGCTGGTACACTTAAAAGTATTGATGGTTCATTCATTTGTTTTTGAATGTACCAGTACAACCAATCATAAACAAATGACGGTACCTTTTTAACCCGCGATTCGTTTGGATTGTGAATGAGCCGCAAACCGACCGAATCCCGAATGATCTGAATAAACAGGCGAATCGAATTAACAATGCAGACTGCAGAGCATAGAGTAGAGTAATATATACACAGAACATTTACTACACACATTACACATTACTCCTAGCGGAGAATATATACAGAAACTGCAGAGTATCAGGAGTATTTATTATTTTAGGTTTTTTTTTCTATATGTTGTTACCTAAATTAAAAATCATTTTACATTTAAATCTATGAGTTAAAAATATCGTTTTGTAGAGTTTACTAAAAATAACACTTCAAAAGATTTTATGATAAATGACTTATTTAATGATAATTTTCAACCATCTTATATAAGTATAAGTTAGGTAAAAGTTTAATTTCATAGCAAATAAATGTTTCAATCCCTATTTTCAGACATGTAAAGTAAGATGAAATTGTGTATGTTCAGACTCACAGAGTGTTAGGAGTGAAATTTAACATTAAGCATATTTATTAAATATTTAAAATATATGATAACTTGAGGTTTTTGTGTTTATGTCATCTAGCGTCGATTGTCCTTACCACCTTGAAAGTTAATAAGTTTAATTCGATAAAATGACTTTATTACCTACATCATGTAGTAGATGGCGCTATTACAAATCTTAAATTTTCGGTTCCCAATAGATCTCACAGACTCACAGAGTACTGGAGCCTGAAATGATCCATTTGAATGATCGATCCGAATGTACCAGTACGCGTGACGAAATGTACTAGAATGATTCGGTCGCTAGAAATGAGTGATTTACACATGTCTAGCCCACAGCCCACCTGATGGTAATTGGATGCTGTGCCCATAGACATCTACATTTATCCTCGATTAAGAATCAAAACGCAATGCGTTGGCACCCCTGTGGACTGAGATGGATGATTCGTTTCCAGTAAAACGGGTCTCCGGAACTCTACACTCATCGTACGAAACACATCAGTATTATATAAGCTGCTATTTATACTGGTATTCTGTGATAATGGATATTTTCCATAGTTGCCGCACCTGTTAGAAGGATTGGCAAACGCAGTTTTTTTTTAAATTTCGTGGCTGTTATTAGAAAGACACTACATACCCATCTATTATCTGTGGTTTATTTCCCCTATATTGCCTGTTACGACACCTTCGAAACGATATGGGGCAGTGAATATTCTTACACAGTCTCTACACGGTCAAATAGTATTGAAAAGTAAAATTTTCACCACAAGTATTGGCAGTTATTTATTATTATCGAACAGCTATAAAAAGATGGTATTAAAATCTATTTCCACCAATAATTCCTTGTTTTTATATTACATTTGCAGGCGAGGTGATAAGTCCCGAGCAGGCTCAACTTGCCCATAACTTCTTACATTCGGGCGACCGCCGATACATCGAGAAACCACTTAAACCTGCGCCACCACCTATCATTACCAAAACAAAGGTAAATATTATTACCATTGACAAGTATTGCCTCCAAATTATGCAATTGCATACATTGGACTTTACTAAATACGATTAAAGTCAATTTTGGTCCTCGAAGCCGGATATAAACAATGAAGAAAAGTACCACGAATATTTTATGTTATAATATTGGTAGTCGAGTAAGAAAAAACACTAAATAAATTGTATAGAATAGTGTGGCATTTATACCATAAATTTCGTAAGAGTTAATTAAAAAAGTGCCTAAAAAGCTCTTGGCCCCGACAGATTGTGGTAGCCATTGCTGCTAGTATTTACTAGATGTAAAATATTCATACCAGTTTGATGAGGAATACATAATTTATTATTATTGATTTTATTTTTGCTATAATGATTTCTTAAGTTCACGCAAAAAATACTACACATGGGATTACAAATAATTTTACGTAATTCATCGCGTTTCTTTTTAATCTTCTTAATTCCCAACGTTCCGGGCATTTTACAGCATTCATAGTCACGGTGTGGAGCGCAAACTGAGGGTTTTGACTTCCTTATGTCATAGTTAACGCGAGGGCTTCTTTCAACTTTTAAATATCTACTTCATTTTTTTTTTGTTCGAAATATATAATTTTATTTAAATCTGCAGGTGACAATAGACCCGCCGAGCAGGAGTCAACAGCCTAGACCAAAGTACTCGCCACAGAGCTCCTTAGAGCCTGGTAAGAAGAAATACGGCGCCAAGCTGGACTCTGATTCTGCGTCGTCTAGGTCACGAAGTGCTACCAAGGAATTAGTTTGTGAGTAATGATTTACCTACCTTTAGATAGAGGTTTTTAATGCCTTTGGTCAACGTATGATTCATCAGTGTAAATGATAGGTCTTCCTTTCTCTCTATATTTTTTTTATCTTTCTCAGATATTCAATTTTTGAAATCGAATTTATGACTGCTCAATTTAAAATTTTCTATTGGTTTCTGTTTGTTTCATTTAAAACCTATTTTTTTTAATATTCGCCTGAGACGCTGCACAGCTGCTAAGATCTTTGGAAATGTAAGTCACCTGTAACTTCCTTTGCAACTTGCCTATGGTAAGCAATTCTTTTTCAGTGACGTGAAAATTGTGGATAATTATTTTATAACAGCCTGGTTAAAGCTGCCAATGTCTGGTGTTGATTTTTGTTTGATTCTTTTATATTTGCTGGAAGTTCGGAAGACAGTAAGATATTCCTAATTTTTTGTATCGTCTCACTGTAGACTCGGAACATTTTATTGCCACTGCGGTCCGTTTCATACATTGTTTTAAATTATCAACTGTGTTATTATCAGCCTCCTTCTTCATAAAACAATATACGTCATAAATTATTTATCTATGTAAAACCATTTCGTAATCAAAAACTTTTGTGCGCGATGGTATTTTGAGTACGAACGTATAAAACGTACGTTACACGAACTCAGCGCGGAAAGGAAAGGTCGACTGATGAACAAATAGTGCATCGGCAAGCATGCGTCTGGTCTATTTGGTGGTATGAGGTTTGGCGCGTGATTTACCCGTCCCGCGCCGAACCCCATACCACCAAATAGACCGATAAATGCGCAGCTTGACCATCAGCATTCTTTTTACATGACGTGACCTATACTTTGAGGTAGACATGGGTTGTACTTGCAAAATCGAGTACCAGGGCTGTCATGTACGTCCACCTTCAGATACCAGCGCCAAAAACCAGGCTTCGAGAAACTTTCAAGTATTTTCTTTTTGCATCGAAAATTGATCCGTAAGATCATATAAATAAGGAGTACAATCGCATATGCTAAAATAGTAAACTTTCAAGCCTTGTTGGAAGAAAAAATACTCGCATAGAACATAGATCCGTAACTTAATATAAATAAGAAGCAGAATCGCGTTTAAAAAATACTTTCAATTCTTTAAAGTAATTATACCTTGATAGAAAGTTGATCCGTAACGGAATATAAATAAGGAGTACAATCGCGTCTAGTGTTGATAGAGCGAGAATATTCAAATACTTTGAAGTTTTGCGAGTATTTTGGGTTGGAATTTGGTCGGCGTACTTGCAAGTAAATACCTGGTATAAAAACGTGCTCGCATAAATACCTATCTTTCCTACTTTGAGAGCAGTTTAAAAAATCTTCAAAATATTTTGTGCATTGACAATCGCACAAATATTACGAAAATCTCTTTTAAAAGCGAGTTACTGAGATAACGCGTTACTCATGTAGTGACTTAACGAGTTACTTATGTAGCGGGTTACTGATGTAGGAAGTTACTGATGTAGCGAGTTACTGAGGTAACGCGTTACTGATGTAGCGACTTATTGACGTAGCGAGTTACTGATGTAGCAAGTTACTGATGTGGCGAGTTACTAATATAGCGAGTTATTGGTGTATTAAAAAAGAATGTTTAAATATGTTTACGTGTGTGACAGTGCCGGCGTCGGACTCTACGATGTGCGCGCCGTCGTTTGCGCGCGCGCTGCCCGATGCGCTGACGGCGCGCGACGCTGCGCCGCTGCTGCTGTCGTGCAGCGTGCGCGGCGACCCCGACCCGCGCGTCGAGTGGTACAAGGACGGACAGCCGTTGCACTCCTCTGAGGTGAGCTACCTACCCTACCTTACCCTACTTCAAAACTGAACGTTCGTAATTCTACTGATAACTCTTGTTACCCTGCTTTTTGTTCAAACGATAACGTTTACGATCTACATCGTAATACACATATTATGTATTTTCTCAATGATTCAGTTTGGAGGAAACAGTTATAATTAGGTGTCTTTATTTATTTAACCTTGTACAATTTTATATATCATTATTTATTTCCGTTTTGTCTTGAAATAAGGCATTCCATCTTAGTCCTCAGGGGTGACAACGCAATCTACATTCTTAATCAATGACAGATATAGACGTCTATAGAACACAGTATCCACTTACCATCACATGGACTGTCAATTTATTACCCTTATTCTTTAAAAAAATCTAAATTTTCCCCTAAACAGTTATATGAAAAATATCCTTCCATCTAAGGGTGAAAAAGGGGGGATGTTTTTAATAGATCTGTTTAGACTATGGACTACATTGTATTTGTCAAAAGGGCCAAAAAACATTAACTTAATAAATAATTTGTATAGATATATTTTTTTAATTTCTTGAAGTCGTCTTTTATTTTTATTTTAAAAAGCAAATTTGCAGCCTGCAATCGTACCCCAATTACGCACAGGCCTCCTCGCCGACTGAGACGGATATAGAGCGCCACGCTGCCATTGTACTTTAGATGCTCTCAAATTATTTCATTTCTGAAACATGCAGGTTTACTAACGATTTTTTCCAACACAGCTGAACACGCGGTAGATCAGTACTTAATTACAATTATTAACAATTCAATTTGTGCCAGACCTGTGACACGTTTGAATACTGATTCAACTAACGCACTCAACAAGAACCACAGGGTTTTTGTTACTTGTAGTGTAATGTATATAGCACAGCTCTCTGATAAAGCGCTGGTAATGATGAAATAAATGCGTCTAATATATTGAACGCAAATATAACACTTTTTAAAATTACTACAAAATTGTTTCCCCACAGGTTGTGAATCTCAAGTACAAGAACGGCGTCGCATCTCTGGCTATCAACGAAGTGTTCCCTGAAGACGAAGGCGTGTACTCGCTGAAGGCCATCAACAGCCAGGGTGAAGTCGAAACCAAATGCAAAGTCACAGTAAAAGGTTTGTAAAACGATCATAGACCAAATATTGTTATTTATTACTGATTAATTGAGTCAAGCGTTACTTTGCAAGGGTTCACTACATTTAATACGCCATTATCATCATGATCACCGTCATCGCCAGTTTTTTTTTAAATTAGTTTGAATTTTTATCAGGAAGATTTACTTATTTTAATTTAATTTACGTATTTTAATTTTTGACCTACCCAGAATGTACTTACAATATCTTAAACTTTTGCAATGGTATGCTTGAGTTTGGATTTCATTTGATTATTATTTTTAATCTCAAGTAAATGGTACCCAGCCATTTTCTTTATTGAAATAAGAATATTTTTAAATAACCTCACGAGTTTTCTTAGGTAGGAATCAATGTCCATTTGGAATAATTTGTGGTCGAATAACAGGGGTGACCCATAACATATTCACAAACTTCAGACGTATGCAGACTATAATGGCTGTAGTATTAATGTGTCGGCTTAACGGAGGAAGGACCACCCTCACAGAATTTCAGCGTAAAATGCTGTCTGTGATTGTGTTATTATTTTTTAAAGAATATTAACAATGCTATAAACATTACTAACATTCCCCTTAACCACTCGCGGTAAGCTTAAATTGCCTGTGTCAATTGAAATAAAAAAAATATTATAATCATGGATTGTTTATTTCAGCCGCAGATGCTGCAGCATCAGCTGGATCAGGCAAGTCTGGGGACAAACCTCCAAGGATTGTAGACCACGCGGTGTCGCAGGTCGTCAATGATGGAGACTCTGTTACACTATCCTGCAGGTAATTATCTATATAGAAACAGAAACGGAAACTTTTTATTCAATATAGATTATAAATAATACTTATTAAAAGTCACTTTTTTAATTTACCATTTTTAAATATTTTGGTACACCCCCCTCCACTTAATTTTCTTATATATCAGTTCTTTACTCAAAGGTTGTCTGGACGGAATAATTTTTTTAAATATTAAAGCTGTGATACCAATCGTTACCGTCGTACAACTCTCTTAAATTTCCATATTTAGTGTACTCTAGAGACTTAATGGTTGATTAATGATTGATTTAAATTTTATCAGGATCGTGGGCGCGGAGAGATTTGATGTAGTGTGGCTCCACAACTACAAGGAGATCAAACCGTCGAAGGACTTCCAGTACTCCAGTGAGGCGAATATTCATAAGCTTCACATCGCCGAAATATTCCCCGAGGACGCTGGTGAGTAATTCATTACACTTTATAGCACACCTGTTTATATAAACTTATGCCGTCTTGTCTAGGCTCGGGTTTAAATTAGAGTCTGTTTCAATAAAGTAGACCCGTGAAGAATTTGCTAACTAAACTTCACAACTGTAAAGTATGTATTTCGACAGCAAATGTTAAATTTCGCGAAGTCTGTGGCGCCGCAACTTAGGGACTTCTTTTGTGATAAAGACTCATCTTTAAACCTCGCACTGTAAGACTGTAGTTTTGATTACTTTTTGAATTGAAATTTCTTTGAGGAATTTTGTATATTTTTATCTGAAAACAGTCTAATGTTCTGCGAAATTACCTTTTCTTATTTTTTTTTTTGAAGTGAAAACTTCTTTAGTGGCGTTGTACACTTTTTTGTAATGTGTAAAAAAATGTTAACTCGCGTCAGGACACGTGACCTGATCGAAAATTCGTAAGACGGTTGGAGAGTAGATAGTACGCCGCGTTTTCTGAGAGATAAACTTTTTCATGTAATATAAATTGTCATGTTTGTGTACGATAGCGCAATAAATAAATATTGTATTCTACCACATAAATGGTAGTACTTTTATACTGACAACTAAAGCAATTCGTGCAAAATTATTCTCAAACCATTCCAAAATATCAAAAATGCACAACGTTAATATTCAAGTTTTCACTTCTACCGGCACTCCCGGAGTGCAACCCGTCGTTTTTTTTTATTTTATATTAACGTTAAGATTTTCAAAAGTAGTGGCGCTTACGTAATCACTGAATTTAAAAAAAAAAATTGAGTTTTCCGAGTTAGTTTGTAATCTATCACAAATTTATTAGAATAAGATCTTTTGGCTTATTCACATACGGGATCATTTATGAAAATATATGTCCTTAAAAATAAAAAATAAAATGATCATCGATAACAATCTAATGATGTTTTTTTTTTGTTATATATTTCCCCAATTCTTTTTTAACAGGCGTATACACATGCGAGGCGTTCAACGATGCGGGCGAGTCGTTCTCTTCGTGTACACTGGTTGTCTCAGTGGCTGGAGAGACTCCGTCCGCGCCGCAGTACACTGTCTTCCCGGTATCAACAACTGTCAGCGCCTCCGAGTCCGCCGTGTTCACAGCTGAACTGGATAAGGTGATTGGCAACTTCCTTCTGATTTCTTACCCCCAATTATGCATTCGGCTTCCCATTAAATAGTTAATTGATAAATTGACTGCCTCGTTGGTCTAGTGGTTGTAGTAGTGCGATTACTGATCATGAGGTCCTGGGTTCGAATCCCGGGTCGGGCCAAAAAAATCAATTATTGTGTTTTTCTGTCAAGAAATTCTCAGCAGCTGCCCGGAGTCAGGGAAGTTGGCGGTGTCTCACCCCCGTGCCTCGGAAAGCACGTAAAGCTAGTAACGTGGCTTTGGTCTTACGCCTGATCTCACTCCGGTCGTGTCGGTTTACCGTCCCATCGGATTATGAGAGTGGGAATAGAGAGTGCACTTGTGCTTGCGCATACACTTGGGCACTATAGTCATATCCTGCGCCGATGGCTAGTCTCCGTTAATGCAGGCCGCCGTGGCCGAAATTCGGTCTGGAGGACATTATTATTAAATAGTTAATTATAATAAAATTAGTGAATTTTAAACTTGCATTTTGTTTATAAAAAAAATTATTTGTGCGATTTTTTGGTTAATTTCTTGGTTTAATTCTTAAATTAATACGCTGATGATTTTCTAATCATAAAATTTTAAAAGTGATTTTAATTTCGTCTTTATTTTAAGGTTAGGTCTTATAATGACTAAATAGCACATTTGATAACAATATTGTTTTTCTCACAGCCATCACTCCAGCTCCAGTGGCTAAAGGACGGCAAGCCGATCGACGAGAGCTCATCTAGATATAACTTCACAATGGAAGGCAATACTTACCGCTTTGAAATTTCCAAGTGCAATTCAGAAGACAGTGGGCAATACCAGGCGCGTGCTGTGGGACAAAAAGGAGACTCTTTAGCTGCGTTCTACTTGAACGTGGTTGACAATTAAATCTATGCTACCAATATCCCGAACAAAACAAGGACTGACGATAATATATTGTAATAATAATATGGTACTCAAGTAAGCCCCTTGCAGTACCCTAAGACTTTACATATACCTAGAACTAAATGAATCTCTGATCGATAACGGAATATGATTTTTTATACAATTCGGAGTCTATTTAGTGTAAAGGAGTTTTTATATATATTATTTATTAATTTATTAAGTAAATGATAAGTGTTACACCCTATCGAATGCCTATGAGAAGTCGCTTCGAAGATCGAATCCTCGCTCTCTAGTCACTGTTGATGTTTAAATGTTATTTTATTTATTGTCTGCATTATCCGTTGTTATTTTATTATTTATTAATCTATCTTTCGTCTTTTAACAGAATTTAATCGCTGCTTCTCAATTATTCTTTGAAAATTCGAGCTTGAACCTAATAAATATTGCCTTAGATTTAGGTCCGGTCAATTATCTGTGACGACCGTCATTTAGATATTCTGTATGCCACCACAGAGTATCTTCTTGTACGGTCGTTTGTTAACCGACCACAATCCGTAATATTATTTTTATATAACTGTATTATTTAATTGTACATAATTTATATCATGTGACAGCGTAATTTTAAATAAATATGTATACCTGAAAAATATCAATGTTGTTTCATTTTATTTCATCATCACCCCCTCGAAGTCTACCGCTTGAGAAAATGTGTCATAATAGTCAATTGTGAGAAATCAACAGGTTAGAATTAAAATTATCCGGTGATGTTTGCGCCAATAGCTCAGTGCCTGCTACACTTTACACTGCTTTACCGGGAAGTTTTGAATTTTACCCTCGAATCTTTTAATGTTCTATTTATCATTTAATCTTTTTCTGTTCGAGAACGAAAAATTGATCTCTGTCACGATCATCCTGTCTAGAGTCGAAAATGAGTTGACCTAGATGTATCACACTATCGCAGAATACTAGCCGGGAAATGTATAGACAACTGTAGATCCTTTTTACTGGTAATTCTTTATACGATGATAGATGTAGATGACTGTAGGCTTTCGTATGTACTTACCTTTGTCAATCGATAATAATTATGATGAAGGTTGATAATCTTCGAGAAAGATATTCACAAATTTACTATAAATTTCTCTCGGTAATTTATTGTTTGAATACGAATCGAACAGTAAACAAAGACAACTAGAACCACTTCTTTATCCGAGGACATAATTCACGAAGGTGGTGAGGCAGGCAGACACTCCTATATTTATCTTCCTCATCACTATTACAGCCCCAACTGCTGAACATAGGTCTCTCCAAAACAATGGCACCAAAACACGAAACGGTTTCATGCATGGCATACAAGGTCGTCGCTTCAAATAGTTAGGAGTGGTCATATGTTCCGCTTACATTAACTTATACTATCCATTAACAATTAAAACCCGTGCGTCATCCCGTGGGTGACGTACGAGGCGACAGGTAGAAACTGAAACGGCATTAGCTAGCAGAATCTTCCAGATTGTTATCAGCTCGAAATAACAAAAATCCGCGGTTGCAGACCCACGTACCAAGTGTAGCAACTATGCTGAATATCTCTTCTATGGGACTATTTGTTAGGAGGTACCATTCCTGTATTAGGGTCTGAAAGGTATACTAATATCTTCCAAACCGATTTTCGGTCACGGCGGCCTGCTTCAACGGAGACTAGCCATCGGCGCAGGACAGGATTATAGTGTCCAAGTGTATGCGCAAGCACAGGTGCACTCTCTATTCCCTCACTCTCATAATCCGATGGGACGGTAAACCGACATAACTGGTGAAAGATGAGGCGCAAGACCAGTGGTAAAGCCATCCTGATCGCTGCGTACTTTCCGAGGCACGGGGGTGAGACACCGCCATCTTCATGACTCCGGGCAGCTAGTGAGAATTTCTTGACGGAAAAACTCAATATTTGATTTTTTTGGCCGACCGGATTTGAACCCAGGATCTTATGATCAGCAGTTGCACTACTACAACCAATAGAACAACGAGGCAGTCAAGGAAAGGCATAGGGAGCTAATGTAATCACAATGTTGAGCATTCAAGCGAAAACGTATTTGCAGCCTCCTTTGTTTATAGTTGGCTGCAGGTGTTTATAGACTGCTGTAGCCACTGAGCAGGTAGACTATAAGAACGTTTGTCACCTTAATTTATAAAAAAAATATCTTCATGAAGAGGCCAGGGTTCCGCAGAGGATTTTTGATAGGATGTAAGTTTTTGAAATCATGAATGACATTAATGATACATTCTTCATATATGTATGTTTGTTTGCTATGTTGTAATTGCGGTTATGTATATCACGTTACATTACATAGTTAATATGTGATTGTAATCGAAAAATATGTATGCAAACTAACATTAACATGTCTTATCACACGGCAGCTTTACCATAGAACTCTGCTTTCACAAGAGGGTGGGTGTAAGTTCTACCCTCAATTTATTTTTATCTTTATTTCTTCTCCTTTATTTTTGCTTTTAAAAATGTAAGGCCACACAGGGATTTCTTCTGTATTTCGGAAGCGTAGAACAAACATCCAAACGGTAAAGAATTGTAGGGCATACACACACCTGTTTCGTGCGAGATACATGCCCGCGTCTCCATCGCGGGCAACGCTTTGGTACCTGTATTAGACGAACTTGGATGGGACAGCATCGATCTATCGTAGCGGGGTATTACATAATTGGACTTATATGTGTTACTTACTGTAATAAACATCGAGATTTGGTGGTTAGCTACACGCGTTAGAGCCCATGGACTAGATGTTGCCAGGTGTTCCGAATTGCGCGGGACGTCCCGATTTTCAAGTGTCTGGTGACACGTCCCGATTCACTCTTGATCGAGACGCCAAATGTCCCAATTTTTCACTAACCTTAGTCTGTACTTTAATCCATAATTTTGACAACAAAAATGATTTCATCTATTAGCTGCTACTACATTAAAAAAATTTACTACGATATCTTTTCACCAGTCGAAAAAAACACACATAAAAGTTGTGAACAGAATTGTATTAAAATGAGTGATTTAAAAAATTCACAGACTGCAGGGAAAACAAATCGTTCAAAAATGTTTTGTTTTGCCTTAAACGGAAAAACATAGACGAAGGAAATGCAGTTTTTCCTATGTTTGGATGAAAACATTTAAACCGAATAATAATTACAAAGCATAAAAAGGCTACAAAAACCTGTATTTTGTAGCCATTGTAGCTGTCCCGATGTGGAAACCAAATTCCCGATTATTTTTACCCTCCGCCTCGAAATTTGACTTGCTAGATCTGGCAACACTACCATGGACTCAAACTAACTTAGTTTCGTGAAATAAAAAGGTACTCTGTGATTCCTTCCACACGCCCCACACCCACACTGGTACAGATTTGTTTGCAGTAGCTGTTCTAGCACGTACTATGTAGTGCATATTAAGTACATACTTCAATGTATTACATACACAAATTGCACATGGATAAACATCCAAACTCAGTACAAAACTTAGTAAATCTTACAATTACTTGTTCCGTGCGCGATTCGATCCCGCGGCCCCGTGAAGCTGAAGCTAAACGAGTAGCCACTGCGCAACCGAATCGTAAATATCGTAAATAACGAAACAATAAATTCTTTCTGATTGGGTTTAAAGATTTGGAAGTTTTATCGAGCAGAGATCAACTTGAAACACGCGCGGAATGCGCCTCCCTACCCGTCGCCGGGCTCGCCGCTCACGCCCTCATCGCCCCAGTATGGATAAGTAGATATCGCTAATCCTGACTGTCTATACTCCTTGACGTTATTAGAGCCATGTCTCAAATTTAATTCTGCGCGTAGTATGATGTTATAGCACATAAGAACTAGAGACAGAACGAAATATGGGTAATCCTTCCGTTTCCCTAGTAGTTTTACGTGGTAGTTGTCGATATAGTTATGCTATGTAGATGTCTATAAGCCACAACAACACATAGGTGTACTGCGTGCTCGTCTGTGCCTTATCCTATAAAAACAGTTAAACCCTAAAAAGGCGTACTCAAGAGTTAAGATCTTACCGCGGGGTGACAAAGCGGTTATGAGGTTATGACGGACTGCCTACAGCGTAAAATGCAACTGTATTGAATATTTTAGTTCTTTTTGAGGTTAGGGGAACGCTTTCAAACACTACCACAGTCCTGACACCCGTAGTCCTAGTCTACAACAGGTTTCTTTTTAGTGAGGGATCGTAGATGTAGTAGACAAGCGTCCTTCCAAATTGAAGAAGGGGTTTGCAAAAGGTGCTGATAAGCATGTGAAATATTCTTATGTGATCGGTTTTTGGAATCATTGGGTGCGTTTGGCAGAAAAAAGCGCTAGCAAGCGTTTACAAGCGCTGAAATAGTTTTCGGCCAGGAAACGATTGCTACTTCAGTAGCGCTGACACAATCCGCCATTTTGCTTATTTAATTTGTTTGTTTTGAAGTAGAGTTTATAAGTTGTTTTGTGCAATATTAGTTTTAAGTAATATATTGGCATGAATAAACATATACATGTTATTAAAAATTCATGATTGGTAAGTTTTTAATATGAATACTTTACAGACATATATTTAAATTAGGTTAGGTTCCCCGGTTAAAACTAACTTCGTGTCCTAGAGGAAAATAGCTACTTACGATTTGATAGCGCTTACCGCTTATGATCGCCATTTTGCTTACAAGCGCTTGCTAGCGCTTTTTTCTGCCAAACGCACCCATTATTGGTCGTTACAATGCTGCAATCAGATTTATGGGTCGGATCTCTGTATGTCAACGATCCGAAAGATCGAATCAAAAGAAATGGAAACAACAATTTCAATATTTTAATTTTTATGAATAACATACCAATTAAACTAACATAGAAATTAAATTAACATAGAAAGTTTCAATGGTTAATGAATGTTATTTTTTTTTTGTTTATGTGTACTGCTTAAAATATTATAATCTATTATGATATGAAAAATATTTAATTATGACATGAAAAGTATT